TCTTGAATGCAGCGCCTTAGACCACTCGGCCATCTTGACAATTTGATTTGCTTGTTCATGCCATTCACATTAGAAAACAAGTACCAAAACCTGATTTCAGGCGTGATACTCAATCTCAACCACCCCAGCCAGAACAGCGGTACTTACAAGCCATCTTTGTGCACCGGGCTGGGAATACGTCTACGTCAATTGAAAAAGCCATGAGGGTACTGTTTGGATACATATTATCGCAGGGAGAAGCAGAGGATTTCAGTATAGGCAGACTCGCAACGCAGTATAGGTGTAGGGTCAGGATGTCAAATACCGGGGTGGCTGTGTCCCAGAGCTGTTCCCGTGCCGCAATGGAACAAAGACTAAATGACAAAAACACAATAACACAATCCTGGCATCTTTCAGCTGCTGCAAAGCCTCAAAGAGACTGTTCACAAATTGATTGGCTCATTCTGGAACTGTCCAGTGTTCAGGACAAAGAGCCCAGCTGAATAATAAATCGAAGACCGGGATAGACATTAAACAGACACAAGCGTCTGTGGATGAACTCCTTTGTCCGGTAAGCCTTTCCCTAGATATAAACTCTCCTTCCTTTCCTGATCTATCTTATAAACCTTTCATCTTCCATTCAATCACTTCGCCTTCACAACTAAAAGGATACCTACACTCTCTGCTATAACCACAATCATGACCTCGAATCGGGTCATCACCAGTGCCACACTGTCCAGAACCCTCATCTTCCTTCTGGACGACACAACTGTTCTAGTGCCAGACAACACCCAGTTTAGAAAACTCGTAACTCGTTCGTCGGAATTTGACCCAGCGACTCAAACACGTACACATGTTATCGTAAGCGAGTATTTCTTTGAGGGACCTGGCATGAGCATCACCCAAAGCATTCGAGAAGAGACTAAGCGTCGCAATGACACGACAATTTATTCTTCTCGACAATCTCTGTAAACGCTCCGTCGAGCTAATCTTGCTCAGCTTTCGGACCTTTTGGATAGCTTTCGCGATTGATTAAAGCAACAGTGAAGAGGGCTGGATGATAGGGAGAGAAAGTTCAGTACTAAAATTCTATAAAACATACGAAACCTCTATCTAGTTCGTAAGCACCGGCGCTTTCCCATCAAATTCATCAGTCTCAGCGGCATCAACCAGCCATTTTCCAACGCTCTCCCTCGTAATCTTGGGCAACCAAGCACAGCCCTTTCCATCATCAGGCCAGACCTTTACCAGTCTCGCCTCACCCTCCGCAAGCATGACCGGGCGCGCGAGAACAAAAGTCAAGCCACTTTCGCGTACAATTCGGTCGACTTCGTTGTGATCTTTGAGACCAATGCCCATACTTCCATGACTAAACAACACTTTGCCGGGGAGGTTCATTGAGCGCCACGAGGATCCAGCGCCCTGAGCCGAGTTGACAACAATCTTGGGTTTACTTGGCAGATTTGCGTTGTTGATTGCACTGATAAGGGCTGTCATGCTAACGGCCATAAAATCAGGTGTAGTATCAGGACGCAGTGCCGCGAAAGGTGACTCCGTGAGCCTCACTTGTGCCAGAGCTGAAATGATAACCTGGGGTGGTTGAGGAGTTGTAAGAGCCTTGATGATGTCGGACTCTGAAGTAGGTAGTCCTTGAACCAGAGTGAGGTTTGAGTGGGAGGGGAGCTTGGTAGATTTTGAATTGCGAACAAGAGCTGTTACCGTGTGGCCTCTAGAAAGAGCTTCTTGAACGGCCAGCGAGCCGTTGCGGCCTGTTGCGCCGATGATGAGGAAGTGCATTTTGATTGAGTCCTGGTGAAATAAAATCGTGATTGAAGATAATGCAAAGTGAATGCGTTGTTGCAAGACGTAGATGGATTGTTTGAGATATTATTGATGTGAATTGTTTGATGACGAGAAAAACTGTCAGCCCCCATCGCCAGTCTTTATACCAAAACATCTCCTCTTCTGCCTTCTACGTCCCGGCCGATACACCCGGCTCCGTCGTCTCGGCCGGACGCCCACGGCGAATGAGAGACTCAGAAAGTGGGCTTAGGAATCAGCACTAACACTTTTCTGACAAACCACGTAGCAAAATACACGATCTAGCCAATCCTTCAAAAGCTGTGCCGCGTCTCTTCGGCCGAGCAACCTTGTCATCCACTGTCGCTACCTTGAATGTCGGCCGGATGGAGTCACTCGGCCGATAGTCTGAGGGGCTGAATGATCGGAGGTCAAGATGATTGGACAGGTCGGAAGTAAACGGCACTTTGTGTTACGGATATGCTTATTGATGGAGGGAATTTAGTAAAAGACCGAAATTGCCGGAGGAGTAAGACGGTTTAAAGGAAATTTAAAGGATTTGGGAGGTGTGGTTTCGGCGGCGTGGTTGTGTATATATAGGGCGGTTGTGGAAGTGGATATCCAGCTTCAGAACCATCAACTCTCCAGCCGCCAACACCAACATACACTATACAAGTTCTGCTAAAGCTCCTCATAATTTATCATCTTCTTAGGCTTTTAATCTAACTTCTCTCCTAAACTCTCACCATAATCATCATGTCCTCCCCAAAAGTCGCCATCATCGGAGCTGGCCTCTCAGGCCTGTCCCTCGCCCTAGCCCTCCACCAACAAGGCATCAAAAGCACGGCATACGAGCAAGCATCCGCCCCCCTCGATATCGGCGGCGCAATAATGCTCTCCCCCAACTCTCTTCGTGCCCTCGATAAGTTGGGCGTGCTCAAGCGCATGCTTCCTCACAGCTATAAGTTCGATGAACTCTTCTTCCTCTCACAAAATGACGAACTCGTCGATGTCTTTGAATTCGGGGATGAGGAAAAGTACGGGTACACAGGCATCAGAGTGTATCGCTTTGAACTTATCAATGTCTTACTTGATCTTGTCCGTGAGGCAGGCATTGAGGTTGTGTACGGTCGCAAGTTTGACAAGATTGTCGATGAGAATGAGAGAGGTGTTACTTGGCGTTTCACAGATGGATCTGAAGAAACTGCCGATCTTCTCATCGGCGCTGACGGAATCCACTCTCGCGTGAGATCCTATCTCTATCCCGATCTTGCGCCAAAGTTCACGAACATGATTGGCGTCACAGCCGCTGTGCCTACAAGCCAACTCGGAGAGCACGATTACAAGCTCCCCGCGACATTCATGCACGATAAGCGCGGCGCTTTCGTCATCGCTCCCCAACTTGCGGATGGCTCAGAAGTCCTTATCGGCAAGCAAAAGGTGTTTGTCGGTGAAGATCCAGGTCGTGATGCTTGGAAGGCCATGAACTCTGACAAGACCTGGTGTGTTGACTTTCTTCGTGAAGGAAAGGAAGACTATCCCTCCATTGTCAGCAACGCTACTTTCGAAATCTCACCTGAGCGAGTCAACCTCTGGCCATTCTATCTCCTTCCCAAGCTTGACAAGTGGGCTAGCGAGAAGCATAGTCGTGTTGTCATTCTCGGCGACGCAGCACATGCCATTCCTCCCACGGCTGGCCAGGGTGTGAATCAAGCCTTTGAAGACGTCTACACTTTCGCTGGTGTACTTGGTCGCATTAAAGGGCAGGGTTTGAGTGAGACCCTGGATAGGTGGCAGATGGGACGACAGGAAAGGGTGGACAGGATCATTGAGTTGAACAGTGAGATTAATAAGAGGAGGATGCCCAAAGTTGATGGGGTGGCGGTTGAGACTAAGCCTTTTGATGTTGATTGGCTTTACAAGGTTGACTTGGATGAACAGGTGAAGGAATTTGCTGGGAGGAACTGAGAGCACGACGATACGGAGTTGGTCTTGACAATTGGTTTAGCAAGTTTATGTTCATAAGAATGATACTCATTTTATTTTGCATCTGTTTTATTACCTTGAGCGACCTTAATAAATGTTACTCTTCTCAAGCGCAGCCATTAGATCCGGCAGAGTCTCCAGAGATTTGGACGATGAGAGCCTAAAAGACAAGATAATTTGCTCATATTATGCTATCTTAGACTAGTATTTGGATTACTTGGTCTCAGTAACCTGGGTCTTAGAGGACGAGGTTTAAGTTCCCGACCTGCCAGGATTCATTGGTCAGAGTCTGGTGGATAAGAACGATGAAGGTACCGCAACACCTCCACCGAGCTGTTGACTATACGCCCGTGCAGTCATCAGTACTGCTCAGATTATCTTCGCATATGCATATAGTCAGTGGCAATTCTTGATACCCCAGATCCCATGTAGTTGCCTTTCAGAATAACCGTTGCTCCAATAAACACAAGCAGTGATATCCTACTGCTATTTATCGATACCAGACGCTGCGCTATGCAAATCCCACGCTTAATCCCCACCGGATACAACCTGGTCCGGATATCAAGATAATAACTCTTTTCAGGAATCACCGAGTAGATAGTCCTTGCCATTTGCAATCCTCAGGACATCTTTGTCAATTGCAGTAGTCTCCCCAGATGTTATCCCGACAGTCCGTCCCACCTCGGCAGGCACTAGTGTCAGTTGCCACATTAACCTTGTTTTTGAGGAGACTATACGGTAGTATGCATATCCCCATCGAACTGTTTAGCCCTACGGGGTAGGACAAGGTGGTAATTTGGAGCGCTTAGATACCGATATCAAGGAGGCAAGAAAGGTTATCGGGTTTGTATCCACTTATCTGGGGACAGCGTCTTTGTCAAATCCATAGACTGAGCGCAGCGATATTCCGTTCGTGGTTGACAGTCGCCTAAATCCAGTGCTACCTTCTATATTCGCTCCATAAGACCCTGTCAGCAGAACTTCTGTAGCTTTTTCGTAAAGCATGGACCGATCTATGCTCTTTCGGCTTGAAGGATTGTCTTGGCAGACATAAATCCCCAGACCTCGCCCAATGGCCTGCCGCGTCCGAGATCGGTCGGCTGCTCTCGATCAGTCCATTCCCTATCAGATGCGACGCTGACAATCTCCAGGTACGTGGCAACGGGTATCGTGCGGGTAGTGGAGATGACTTCACCTTCCAGTTTGGGTTTAGCGCAGGAGTCGACAACGCAAAAGTGCCAACTTATCACTGGACCGACTTCCGAAATCGTGAGTAGCTGAGTTTATAGCTTGGGTTCTTTTGTTGATTGTCGGTAAGAGTGGCGTTGGGGATATACTTACTTTGATAGTTGATTTTTGTATAAAAGAGCTGAGTTTCGACATCAATTGTTGACAACCAGACAACATCTCAACCGACAACAGACCTCAGCACAACAGACAATAAATCAACAGGAGCTGCCTCAGAGAAAACAGCTTAGTCAGAAACTAGCGTCAGAATCTCCAGCCGCCAAAATGAAGTTCATTCCCGTTGCCATCGCTTTCCTCTCCACCCTCGCCCTCGCCGCCCCTTCAACCGAGGGCGAACTCGAGAAGCGCGGATGCTCTTGCAAGAAGGTCGGTGACGAGTGGTTTTGCTCTGGAACGACTTGGTAAGTGGATCGATCTGTGTGCCGAGAACAACGAACAAGACTAACCAGTTACACAGCCCACGCAGTCTTCCCGATGAGAGTCACTTCCAGAAGAGACAATGCTCTTGTAAGAAGGTGGGCGGTGAATGGATTTGCAGTGGTAGAAAATGGTTCGATTCCTTTTTGTTGAATGGCGATGATGAAAGAGAAACTAACCTGGCGTTAGCCCCCGAAGTCTCCCTGACGAGGCCGAGCTTGCTAAGCGTCAATGCTCTTGCAAGAAGCTCCCCGATGGAGAATGGATTTGCTCGGGGAGGAAGTGCGGACGGGATCTTTCTTACATGGAGGAGGTTGACTAGATATGCTGTTGTTGGAGATGTTGTTGAAGATATCAAGCGAGGAAGTTTGTCCACATTCCATCAGGTGGCGGACGGGAAAGCTCACCATAGATTTTGGTGGGGCTCTTTCACGTGATTGAAATCCGAATATCGGATACCATAAGGCTCGCTTTATTAGAATAATGAGAGGATTGATATGGCAAACTGTTCGTTGTCGTTACGAAGCGGATGTTTATGAATACAGGCAAGCTTTCCAATATTTGCAGGTTGTCGATCGTGTTTCCAGTTCAACTATACATCGATACAGACCTCCAAATCGCAAAACAGATGCTCAGGATGACAAACATCTGAAAATTGATTGATCCATGAAGTGCAGTATTTCTTTCTGTACCATTGAAGTTCAGTGTCTTATCGCTATCGGCATCCGGGCATGGACCGGACCGTCGGTGCACGGGCCACATGGCTCGTCCCGCCTCGGCAGCAAGATCTAGATTGACTGTCATTGGCTGGCCCATCCCCCCTGATCTGGTGTAAGCAATGGAGGAAGGCGCACCTTCCGCACTAAATGACAGGCACACGTAAGGCAGACAGATTGCAATTGAATTGACACTCAATCGTCGATACGGATTCTACCATTCCCCGCATCACCATAACAGCCGCCAATGGCATAGACCAAGTCCCGGTCTTGCCAGTACCGATGCCTCTCCCTGCCAGCGCGATTGTCCCGTCGTGAAAACTCGGTCCCGTAGCTAGAGCAAAAGCCAGCCTTCGGTACAGTCTTTTTATTAGATTGGGATAACGATGACTGGTGGCAGCATCTCAGCTCCACCATAAGCGTCGCTGAGAAAGACCAAGAAGAGGCTGGAGGATGAGCTCTACTACCCGGTTTATTCTCTGAGCATCAGACTGCGAGGTAAATGCTAATCTAGCCCCTTCGATGAATTCGCTGCTGCAAGCATAAGACATGAAATGATTTGGATACCTTATGGTAGATTAGAATAGCACTTAGGCTACTTTATTTTAGTATCCTAAGTCTTAGAGGATATTTGTCTAAAATCACCGATCGGTGTACCAGCAGGCGTTAGCAAGGATATCTTTCGGACAGAGATTTGACCTTTCTCATCAGCGGTGTCCTGGGACTCAGGTATAGAGACATCAAGACCGACAAGGATCGCGGCTAGAAACAACAATCCATCGCCCATGCACAGATCACAACTCTCAATCTTCCCAATCCCGATGCCTCTTCGTGTTGGCGCAATGGTCCCGCCGTGGGACTTCCGGCCCGGTATATAAATCGATTTAGAGAAGCATCTTGAAGAATATTAGGTCTATACTAGACGACTCTGTCGCAGACGGAAAAAACGGCGGAGCAAGTGTGTCCAAATATGGTTAGTTAGACCAAGGCAATTCCTCTTTTCTGTGCAATTGAAGTTCAGTGTCGCCAAGCTCATTCATCTTTTCGTCCAGCTTAGTGCTGAGTTTGTCAACAGTCTTGGTCGGGCTGTCGATTTAGCAGAGGCTATCGACCATGGAGGATACATCTCGTTTGAACTCGTCAAAGCTAGCTGTCAAGGTGGTAGCCCGCTTGTCAAGTTTCTCGACGTGACGCTCTGTGCTTATTCTGATGTAGGTAACAGAAGACCTGTCTTATGATTGGCTGGCTACTTCGCCCTGGACTCTGCCTCTGCCAGAAATTCACATCGAGTGTTTTGTAATCCATCGGTCTAAATGGACGACTCAATCACCGTCATAGCGTCAAACGGGGAGCCAAAGATACGCCTTCTAGGGCCCATAGCATTGGATCTATTTCCATTTTTCTTTGACATCTGGTCTTTTGTGCCCTATTCTGCGACAACTTTGGTATCCATTGCTTTGCCCGCGCCCGTCGTGGCCTATCAAGTAAAGAATGAATTTTGATCGGTCGCCAACGTCTGACTAAGACGCATGGAACAAGAATATCCCGGCGATAACCCAGTCAGCTGGTCGGAGAACATGTGACGAACGCGACATTCTGTTCCCATCCACCACGGGGGATCAACCGTAGTCTAAGATCAACAAGTACAACTCTATTGGGAATGGTTCGGGTACCAGTCTCGGTTCTCTCTGTCTGACATGCGAAAAAGCGTCTCTCTCCCCATTTCAGTTGTCCCAGACCAGTTTGAGCACGAAAGTACGGCAGAACAATTTCCTTGAGACTGCAACCTGGTGAATCTGACGAAATGGCAACTGCACACCATCCACGGCAGCTGTGCGCTTCCTGTAGCGCCCTGACGTTTACCATGCTTCGAGACGGCTATACTCACCTATTGACATACCGTGACACCATCACGTCCGGAGAAACATGCGCATTATGTCGGTTGATGATTTGCTCAACTGGCAAGCTTGCAGTCAATCTTGACTCCTATGAGATGCACAAGCAATATGATTCTTTGGCTCCCAGATTACCCCAGCTACCAGCGGTTTCCAGGGAAGAAAGTATATTTTTGGGGGCATCGCCGGTCATTGAAAGGTCACAACCACTGGTCGAGTTGGACTGGAGCACAGGCCAATATTGCGGTGACCTCGGGCATAGCTGGGAACTTAGAAAGGGAAACTTCAACGATGGTGAGACCATTCAGATTACAGCCCCAGCAGGTAAGGCCTTTTTCTCATCATGTTTAAATAACATCATGATTCTCATGTATAGGTAGACTCGCTGTATGGAGCTCATGGCCTTGTGCCGCTTACCGATATCGAGCCGGCATCATCCAAAAGAAACTACAGAGTGCTTCGAAAATGGCTCTCTACCTGCATGGCCAGCCATGAGGGGTGTCGCTTATCACACTCCATGACAGATAAATCATCCGAAGAGACCACGATGCTACCGACAAGAGTCATCGACGTGGGCGATCTAAAAGAGCAAGAGCACTGGTCTAAGCCACGGCTCTTCATGTCGAACAACGCATCAGGACAGTACATTGCCCTGAGTCATCGTTGGGGCAAGGAAGTTGCAACAAAGTTGAAGAGTGACAACCTCGGCCGATACCAAAAAGAGCTCTCAGTGAATGATATGCCCCCAACGTTTCGAGACGCTATTGAAGTGACACGCCAACTTGGTTTCCGCTATCTTTGGATCGACTCGCTCTGTATCATCCAAGACGACCAGTCTGATTGGGCGCACGAGTCCCTTAAGATGGGAACTATCTTCGAAGAGGCAGTTTGCACGATCGCTGCTGTCGATTCTGTGGACGGCAAGGGGGTCGACCATGGTTTGCTTCTATCACGCGACAACGATCCACTTTCAGTCAAACTCACGATTCCCTATAATAAAGTACCTCTCAGCAAGCTATCCCAACGGGTATTCAAAACCCATACAGCAGTCTACGTTTGGAAGATGCGATGGTTAAGGGAGTTACCAACCATGAAAGCCTGCGACAGAAACACCATCACGATTCGTCCACGCATAGTGTCGTCTTGGAAACGTGTTCCACGTTCCAACTGGTATAAGAGGGGCTGGATTTTACAGGAGAGACTCCTCTCTCGACGACTGATATATTACACCCAGAACAAGCTCTCCTGGTCTTGCTTCACTGAAAGTGGTGAGGAGGAAGGCGGTGATCCCGAAGAGGCTGCCAGAATCCCTCTGCTTCGTCTGTGGAGAGGAAGTGGTGACTCAATTTTCCCCATCTGGCGGCATATCGTTTCAGGTTACCAAAGCTGTCAGCTGACCTTTAGTAAAGACAGGTTGGCCGCTGTTGGTGGTATTTCTGCTCAGCTAGAAGCCCGCTTCTCGTGCAAGATCTACGCTGGAATTCTGTTCCACTCGCCTGGCGAAGCGGCGGAGAATTTGCTCTGGTATGCCAGTAACGCGCCTTTGCGCACCTTTAACGAATTCCACGCGCCTTCCTGGACCTGGGTCGCTTTTCATGGCGAGATATCGTTCTTCATGCCGGTACCCCTTGTAACTAGCGATCTTTTGATAACCAAGCTAGACTTCAAGATTCGTGATCAGTGCGAGTCGGAGGATTTATCGAAGGATTGCAAAGGAACTTGTGTATCTGGGAGTGTTTCCTTCGAAGGCCCAGCCGGAAAGCTTACACGGCAAGGCAAGCTGAAGAATTTGAAAGTTACGGAGGAGCTGATCGACTCCATGAGCGTAAGAGAGATCCTGGCTAAATTTCTGGGCCATAGTCTTGTGCGAAACATCCCCATACCGCGGTTTGACGAATTGGGAAACCAAGTTCAAATCCCATATGACTCACCAGTCCCAGGTCACACAGAGATACTAGTAGACAAATGCGGCTGCATCGTCGGGTTTCTTATACCGGACCTCGAGGAAGAGCTTGAGCAGGCTGCAAGCGAGCAACAGATCACATGTGTGGGCGTCAAGCGCTATCAGGGCCAGCATGGGCAACAAAACGACACTATCGAGATCATTGGACTCCGTGAGACATGTCATTCTCCGATGAGATTTCGGAGGTTAGGAAGAGGCAGAATCATATGCAGCGCGTGGTTGCAAAATTGCAGACAGTTGAGTTTTGAGATTTGTTGATGTTTAAATTTTAGCTTGATAGTCATTATGAAAGCTGAGACCGTGGGTGAAAGTCCAGTCATCAGGCACTGTCCCTAACCCTACATGAATACGCATGTTAAGACAACGATGGTAACACAAACAGGAACTACCTGGGTTATCCAATCAATGGCCACGTCCATGCAGCCAAACACCATCCTATCGGAGGCGACATAACCGCGTGAGCCTCGCCGCCACGTAGGGCATACCCCGCTTCGGGCTTCGCTGGGCACCATATTTTCAGCTACATAGCCCGTGCTATTTCGTTTTGCTATGGAGGGCATCGTGCTAGATACCGGGATCTCGGTCGCTTACGAACCTGAAAGCGGGCCTCCTGATGTAGAGTACGTTATCTCGTTTACAGGGTGTTTTTGATGCTTTGTATTGACTGGCCAGCATCTTGTTCGTACATGGCCTCGGTGGTCATCCTCGAAAATCATGGACTAGTTCTAAAAAGAAACCCGGAACATCGGAGTTGTTACCATCCTCTAAGTCAGGGAGCAGGAATTCTCGGCGCAGTGTCCTCGGTCGCGTTCTAGATCGTTTCCATCGAAAACCTCGAAACACGCCAACAGAACCTAGGCCTGAGACATTGTATGATGATGCCGACAATGCCTCAGTGTTTTGGCCGGTCGACCTTCTTTCCAAGGACCTTCCGGATTCTCGCATTCTCATGTTTGGATACGATAGCAAGATAACTAAATATTCGGCTGGAGCGGTCAGTGAAAATAGCGTCTTTTCACACGCTAAAGATCTTCTTTTTGCGCTTGGCCTGGAGAGGATCCTCCATCGTCCTCTGATATGTGTAGCTCACAGCCTGGGTGGCATCATCGTCAAGGAGGTATGTCAGCTGGTCGAACTTGTCTTCAGCTAATGATTTATCCTCCAGATGCTTTCACGATCTTCATCATCCTCACGAAGCGAGCATCAGAATATCCTTGAGTCGGTCAAGGGAGTTATTTTCCTTGGCACACCCCACCGCGGTAGTGTAGACATTGCCACCAAAGGGGAAATTGCTCGGTCGCTTCTCAGTGCCATAGGTGTGGCCACGACCCCAGTCATTCTAGACTCTCTCGGCCTAAGGAACACTGATCTAGAGAGAGCACAAGAGGAGTTCTCCCGGCTGTGGCAAACGAGTAACTTTCGGGTCAAGACTTTCCAAGAAGGGCTCATTTTCCCTAAGTTTGGAAAGAAGCTTGTTCCTGATTACTCTTCACTCATCGGAAATCATCGTGAAAACTCTGAGACGCTACAAGCCGATCATGTGGATATGTGTCGGTACTCTGGAAGACACGACCCAAACTACCGCAAAGTCGTCGGAGAGATCCGCTCTACCTACCTCATGATGGCAAGAACAAAGATGACAGAGCCGGTTGGCCAATGGCGAACAAAGATCTACAGTGCAATACCTAGTGTTGCCGTGACCCAACATTCGGAGAATGATTTCCATGATCAAGCCAATAAAGTATGGCTCCAGTCATTGTGGTTTCCAGCCATCGATAGACGATACGAGACTTTGGGCAGTCCAGCTGAGCAGACAGGTCATTGGCTTTTTGATGATGCGATTTTTCAAGATTGGCTGAACGGAGAAAATCAGGAAAGACATCAAGGACTAATTTGGATCAAGGGTAAACCAGGCTCCGGAAAGTCAATGTTGATGGGAGAAGCGTTCCGCCGAGCAAGCCGAAGACAAACAAAAGGTTCAGACCCGTCTCAAACAGCGGCTTTCTTCTTCAACGGAAAGGGTGATGATCTTGAGCATTCTGTTGTTGGCCTTTTTCGATCCTTGATATATCAGCTTTGCTCCAAAGTTCCCATTTTCCTAAAGTCCTTTCAGGAGGTTTGGGATGCAAAGACCAAAACTGGGTGCTTTATGAGATCGGGAGCTATTTCTTGGCAAGAGGCTGAACTCAAGACGGCCTTCCAAAAGATGATGCTCCAGCAATCAGACAGCAAAGTATTGATCTTCGTTGATGCTCTAGATGAGTGTGACTCAAGTCATGTGCGAGATCTAGCCTACTTTTGGCGTAAGGTCACAAAGTCAGCTTTCGCTTCGGGGATTGACCTGAAGGTCTGTCTATCGAGCCGGCATTCTCCTTCTGTCACTGTGAGTGACTGCCCAGAAATCGTTATGGAACAACACAACAGTCACGATATTTCGACATATCTAAAGCAGAGAATCGAAGTCGGAATTGGAATCGAAAATGCAGAATGGCAGATTTTAGAAGAGAAGATTACAGAAAGGTCAGATGGCATGTTTCTCTGGGTAGTCCTGGTCGTTGATGACTTACTTCGAAGCTGGGATGAAGGTAGGAGTATTGAATACTTGACTAAGCGCGTTGAAAATACCCCACAAGCTCTCGATACTCTATTCTCCGATATGCTTTCCAATTCCACACACGAGACGAAGAAGGCTGCTGTTAAACTATTCCAATGGGCTACATTATCTACAAAGCCACTTCGCCTTCACGAGTGGCATCACATTATGGGGTTCATCAGATATCCGACGCCAACGTCGCTTGCTGAGTGGCGATCATCAGATTACTTTACAGCAACCGATGAGCAGCTGGTAAAACAGATCAATAATCTCTCTCTGGGACTGGTGGAGGTGACAAGAGCGATCGAGGTCCCGCCTGGTGCCTCAGGCTCTCAGGTATCGTCAGTGGGTGTAGATGCAGGGTCTTTGACTCACGAATACGGAGGTAGTAGGATCGTACAGGTGATCCACGAGTCAGTGCGGGACTTCTTCTTGAAAGGCACAGGGTTTTTTGTGCTAGACCCGAGTGTGTTGACCCATCTCATCGGTCGTGGACACTTGTCTATCATGGCCACTTGTTTGGACTATATAAAAATCACTGAGCTCGATGCGTTGGTAGAGGCACGGCAGCGGGTCACCACTCAGAAAAAGAACCAAGACGAAGCACAGAGCCCGATGTTATCAACCCAGTCGAATAGTGAGCGCCCTGTGTCTGTCTGCTCTCTCGGAAAAGAAAGGCAACCCCTACAAGGCATACTCACCCCACCCCTCCATCACAAGAGCAGACCGGAGCGCGCTAGAACTTCAGATTCAGTCATAACAGGCCTTTCCAATTCGTATCCGACCATGAATGTACATCGATGGCTGTCAGAAAGCTGTAATTTGACTGTTGAGTCTGATGTACTAAGCAACATTACACGCGCTCAAAACTTGGATGGCTCTGACACATTTCAGACCCAGGTTCTAGAGGATCACCCTGCGCTTTTGTCGTATGCTACATTCGCAATGTTCGAACATGCCCGCTTAGCGCACATTGACGAGGCTGATCTAACCCCAATCCTTGATCGTCTTGCAGACAAGACAACATGGACCCGATGGAAATATCTGAGAGAGGACGTGCCTGTGGAAGTAGACCTGCTTACTTTCTTAGAGGACTGGGGCCTGGGGTCATGGATCAGCACTCTTCACGATCGATTCAATCGTGGGCATGAGGGACGACGGAGCCCCGTTAGAGGAGACGTTTCAACATCAGAAATGAATACTCGAAGACACACTCGTTCTTCGAGCCATGAAACACCTTGGAATGAGACAAAGCGGAGTACTCTTCCAGGGCCGATTTCAGCGACACAAGTTGTTTCTCAAGAACACAGTTTTTCCGTCGGTCAGTCAAGTTGGCGCGATGAGAGCCCCCAAAGTCTTGGCCGCATACCTAGAAGCGGAGGCAGTGTGGCCAGTTTTGGCTCTGCCAGTAGCCACGATGGATACGACCTAAATCGCTCGAGAGTCCAGCCTTCGGCGCCGGCAAATTCCAAAATCATGGCAGAGATAACGCTTGCAGGTTTTTACATGTGCGCATGCTGCCCTGAGAACCAGGAAAGGTTTTCTACACTAGAAGAACTCACGTAAGTCGCTCAATGACATGCATGAGCTTCAAGATCACTTACATATATAACAGAGCACATGAGTCTGAGAAACGATACGAGTGTTCAAGCTGTGGTGAGAGATTTAGAACGAATACCAAAGCCGAAAGCCATCAGAATGCATTACATATAAGATGTTATTTTTGGTCTTGCTCAAACATATCAGGATACGATAAGGTCTTTCAGAAGTCTAGCCATCGGCCCGATGAGTATGACATATGCGGATATTGTGGCAGTGACTTTCCACGCTCCGGTACGGGTACTGGGAACACGACCTACGCTACAGATCAAGATTGGGACATACGCATAAGCCACTTGCAGGATATCCACAAATTTAAGGACTGTAACAGCAGTAGGAGGTTTTACCAAGAGGATCACTTTCGGCAGCATTTAAAATATAGCCATGCTATTATTCGTGGGAAGTGGATAGACACGTTAGTGGAATTATACTGTGAAGAGGGATGATGTTCAGTCAGCAGTAAGAGCCATTTTAGAGTGAGTGGCAAGGCTCAGAGGGTCCAGAAATGGTAACAGGAACGAAACCAGGCTGCCGCCCAGCCAAAGGGGTGAGTAGAGCTGATGCGGGCTGACGGGCGGCTAAGGAGGGTGGTGAATATCTGAACCGAAGTTTGACTAGCGAGCGGGGAGGGCATAAAGCTGGCAGTGCGAGGCAGGTCCTGTGTGGCCTGAGCTTCATCTCATAATAATAACTGCATGTTTGTTGATCCTACAAACTTATTTTCCAGACGCGTCTTGTTCGTTCTTTGTTTGCGGACTTGGTCAAATTCAACGATCAAAATGGACGAAGACTCAGACTTTATCCCTCAACTTACCATCACCGGCTCGAATGGGGAGCAAGTTCCTGTCATGTCTTTTCCGATGCCGCTGCCTGAGAGCGCACTCGTTCCGCCGTGGGAGTTCTTCCCCGCCGCGCCTGAGCCCGAGCCTGAGCCTGAGCCTGAGCCTGAGCCTGAGCCTGAGCCAGAACCAACTTTCGGTAAGTCTACCTTACTTTGTGTATGGAGTGAAACTGATATCTGAATATCTAGACTGGGCCAATGCAAGTTTTGAGGAACTCTAGGAATATGCTCGAGACGACCGTGCCACCGTCGAAGCTGAGGCAGAGCAAGTGGTTGAGAACCGTTTTTATTGTCACCTATCGACCAATCTTTTCTCCGAGGATAAGACTATGAGAGTACCCGCCGATGCATTCCGACCGCACTGTTGTCGCATTTGCGGCGAGATGAGCCCAGCGAGCCTCGAGCGCCATCTTGGGATATGGTTTGGGGGAAGGCAGACAGGGCAGGGGCATACACTCCTCTGTCCAGCAGCTCCTGTCTGTATAGCTCATCTACGGCTGCTTGATATATGGCTAACGAAATGATAGAATCTTCTCGAGGGCGCTGGGGTGGGCTGGGTTCCCAACCTGGATACAGATGAGGCCGAGATCGAAGAGGACGAAGACGAGGAAGAAGCAGAATCAGACGACAACGAAGATGGAGACGAAGAAGGAGACGAAGAGGCACAGTCTCCCATCTATTGGGACTTTCCTGAGGAGCAGGGCACAGTCTTCCATTATCTAACAAAATCAGATTCGAATTAAACAAAACTCCATCGCTGCAATCGACTCCTGCCCATACCATCCGAACTCTGCTTACTCACTTCGCAAAAGCGCATGTCTCCAAACTCATTGTATGGACGTGAGCTCACTCCTTCTCTTCCAAGACTCCAGTATCAGGAAAAACATTCGACCCTCTTTCCCCGCTCTAAACGAACCCAAAAACAAGCTTAAACATAATAGCCTCACGGACATCCCGGGAACACAAACAAAAAGTTCGCTCTAACCCCGCCTTCCTTCACTCAGGATGCGACGCTGCGCGGATCGTAGCCCAAGTGGGAAGGTGAGCAGAGCCAGAATAACACAACGCCAAGCAATGACGCAGCAAGCTGTCGGGGTGTCAGCCAGTAAGACAAAATATTTTGATCGTTCTATACTAACCTTTAGCTTATCTCATTTCTGGCACCCTGAATCTTGGACGACAGCTTGCTTATCGATTTCTCCGCATACTGCATGTTATTCTCAACTTCACATTCCTCTTTGAGATAGGTTCGATGCGGTGTAAGACCTAGCTTATCATGTTTTGTCCCCGCTTGTTGGATCGATGAATAGGCCAAGCCGGGTGTTCGTGAGATATTTGGAGGTATAAATACCTGCACAATGTCCAGAGATGAATGAGTCTTGTCACGGAACTTGAGGCGTCTTCTGGCTGTTTGTCATCATGTCTAGAACTCTAGCATCCGCCCTCCTCACCGCAGCATGCGTCTACGCCTGTCTGCCAGACAAAGACGAACTCGCTTCACTCCGCTCAAAGCGCAGTTCACGCTCCAACAGTGGTCTCACAAAGCGTGAAACAGTCCCCTTCCCGCCCATCCTGTCAGAAACTGAAACTCTTCTCGTCAACTCCTTCGACAACGCCTCCGTCTCCGACTGGTCGCTCTACTACTCCTCCGGCTACCGTCTCGCAGGCCACAACCGGAGCCAGGCAGAATGGACGCAGAGCAAATGGTCCGAGCACGGCTGGGAATCTTGGATTGAGGAGTATTGGATTACTTATACTGAGCCGACTGAGAGTACTTTGAAGCTTGAGAGGCCTGATGGGAGTGTGTTTGAGGTGCAGAGGTTGGAGGATCCTTTGGAGGGAGATGCGCAGACGAGAAATCCTGAGGAGAAGGTTGCTTTTCATGCGCTTGCGGGGAGTGGAAGGGTCAATGCTGAATATGTCTACGTTGGGTAAGTTTGAGAGTCTGGCTGGTGGGTGAGACTAACTTTGGTAGACGCGGTGCCAAGGCGGACTTTCAGAAGCTGAAGGATCTTGGTGTTGAACTCGGTGGAAAAATCGCCCTTGTTCAATATGGGGGTATGAACCGTGGTGTCAAGATCAAGAACGCTGAGGTAAATGACCCTGGTGAAAGATCAAAGCAATATTTGCTAATCTTGTGTAGGCAAACGGCATGATCGGCACGATCATCTACACCGATCCTCTCGAGGACGGTGAGATCACCGAAGAGAACGGCTACCTCCCGTACCCTGGTAAGTCAAAGCACTCTCACTTCAGTAAACTCATCTAACATCTCCCAGATGGCCCAGCTCGCCATCCCTCAGCCATCCAAAGAGGCAGCACGCGCTGGGGTTCCCTCTCCTTCGGTGACCCCTCGACAATCGGCTACGCCTCGCACAAAGACGCCCCCAGAGCAGACATTACTCCTTACGGTCCCACGACGCCCTCTATCCCCATCTCTCCACGCGACGGTCTCCAACTGCTGCACGCGTTGGATGGTCATGGTCTTTCCCCGGACCAAGTCAACCGCACCAACTACAAAGGCGCTTTCTCCAACGTCACATACTACAGTGGCCCAGCACCTGGTGCCAAGCTCAATCTCGTGAATATCATGGATAAGAGACTGGAGCCTGCGTGGGATGTGCTTGCTTCGATCAACGGAACTAACGAGGATGAGTATGTTATCATTGGAAATCATCGCGATGGCTGGACGGGCGGTGGTGCAGCTGATGCTGTTTCTGGTGGTTCGCTTCTCATTGAGATGGCCAAGGCTTTTGGAAAGTTGGTTGAGAAGGGGTGGAAGCCTCGTCGAACCATGTAAGTCACCCTGTCCCATCTTTCTCTGCAACGCTAACATTTGATAGCATCCTTGCTTCTTGGGACGCTGAGGAGTTTGGTCTCATGGGCAGCACAGAGTGGGTTGAAGATCATCTTCCTGAATTGCGCGAAAAGGTTGTCGCGTACATTAACCTCGACACAGCCGTCTCTGGTCCTCGTGCCGAGATCGTTGGGTCTGGTGAGATTCAGAAGATCGCTATCGAGACGATGAAGAAGGTCATCTATCCTGAGGGTTACGGCGCTGGACCCACACTCTATGACGCTTGGTACAATGCTACAGAGGGTGTTCTTCCTGCTATGGGTAGTGGAAGTGACTACGCAGCTTTCTACCACAACGGAATCAGCTCGGTAAGACTACCAGTACTTCTCATAGAGCATCTTACTAACAGCTTATAGCTCGACATTGCTGGAGGTCCAGGTCCCAAGGACCCCGTCTACGCTTACCACACCCTCTACGATACCCATGACTGGATGACCAACTACGCAGATCCAGGTTTCCATCTTCACAAAGCGATGGGTCAATACGTAACACTCCTAACCTACCACATCGCCGACGACCCTCTCATCCCCTGGGATATGACTCATGCCGGTTCCGCCCTCCGAGATATCTACGAAGATCTCGAAGATAAACTCGAAGAGCGTTTCTCCAACTACACCCTCGATCTCACCACTCTCTCCGACGCCGTGTCCGCATTCGAGACCGCAGGAAAGAGCATCGACAAACTCGCCAAACAAGCACTCGCTCTGAACGACACCGTTTTGTTGGCTGAAGTGAACACCAAGTTCAGAGAGTTCAGCCGAGGATTCGCTAGCGAGGGATTACTCCCGGGTAGATATTCTTTTTACAATGTTGTTAGTGCGCCCGGGTTGGAGAGTGGTTATGGAGCGGATGTTTTCCCGGCTGTGCAGGATAGTCTGGATCAGGGGAATGTGACGCAGGCTGAGGAGTGGGTTGAGAGGAGTGCGAAGGCTGTTTTGAGAGCTGCTGAGATTTTGAAGGTTGGCGAGTAAGCAGAGTCCTAGAGATACCGCCGAGCCGTGGACCCGTTCAATCGAATAGTCACACGGACTTCCGTTTCTTGGCATCTGATAGCCTTTCACAAGCACATCATATTGCGATCGTCCTATGAAGAGCCTTTCAAACCGCCCGCAATCCTCTGAAACTGTAGGGCTGGCCAATAAACCATCAATCGTATCCCCTAATTCTGGTGCCTGGAAACGTTCTCCTCGCTACAAACACAGCCCATGCAACAGCGGCCATCACAAGCGAATCAGCATCAGCGCCAGGGGCGGTCTTGTCCCTTTTTATATAAGTGCAGTGGACCCCAACCGTATTTCTGTCTGCAGGACTCAGGCGAGGCAACCTGTGCGAAAGAGCCAGGGAGAAGATGACTTGAAACTCTCCCTTTTCCTGTTTCTTATTATAATGCTGACGTCCTTCCCTTGTTTGTTCTCTGTCAGATTCTCTTTTACTGTCAGATTAATCATTTAGGCTCCCTCTTTGTATCATTTTTATTGCTTCAACCACACTCTTTTACCCCAAGTTTCTCGTCTTTCAATTTAATTGAAGCCTCGACAGTTTATTTTTGTCATTTGATTGTTTCGTCTCTTCTTTGCATGATATTCATCCTTGTAAGCGACACCCGTCAAATCTACCCGAAACCGATGGCGTCAAGCATTGACCGGACCCTTCAATTATGTCAACGCTTATGCCACTTCCACTGACCTCGAATGTTTCTAGAATTTATCTCCATAATTCACTATCGCCATGACAGATCACAGCAACCAGATCGGCGAAGCCGGTCTTCACCATCTTCCCTTCCGCACAAAGGAATCTCACCACAATGTCCCCAGGCGACTTGGAAAAAGAGTCCCCGAAAGTCTCAACTTTACTCGTCTTCGCTCACCAACCGAATCATCCATGAGCAGTATTTCTTCAGCGAATGTTCCTGATTCTGCGACTACTCACTCTCTTTCTACGCTGGCTAGTCCGATAAGTACGACGTATGCTGCTTCAATTCAAGAACAGTTTGCGGCGGCCAAGTTGGACGCCGAATCCAGGCCTGCGAGTCGGATATGTCATCGACATAATCCGAGTAACGGCACTTGTTCGACTTTTGTGAATGAGGATGATGATGCATTTGTTACCGGGTATCCGGAATTTGATATCAAGATTCGGGGGATGAATGAGAGGGCGCCTGTTGAGATTCGTCCTGCGAGGTAACCTTCTTTACTCCGACGTGTGATGTGATGCTGACTGTGTCAGTCCTGTCAACTCCTTGATCAAAGAGGAACGAGTTCTCACACCTACGGAATCTCATCATACGGATACAGACTTTGACGCCGATGATGAAGACTCTGAGGCTGTCACACCCGAAGACGCAAACTTAGTGCTCAACTACGCTCTACAAGTAATCTACGGCGTCGATCTAAACGACACATCAATTCCCCAATCCAAAGTCCACAGCCTAGTATCAAACTTTACAAAAGATATATCACAACATATCTGGCAATCTGCCTCCGACGGCCAATTATCCCACACAATGTCCATGTCCAGCTCGTCATCCACACCCTCCCAAGACGCTGACCGCCGAAACAAACGCAAGAAGGCGGGTAAACGTGAAGACGACGGCGATGAGTTTAGTGATGGTGAAGGCTCTGGTATTCTACCAGCGAAGCGTCCGAGACCTAATCCCAAGGATGATGAGAATTTGAGACTGAGCTGTCCTTTTCGGAAGAGGAATCCTCATCGGTTTAACGTGAGGGACCATCACAGTTGCGCGATGACTTACTTCCCCAAGTTTGCTGAACTGAGGTGAGTCGTAAATATCGCTTACCATCGACTTTGTTAACAACTTATGGCAGACAACACATCGTCAAGCAGCATAAACGCGATGATCCCTCAGCGTACGTCTGCGATCGCTGCAGTCGAGATTTCACTACCCGCAAAGAACTCCGTGACCATCAGCGTTTACCAAAAGAGTACATGTGCGATATCGCGGACGCAGATGCCGAGAGCGGGATTGATCCTCAAACTGCTACGAAGTTGCTTAGTAGGAAGCGAGCTAGTGGGACTTCACCTGAGGTCCAGTGGAGGGAGATTTGGAATATTGTCTTTCCGGATGACGATGATAGTGATGTGAGGCCTTATGGTGAGTGTAAACAATATTTCGTTGAAGACTATGGACTGACATTTCTAGAATACACACCTGTGATTGAACATTTCGAGATCTCAGCTAGATACAAAGAAGCATTCGAAACCCTCAAATCAGACCTTATGGACAAAATCTCCAACCCAGCAACGCTGGAAACGCTCTCAACAAAGTTCTACCAATGTTTCGTCGAAACACTAGACACATGCATCGCCAACGCACAAAACATGCCCTACACAAACCGAAGCAACAAAAAGAACGAAATAATACGATCGCAACCCCCTCAAACCCTCATCCAGCGCAAGAGCCGTGAGATCATGCCCCGTCCGGACTCTGGTGTGATACTAGACGATGGTTCGGAGAGCAGTAGTCTTGGTCATAGGGATAGTTTGAGGAGTAGGGATAGTTTAAGAACGGTAGGAAGGGGAAGTAGAGTTCCTGAGACGGTTGTTGAGATTGTTACGCCGACGACTGGGTTTGAGCCTTCTATGCTGGGACAGATGGATGTTGCCGACGTCGCGGCTTGGAATAATGGGGTGATGTATCAGCCGATGATGGGTGACCAGATGCCCATGGGGCAGCCGGATTATATGAGCTGGGGACAGATGTATCCTGGGTTTGATACGCTGGGTAATGGGTTCACGGGATTTAATGGACAGCAGTAATTTTCCGGGCTGGACCCGGTTGTATGAACAGTTATATTTAATGGATTGATGTTACGCTTGACTATGATATTAATGCTAGTCTCTATCATACTATTCATGCGATATTTTCTAAACAAGTTCATCACTCTAGTAGCAGGTTGTTGACAAGAGAAGTATTCTATGAAGCTCAGGAAGTGAAAATACACAAGTCTAAAGTGCTAGTCTAAGCTAGCATAAGATAACGAAAGTATTTCGTCTCTTATGCTTTGAAGTGAACAAAACATCGATCTCTTAGAGTAGGTATCCAAGGATCCATATATACAGAGAATTACACCCTCCATCAACCCTTCTAATATTCCGGAACAGTCTCAACCTACAAACCCATTAGCCCAAGATCATAAACGCAACCATAAAAGCAGCAAGCCCCATCACTCCAAACCTCTCCTTCCCCGAAGCCCCATTCGTCACTCCTTCTCCCGACTTCTTCTCCGCCGGTTCACGTACCTTAGTTAAAGTGATGTTAAAAGCAGGACTCTTAACAGTCTTAACACCATCCTCACCATCCATAAAGACAAAAAGGTCCAGAGGAAGGTAGTTGTACACCATACGATCCTGCTGGAACCAAGTCTGGCAAGTTCCATCCTTGAAGAAAATCTCCTTCTCGGATTCAGTGTTGTTCGCGGGGGGAGTCTTGTCGAACACAGCGCGCCAAGCCATCTGACCCTTCGTCTCCAAATTGGAAGGATAAACTCTTGCGTCAACGTAAGCAGTCTTAGTCGAAGCGCCAGACTCCAAAGCGTTGAAGTTGTAGGAACCGATGTGGTTGAGAACATCAAAGCCGCGCATCTGCCAGCTCTTGATCATCATGCCAGGACCGAGATCTTGCGTAAAGGAAATGCTCGAGTTGGTCTCCTTGTCCTCAAAGGTTCCGCCGTAGGTATCGGCTGCGTCTAATTTACCGACTATCTCAATAGGAGGCACGAGGGTTTTGATGACGGCGGTGAGGATCTGGGCGGTTACGTAGGGGTCCTTGGTGGCTTCGCGACCACCGGTCATGATGGAGATGACGATGTCGTAGTCGGGAATCAGGACAGTTTGAGAGTGATAGAGACCGAGATCTCCCGACTTTGAGTACACGTCCACAATTCTACCATCCCATGTAATGTTGTCGCCTCGGAGGATCTCCCAGGGTCCGCCGACTTGGTATCCCCAAGACGCGGTGTTGGCTTCGGGCTTCATCCACTTGCGAGTCTCGACAGGAGACAGGAACTTGTTTGCGAGGATTCCGTCGGCCAATAGAAGCATATCAGAGACAGAAGAGAAAATACCACCAGCCCTAAAAATGTCAGTCAAAATCGCAATTTCAATATCAGGATACTCACGAGCCAAACACGCCAAGCGTAGAGTTCCAAGTAGATTCCGTCTCAGGAATAAACAGATCCTCCTGAGGAGGAGTCTTGTCGACATAAGTGTGGTTCATGCCGACGACATCGAGGATATCCCGCTTGATGATGTCTTCATAGGGCATGTCCTCGACGGCCTCGAGGACAAGACCGAGAAGAGCATGGCCGACGTTGGAGTAGACGGGGTTGGTGAAGGGGCTGTAGACAGGAGGTCGAAGGTTGACCTGCTCAAGAAGATCGTCACTGGTACAGGGAATTGTACCTGGGAGACCGGAGCAGTTGGGTCCTTTGCCCTTGGGGATCTTGGGAAGACCCAATGGCGCCCAAGATTCAGAGCCAACAATGCCGAGATCCTGAGCCACTATGACAAGTTAGAATCAATCATGACATGATTGAAAGAAAACTTACTATCAACACCGACACCAGAAAGGTGACTGGCAAGCGATCCAACGGTAACATCCTCCCACTTCATGCTCAGAATTTCATCATTCCCAGCGGTCTCGTTCAGCTTGGGAAGATACTTCAACACCGAAGCATTGAGATCAATCTTGTCATTAACTCTCGCCGCCAGTGCCGTAAAAAGCTTAGAACCAGAAGCAATTCGAAAGATAGTATCCTGATCAATCTCATCCGTGCCCAGCCCTGGGTTCGGTGGTGTAAAGCTGTACGTAAACAGAGCGTCATCCTCATGAATCGACTTGACAGCGATGGATACACCAGAAGTGTTGAAATTAGAAGCAATTTTTGCGTCGAGGGTTTTTTTGAGAGCTTTGTTGGCGGTCCTGATGTAGGGACTTGAGCCGGGGGATTGAGGCGCTGGGTACACGGGGCCGAGAGGAGGGCACGCTTTGCCGTCGACGAGAGTCAAGGCGCCTGCAGCTACAGCTGCGAATTGAATGATGGAAGGCATCGATAGAGAATGCGATGTATATGTATAGAGATGGTGATTGTAAAGAGAGTGGTGTGTAGATCAGATCAAACTACCACGTTGGGAACTTGGATTATATACACAACACCAACAGCTCGAAGGAATAACAATAGAACTGCCTATCACTAACACGGCCAAATAGCCCAACAAGTGTCATTTCATGTCCATCCTAGTTTGTTCATCCATCGTGCCATTTCGTCTCACTCAGCCTCTCCGCTTCAACAATATTGAATCCTGCAAACACCACGCGAGATGGGGTAACAGAAAAGATGTTCACTAGAGCTTAGGGTGTCAAAATACATTAAGCTAATTAATGGTACGAAAATGGTCAGACTATTTTGTATCCCGCGGCCGATTCTTCTGACACCTTGTAGATCTTGGCATGATGCAAAAGCGGCTGCAATCTCGGACACTTGAAATGCGAGAATTGAGCCAAGGATCCAGCTTTGGTTTCCGAGCTTGAGTCCGAGCTGGCCAATTAGACGGTTTTGCTGGATCGTGGTAGGTGGATAATAGAAGATGTCAGAAAAGGATGGCCCGCATGACCTCTTAAAGTGTGTGATTTATTTTGGCTCACGGAACATTTCTGCCGCGGGGTTCCATTGATGGATTTAGTGATGGAACGTTGTTAGGGTGCTGTAAGGCTGAGCGGCGCGGGGAGCGGCCGCGCGGGTCTTTGACTTTTTTTTGGCGGCGGGCGCTTAACTGCTTGATAGCCTGATTGTATGACGAAATATTGATGCTTGGAGTCTTTGAGGTTGGGATATAGACTGATTGATAATTGCCTACCCGTTCGCTCGGTGGGATAGGGGACCGTCTGCAGAGGAGAGCTTCCCTGTGGTTGACAGCTCAGATTGTCTCAGTGGATGCATTCTCTTTCCCATTATCCCACTCGGACTGTATGTAAATATCTTATCAATCAGCCTGTATCTACACCAAACACTCCAACTCATAAAAGGACCACTATCACGATAAAAACAGCTTCATCACTGTAACCTCGTAAATCATTCCCTCATACATCGTCACAATGGCCCCCAAGTTGCGCATCCTCCATTCTCACTGCGCCACGATCCTACAATACAGGGGTTTCACTTAGCCGTTGCACTGCCGTGGGGCTGTTTAGCGAGGATCCCCTCGCCTATCTTTATCCCTACGGCATGGATAAAACTACACATCGCCCACTAGCATCACCATCCTTCCCTCATTTCTCCAGCTCGGACTCTTTACCTCGGACTTTTTACATCTTCTTCAGCCTCAAGTCAGCCCTAGAATACACTAAAGCTCGTACCTTGCAGAAAACATGAACTTGGTTCCGCCTCAGTCACCGCCCAAACAATCGGGTCGGAAGGGAAGTAAAAAGGTTCGCACTGGTTGTATTACCTGCAAGTGAGTTACTCCGCTTCTTGTACCTGTCATGTACTAACCATGACTTTCTAGAATTCGCAAGGTCAAATGCGATGGTACAGACATAACTTCTCTTCAGTTAATCTCCAACTAACAATTTGTAGAAGCCAAACCATTCTGTCTACGATGCATAAAAACAGGCCGTCAATGCGACGGCTACCGTCCATCCCCAAACTCCTCCCCAGAACCACTATCCCTGAGTCCAGCACCAGGCTTCGACTCCCACCAAGAAGTCCACGCCTTCGACCACTACCGCCTACGCACCGCCAAAGTCCTCTCCGGTGTCATCGACGCCAGTTTCTGGGGCGGCGTAGTTCTTAAAATGAGCGCTACAGAACCTGCTGTTCGTCATGCCATTCTTGCGATTAGCAGTCTTCATGAAGCTGTTGAGAACAGAACAAAGGGACTTGATACCCGCTTTGCGTTTCGAGAATATGGAAATGCGATTACCTCACTACGAAATTGGGGGGATCGGAATGAACCTTCCCTTGTCCCGTTGCTTGTTTGTGTGTTGTTTATTTGTGTTGAGTTTCTTATTGATCGGGATACCGCTGCGCAGATGCACATCTGCCAAGGACGTCAGATTCTCTCAACATTGGGTAATGGACGATCACCTGCCATGGAAACGATCAAGCATGTTCTCGTACCCATTTACGCACGCTTGAGTTTGTCAAGTTTTCTGTTCGGCAGTCGTCCTGCGCCTATTCCGGCACATTTACGAAGCTGGACTGACATGCCCGTCATGTTCAGCAGTATTGAAGAAGCGCGATATGCGTTGTATCTATTACAAGACGATACACTGCAGTTCGCTTTTGCTGCGAGAAGTATTATTTTCGACCCAGAGGCCGATCCTCAACAAATCGTTCATTTTCAACATGAACAACAGCGCCTCTTGTCGCAATTGACTCGGTGGCACGCTGCATTTACAGTCGTAACAGCAATGACGCCCCAATCACCCGCCCTCGAAAGCGCCCTCAACGTTCTCAGAATCTACCATCAATCCACGCTCATCTACATCTCCACCGCTCTGGACACAAGCGAAATGGGCTACGACAGCTATACGTCCAACAGCGCGACGATAATCTCTCTAGCATCCACCATCATCGGGTCAGGCTCAAACTCCAAACTCGAGGCATTCAGTTTCGAAACAGAGATCATACCGCCTGTTTACTGGGTCGCCATCAAATGTCGCCATCCTTTACTTCGAAGAGCAGCGCTGAATCTTTTGACGAGAGATCAAATGAAGAATCGCAGGGAGAATTTATGGCATGCGCGCGAAACATCCATCATCGCAGCACGCAGCATCGAAATAGAAGAGTCAGACTACGACACACCAGATCGAAACACCTCCAGTCCACGAAGTATACCATCTTCCAGCTCGCTATCCTTCGACTCCGAAGAAATCTACGAATACCTCGTCAGCAAAGACATAAAGATAAAAGTCCCCACCACAAAACCTCCTTCCCTACCCGCACCACCACCATCATTCACAGACCCCACGCCCGAAGAGTTCATATCCGGATCACCGTACAGTCTAGGATCATCGCCAGAACCCACGACGCCAGATGGTGTACCGCAGCTTGATGTAACAGCGCTTAAGACGAGTGGGTTGGAGCCGCCGTTTAATATTCCGAATGAGAGAAGGATTAAGAATGCGGTTTTTGGACCGGCGGAGATGGATGGGATTTTGGTTACTTTCTTTAGGGATCCGGAGCCTGGGGAGATGAAGTGGAAGGTTACGAGGGAGTTTTTGAGGTTTGGGAATGGATATGATGTACGATGATGATATACCCAGGTGTTTTGATAGTTTTAGCTATTGTTGTTTATTGAAGCTTGTCATTTGGAGACTGTGTATTGCTGCTTAATTGAATTGTGATCCGACATCAGGACACAGCTGTGATGGGAATGATTGACCTTTATGAGCAATGACCATAAAGACAAGAAACCTTGATGCTACAAAAGAATACTTGCAAACTTATTTCATGCGCCTAAGTCAGAAGTCAATCGCGTCCAAGATGCGACTTGTTGAACATCCTTCACTGGTGGTCTACCCTGCACCAATGCCTCATTTTGAAGCAATGACACGACTTCAATCCTGGCACCACGAATAAACAGCTGCGGAAATCGATACTTGCTCATTCTCCAGTTTTCAATTGTAAAAGTCTATTGAAATATGTGTCAGCATGTACCGGAGTGTCGCTCATGGTATGTTTGAAGATTTCCGCGACCAGTAGGTCACATCATATCCAGAACCTTTTGACACTCTACTCCATCAGGACCATCACGACCTGCATTGGACTCAATGTCAATAGCAAACATGACCGATTGAGTCAATCATGCGTCAATTAATTCGAAGGGTATCATTATCATTACTAGAAACTACTCAAGTCCTCCTCACCCTCTAGCAGCCTCCGCCACAAGTTTTCTCCTCTTATTCCTCTCATCCTGCTCCGCCAAAACCTTCGCCGTCAAACTCGCCGCAAAAGAATTATTAATCCCACTAATTCTCGCATCCTCGCTCTTCTTTGTATCCTTAGCAGCCTTCTCCTCTTCTTTCACATCATCACCCTTGCGCTTCTTCTTCTTCTCCGTCTTATCCTTCTTCAACGTATGCGTCAATCCTTCACCCTTGAGTTTCTCAATCCTCTTCTCCAATCGCTCCACATCTTCTTTTGACGCCGCAAGTAGTGCAATGATGTTCTCTTGCTCAAATTCCGTTCCGCATTCGGGACAGGTCTTTTCTTGAATCTCCTTCATTGCGACATCCGCAAAGACATGACCGCAAGGAACGAGGTACACAGATTTGACAGAGGGGCCTAGCTCTTTCATGGAAATAGGACACACAAGTTTATCGCCGTTCTTGGAAACCTTGAGCTTTGCCACATCGCGTAGTGACTTGATACCCAGACTCGCAGGTGTGACATCGACGGGTTCGTCGGAGGGCATGAGGCCGTTGAGAATGGCTTCGTAGTTGTATAGGCGCCCGCGCCAGTCGGAGACAAGAGTATCGATATCGAGAGGTTCGCCGCTGAGTGCGCAGTGTGACCATGCATGGGCGAGGGCTTCGAGGGTTGTGGCTTTTAGTTCGGATGTTGTTTTGGCGCGCGCGGCATTCTTGACGAGCTCGTGACGCTTGGGGATGGAGCCTCCGTCGTTACCCATGTTGATCGCTGGGTCGTATTTTGTAACAATGTAGTGTAAGTATCAGTGAAGAGGTGTGTTCGCAATCGGAGGTGATGCACGTATCACAGCGAAAGGGTGGGATGATCGTAAAGGTGGATAAGTTAGGAATGTCTACCAGGAAGGCGATTCCTAAATCAAATGAAGAAAGCTTATCGATAAGACCCGAGGAACAACGGTCAAGCATAAAGTAGCAGGTCCGTGCGTAAACTTTCACCAACTGTGACACCACGCCGTCGTTGCTAGCTCTTGCTACCAATCAGCACTGTGCATCTACTTGTACACGCTCCACCAATTCCCAAACATCCACCTCCGCCTGATCCAAGCTCATCAACCTTCAACTTCGACCTCCCCCCCGGTGCTATGCGCCTTTCTTAATATCCTCTTTCGGTGGCGCCTAGTTGGAGGCGTTATTTATAACACCCGATTGCCCTATAGTTGCAGTTCTTACGAAATATTCACGTCCGACACGCGCGCCGACCTCGAAGCTCCCCACACTCTCTTGACGACTCTGCCCCCGGGCTTTCCATAATCAAGTACATGCGCCCTTGATCCTATCCATCTCAGTGCCATGGCACAAGCACAGCAAGTCGCTCTCGAGCGACTGGAGCAAGTCACCCGCGGCCTCAAGTCAAGGTATATTTCGTCATAGTAACCTGCACAAAACAAACCTAATATCCCCGCAGGATTAGCGACGACGTGCGAAAACGATCCGCCGTACAGCTTCGCGAGCTTGTGACGGTCTGCCATCGAGATCTTTCCCCCGAACTATTCCAGTCTTTTTACAATGCCGTCAACAATAAGATCACACAGCTCATCACACACGGGAGCGACTCGTCCGAACGTCTCGGCGGCATCTACGCCCTCGATGCGCTCATCGACTTTGAAGGCGTCGACGTAGCAGTCAAATACACGCGTTTCACACAAAACCTCAAAACGATTCTTCGAGGAAAGGACATTAATCCTATGCAACCGGCCGCCATCGCGTTAGGAAAGCTATGTCGACCAGGCGGATCCATGATATCAGAAGTAGTAGACTCGGAAGTCAACACAGCGCTCGAATGGCTCCAGAACGACCGCGTGGAGGAGCGACGATATAGTGCCGTGCTCGTCCTGCGAGAACTGGCTCGCAGCGCTCCGACGTTGATGTATCAGTACATCCCTACAATCTTCGACTGGATCTGGATTGGACTTAGAGACTCCAGACAGCTTATCCGGGCGACGTCAGCAGAAACAGTTAGCGCCTGTTTCCGAATCCTCCGCGAACGAGATCAAGAGATGAAGCAGCGATGGATGAGCAATATTTACAACGAGGCGAAGCAGGGTCTCAAGGTCAACACTGTTGAATCGATTCATGGTTCGTTACTTGTGTTGAAGGAGCTTCTTGAGCAAGGTGCTATGTACATGCAGGAGCATTATCAGCAGGCGTGTGAGATTGTGTTCAAGCACAAGGATCATAGGGACCCAACTATTCGAAAGACTGTGGTTCTGTTGATTCCTGACTTGGCCAGTTACTCTCCTGCAGACTTTGCGCATACATGGCTGCACAAGTTTATGGTCTATTTGTCGGGTATGTTGAAGAAGGACAAGGAGAGGAATGATGCTTTCTTGGCGATCGGTAATATTGCCAACTCTGTCAAGAGCGCCATCGCTCCATATCTCGATGGTGTTTTGATCTACGTCCGGGAAGGTCTCAGTGTTCAATCACGAAAGAGAGGCTCAGTCGATCCAGTATTCGACTGTATCAGTCGTCTTGCTGTGGCAGTCGGTCAAACTCTCAGCAAATACATGGAGGCACTCCTGGATCCCATCTTCGCATGCGATCTTACTCCCAAACTCACACAAGCTCTCGTCGACATGGCCTTTTACATCCCCCCGGTCAAACCCACAATCCAAGAACGATTACTCGACATGCTCAGTATAGTCCTCTGCGGCGAACCCTTCAAACCCCTAGGAGCACCCCATCCCAATACGCTCACCTCTGTTCCAATTATTCCCAAAGACGCGAAAGATCCCCTGGCTTATGAGCACCGAAGAGCCGAAGTCAAGCTCGCCCTCAACACCCTCGGCAGCTTCGACTTCTCAGGCCATGTTCTGAACGAGTTTGTCCGCGATGTCGCAATCAAGTACGTCGAAGACGAAGATCCAGAAATCCGAGAAGCAGCAGCGCTTACATGCTGTCAACTCTACGTCCGAGATCCAATCGTCAATCAGACCAGTTATCACGCACTCCAGGTAGTCGGCGACGTTATAGAGAAACTTCTCACTGTCGGAGTCTCAGATCCTGAACCTAACATCCGACGGACAGTTCTGGCAGCTTTGGACGAGAGATTCGATCGACACTTGGCCAAGGCCGAGAATATTCGTATCCTGTTCTTTGCTTTGAACGATGAGGTGTTCTCCATCCGAGAAGTCGCGATCGCTATTGTTGGCCGTTTGGCTAGGTACAATCCGGCTTATGTTATTCCTTCGCTGCGAAAGACTCTCATCCAGATGCTCACCGAACTTGAGTTCTCCGATGTTGCCCGTAACAAGGAGGAGAGCGCCAAGCTGTTGAGTCTTCTCGTTCAGAATGCCCAGTCTCTTATCAAGCCATATGTCGAGCCCATGATATCTGTCCTTCTACCCAAAGCAAAGGACAGCAACCCCTCAGTGGCTGCCACGATCCTCAAGGCTATTGGTGAGCTTGCGACTGTTGGTGGTGAGGATATGATGCCGTACAAGGATCGACTGATGCCACTCATTCTCGATGCGCTTCAAGATCAGAGTTCAAATGCGAAGAGAGAAGCTGCTCTTCATGCACTGGGACAACTTGCGAGTAACTCTGGATATGTCATTCAACCCTATATCGAGTATCCGCAGTTGCTCGAGATCTTGCAGAGCATCATTAGGACAGAGGGACAGCGGGTTCCCTTGAGACAGGAGACTATTAAGCTGATGGGTATCCTGGGTGCTCTTGACCCTTACAAGCATCAGGTGAGTAGCCATATGGGATTATTGGACAACAACTGACAGAAACAGGCTGAGGAACGAACTCCCGATTCACGACCTGGCGAAGCTACTCAAATGACCGACATTTCTCTCATGATGACCGGACTGACACCATCCAACAAGGAATACTTCCCTACCGTCGTCATCAACGCTCTCCTTCAAATCCTCAAGGATTCGTCCCTTGTCCAACACCACGCAGCCGTAATTGAAGCGATCATGAACATCTTCCGCACCCTAGGCTTGGAGTGTGTGTCATTCCTCGATCGCATCATCCCAGCTTTCCTCCAGGTCATTCGATCAGCCACCTCCACCAGACTCGAGTCATACTTCAACCAACTAGCAACTCTCGTCAGCATTGTTCGTCAACACATCCGAAACTACCTCCCCTCCATCGTCGAGATCCTCCAAGAATACTGGCATACCTCTCCGTCGCTACAGACTACTATTCTGTCTCTCGTTGAGGCCATTTCCAGGTCGCTTGAGGGAGAATTCAAGATCTACCTCGCTGGACTCTTACCTCTGATGCTCGGAGTCTTGGACAAGGACACTTCTGCCAAGCGTACACCTTCCGAAAGAGTTATGCACGCTTTCTTGGTGTTTGGCGCCAGCGCAGAAGAGTACATGCATCTTATCATTCCGGTCATTGTTCGCACGTTTGAGAAGCAGGGACAGCCTACATTTATTAGAAAGCAGGCTATCGATACTATTGGCAAAATTTCTCGACAGGTCAATTTGAATGACTATGCGGCCAAGATCATTCACCCTCTTACTCGTGTGTTGGATATGGGCGAGCCTTTGCTACGTACTGCTGCTTTGGACACGCTCTGTGCTCTCATCCAGCAATTGGGCAAAGATTATCTGCACTTTATGGGTACTGTCAACAAGACCATCAACCAACACCAAATCCAGCACTCCAATTACGAACTTCTTGTCAGCAAGCTTCAAAAGGGAGAGGTCTTACCACAGGACTTGAGCTCGGGGGCTGGTTTCGGTGATGGCGCCGACGAGCCTGCGTTTGCGGACCAAGGCACTAAGAAGCTGGAGATGAATGCCATCCACCTCAAGGCCGCCTGGGATACAAAGGGCAAGTCGACAAAGGAAGATTGGCAAGAGTGGCTGCGACGCTTCAGTACAACACTTCTCACAGAATCACCCAATCATGCCCTTCGAGCTTGTGCCAGTCTGGCAAGCGTATACCTCCCACTCGCTCGAGAACTCTTCAACTCGGCGTTCGTGTCTTGTTGGAGCGAGCTCTACGAGCAGTTCCAAGATGAACTCATCCAGAACATCGAGAGCGCGATAAAATCGGAAAACGTCCCTCCCGACCTGTTGGGTCTTCTACTCAACCTCGCCGAGTTCATGGAGCACGACGACAAGGCTTTGCCAATTGACATCAGAGTTCTCGGTAGGGAGGCTGCTCGCTGTCACGCATACGCAAAGGCCTTGCACTACAAGGAACTCGAGTTCCTTCAAGATCAGAGCAGTGGTGCCGTGGAAGCTCTGATCGTTATCAACAATCAGCTCCAACAGTCTGATGCTGCCATTGGTATTCTCCGCAAAGCTCAACTCTACAAGGAGGGGATTCAGCTGAGAGAAACCTGGTTTGAGAAGCTTGAGCGCTGGGAGGAGGCGCTTGCGTTCTATAACAAGCGTGAGGAGGAGGTACCTGAGGATCAAGCTATACCTGTTGATATCGTCATGGGTAAGATGCGTTGTTTGCATGCGCTGGGAGAGTGGGAGGCTTTGGCTTCTTTGACGGGAAGCACATGGGCCAACTCTACGCCCGAGGTTCAGAGGATGATCGCGCCTCTTGCAACGGCTGCTGCTTGGGGTCTCAACAAGTGGGATTCCATGGACAATTACCTCTCATCACTCAAGAGGTACTCACCCGATCGTTCATTCTTTGGAGCCATTCTAGCCCTCCACCGCAACCAGTTCCGCGAAGCGATCGCTTGTGTCACGCAAGCACGTGAAGGTCTGGACACCGAATTGAGTGCATTGGTCAGCGAGTCATACAACCGAGCATACCAAGTCGTCGTCCGAGTTCAGATGCTCGCAGAGTTGGAAGAGCTCATCGTCTACAAGCAATGCGACGAGAAGAAGCAAGCCATCATGCGACGAACCTGGGAGACACGACTTAAGGGCTGTCAAAGGAACGTCGAGGTTTGGCAGCGCATGCTCAGGTTACGTGCTATAGTGATTGCGCCTACTGAGAACATGCACATGTGGATCAAGTTTGCCAACCTTTGTCGCAAGTCTGGACGAATGGGCTTGGCGGAGAAGTCACTCAAGCAACTCATCGGAACCGACGCTCCTTTGGAGTCTATGATACCCTACTGGAACGATCAGCGACAGCCTGGTCCTGGTCCCAGGAGTGCGCCTGCGGCACAGGTTATTTACGCTGTGCTCAAGTACCAGTGGGAGCTTGGACAACAGTCTGCGCAGAAGACCAAGATTCCTGAAAAGACACTTTACTGTCTTCGCAAGTTTACAAATGATGCTGCGCATAGACTGGACGTTGCTCGAGCGCACCTCAACGCTCAGGCTGGAAGTGAAGTCAACATCACAAACGACTACGGGTTCCAGAACCCTATGGACCCTGCTGTCATGAGCCCTCAGACTCAACGAGCGTTGTATGACCAGACCGTCCTACTGGCGAAGTGCTACTTGAGACAGGGAGAGTGGTTGATCGCACTCAACAAGGATGACTGGCAGTACACCCAGGTTCAAGATATCCTTACCTCATACTCACAGGCGACCAAGTACAACCCTCGCTGGTACAAGGCCTGGCACGCCTGGGCGCTGGCCAACTTCGAGATCGTCCAGACTCTCACAGCCCAGAACGAAGGACATCTGTCGAGGGCGGACCAAGCGATGGTGGTTGACCATGTTGTTCCCGCCGTCAAGGGTTTCTTCAAGTCCATCGCTCTCTCAGAGGGAAGTTCACTACAAGATACTCTCCGTCTGCTAACCCTCTGGTTCACCCACGGCGGAAGCGCAGACGTCAACACAGCCGTGACAGAAGGCTTTGCCAACGTCAGCGTCGATACATGGCTAGAGGTCATTCCCCAATTAATCGCCCGAATCAACCAGCCTAACAAGCGCGTTCAACAGTCGGTGCATAACTTGCTTGCCGATGTCGGACGTGCTCATCCTCAGGCTCTGGTCTATCCTCTCACCGTCGCAATGAAGTCCTGGCAAAACACAAGGCGATCTCGTTCCGCAGCTCAAATTATGGATAGTATGCGACAACACAGCGCCAATCTAGTCGCTCAAGCAGACACCGTCAGTCACGAACTCATTCGCGTGGCTGTCTTGTGGCATGAGCTTTGGCATGAAGGTCTGGAAGAAGCTTCACGGTTGTACTTTGGTGATCATAACATTGAAGGCATGTTTGCTACGCTGGAGCCTCTGCACGAGCTTCTTGAGCGCGGTCCTGAGACTCTTCGTGAAATCTCCTTTGCGCAGGCTTTTGGTCGTGATCTCAAGGAGGCGCAAGATTGGTGTCGCCAGTACGAGACGAGTCAAGACGTCAATGACCTCAACCAGGCTTGGGATTTGTACTACCAGGTCTTCCGCAGAATTAGCAGACAGCTGCCACAGGTCACCACGCTGGAGTTGACGTACTGCTCGCCCAAGCTTCTCAACGCAAAGGACCTCGATCTCGCTGTTCCAGGAACGTACAAGAGTGGACAGCCAATTGTGCAGATCATGTCTTTCGACACGACGTTTAGCGTTATCAACTCTAAGCAGCGCCCGCGAAAGCTCAACGTCAACGGTAGCGATGGAAAGTCCTACTCCTTCCTTCTCAAGGGTCACGAAGATATTCGTCAGGACGAACGTGTTATGCAACTTTTCGGTCTCTGCAATACTCTGCTCGCGCACGACTCGGAATGTTTCAAGCGTCATCTCAATATCCAGCGCTACCCAGCTATTCCCTTGTCGCAGAACAGCGGTCTTCTTGGATGGGTGCCCAACAGTGACACCCTCCACGTTCTCATTAGAGAATATCGTGAGAGTCGCAAGATTCTGCTTAATATTGAGCATCGCATCATGCTTCAGATGGCGCCTGACTACGACAACCTCACCTTGATGCAGAAAGTCGAGGTGTTTGGTTATGCGTTGGATAACACCACCGGACAAGATCTCTACCGCGTTCTGTGGCTCAAGTCAAAGTCTTCAGAGGCTTGGCTTGAACGACGAACGAATTACACGAGATCTCTCGGTGTTATGTCCATGGTCGGCTACATTCTGGGTCTGGGTGATCGTCACCCGTCTAACCTCATGCTTGACCGCGTCACTGGAAAGATCATCCATATCGATTTCGGTGATTGTTTCGAGGTTGCCATGAAGCGAGAGAAATACCCTGAACGGGTACCTTTCCGATTGACGCGCATGTTGACGTATGCTATGGAAGTCAGCAACATTGAGGGTTCTTTCAGAATTACTTGTGAGAACGTGATGAGAGTGCTCCGAGACAACAAGGAAAGCGTCATGGCTGTTCTCGAAGCCGTAAGTCCCCTCCCCCCTTCACTTTGATCATCGATCACTAACAATTTCAGTTCATCCACGACCCTCTCCTGACATGGCGTCTAACCAGCGCCCCATCCCCCGCCGGTCCCAACTTCCGCAATGACCGCGACACAGCGATGCCCGTCCCCGGCGGTGTTCGGGCTCGTCGTCAAAGCATTCTCGACAGCGACGTAGCACCCAGCGAACTCCTCAACGCCCCCGAACCATCCATCCAAACACGCGCCCGCGCCCGCACAAACTCTTCCGCTGGTGTTCCAGAAACCAACGGCGCACCCGAAGTAGAATCCCAAAACGCCCGCGCAGTTGAGGTGTTGGATCGCGTGCAGCAGAAACTTACGGGTAGGGATTTCAAGAATAATGAGGAGTTGGATGTGATTAATCAGGTGAATAAGTTGATTATGGAGGCTACCAAGTTGGAGAATTTGTGTCAGCACTATATCGGATGGTGCAGCTTCTGGTAGAGAATGAGGGATTGGGGCAGAGGGTTGAGTTGTGTTGTACATTGGAGTTTCGGGGGTTTGTTTGGGTTCAAGTTGTATGATATCACGTTGGCCTTGGACGTGCTGTACATAGCATATTTGTTGAGCTTATGTTTGTATGAGGCGGACGATAAACCTTTAACAGTATCTTTTTATTGCTTTGGTTCATTTATTGTGGTTGCGACAAGCAATTGCACATGCATAATGATGAGTTTGGCCATCCTAGAGCTGACGGTGCCAAGATAAAGTGATCCAACTGCAGGACTTAAGCTCGCATTAAATGTCCAGATTATTTCGTCTCCTGTACTTTTACCGGTCAATTCATCTAGACTTCGACAACATGGACAGCGATTCGACCATTCTAAGCGAAGCCATTCAGATGTTGCAAAGCAACATCACCATACCATCCGGATCATTCAAAATCAAGTCGCATGTTGTTCAATTTGACAGCGCATCCACATTGCAGTATCTGTAGTTTCAATTTACAAAAGTTCGGTGAAGATAAGGTCAAGATGAAACAGGGCAGATCACCTCCATTTTCCTGATTTTGTTTGACGGTCCAGGTACAAGGATCAAGGTGACGGATCATGACGTTTACTGGGGATGCCGAGTCAGTACTGACGTCCACTGATTGCAGATCTCCAACCCGACATCTGTAGGTAGCTGTCCTGTATAAATAGACTGTCATGTGTAATAAAAAAAGCAAAATGCAGGTGCAAATTGGGCATCAGGGAAATAATGAAGCCTGTCAATGCAGGCCAAGACGCAGCTGGGAATTGTTATCAAGGCACAGATTGGGCTGGCAGCATGAATGAATTGACCACGATCCAATCTCACCCCAAAAAAAAAGTTCCGCACCAAAGAGTTTAGCAGCTTACTTTTTAACTCCATAGCTTACGACGCTTTAACTGCCCCAGCTCCATTCAATGCAAAGGATCTTTTGACTGCCCGGGCAGTCAGTTCAGGCTCGGCCCACCTGAAAATCTATCCTCAGTCATCAATCCATCTTTAATCCCTCGAGAACATTGACATCCAAGGTACTGTACCTGTCATTATCTTTCATGCTGTCAATAGCCTCGCGCTACCCCGCTATCTAACGTCCATCGGATTCAGCGTCTGCTTTTACCCGCCCGCCTGGCTCACGGGCTCCAGTATCCGAGGCCAAGTGAGGTCCAGACCTCTAAAAGTTAGCAGGGGACCAGGCCGTTACAGCACATGAGGCAGGTACTTGCTTCAGTGCTCCACTCCACTAAAGTGTCAGAATAGAACACCCTGTACTCCCCTCTAAAGTGATCGGATTATTTGGTCTATGATACCCTGTCTCCCCCAACCTCCAGCGATTGCTTCAGGTTCCTTTCCCCAATCATCAACAAAAACAAAAACATCCGTTGTCGCTCTCAACTGTCATCATCAAATCTTACTCAACTTGGCCAACGCATTATCGAGTTCCAGGGCCCTCGTCTAAGCGAATCGACTAGATAGTGTCCCCCGTTTCTGACTCTGGCCCCTCCCCCGTCCCATTCCCTAAACAACTCCACTTTAATCCGTTGCTATCGCGGGACATCCGGTACCTCCCTTCTACCTTCCCATTCAATCCATCTTGACCAGTACATACCTCCTCCCAACCAAACGTCCATATCGCGCAACAAACAAAACACAGCTTATCACAATCAACATCTTCTATCGATACCGTTGAATCGTCCCTCGGCTAGACATCAGCCAAGTGCGCGATCGCGCCACAGCTGATATCGCCATCATGGGGAACTCTAATACGAAAGAGTCCCGCGAGGGCGATGCTTCTCGCCGTTATTCACAACAACAACCCGTCGATCCTTCCATCCGCGATCATCTCCAACGACAAGATAACTCCAACAATAGATCAAGTCGTCGTATTAGTAGAGCTGAGATCAATATCTTTGGCCTAGGTCCTTCCTCACGCAACCGTGATCAACAAGATGCTCCCTTTGAACGTCGCGAGACCAAACAAGAGCGCGAGGCGAGGAGACTAGAGAGGGAACGTGTGGCTCGAGCCAAGGAACGAGAGAGGAGCATGCGCGAGGAACATGTCGACGGAGGGTATTTGGTTACGTTGGGTACCTATACTGGTACTGAGGACTTTAGCAAGCCTGTTGTGAGGCAGTTACAGGTATGATCTCTGGTCTTTGTCTTGAGGTAAGCTGACAACTATAGATCGAAAGAAAGCTTGCGCCGTTCTGGCGGGGCCTAAATGATTGGTCTTCAAGCTGGGCTGAACATCAACTTATCGCTGCTGCTCGTGGCCTCGACGTTCCTCCCGCCGATGCGCCGCCCGACCCAGAGCTTGTCCCTCAACCGCTCCCCTCATCAGCAGACAACCCGTCTTCGTCGAACAATAACCTCCAAAACTTGACGGTTCCGATGGGACCTAGGACTCTTTCTGCCGCATCAGACCGTAGCGGATCAGGATCGCCGTCCACCGGACAAGGCAAAACACCCTTTAAGCCTCGAGCTAAGGCTCTCGCGGCTGCTCTCAGTGGTGGTTCCAGAAACGCTTCTTCGACCGATTTGACCCCCAAGGAAATCTCTCTACCCAATGATCCTTTCGTCAACGGACAGCCTCTCGAGGTTTTCCTTTACAAGGACGCTGATGAGTGTCCTATCTGTTTCTTGACATACCCACCTTACTTGAACAGCACCAGATGCTGCGACCAACCTATCTGCAGCGAATGCTTTGTTCAGATCAAGCGCTCCGACCCGCATCTTCCCGAGCATCATCCCAACGGCGAAGCTCGAGACCCCAACGAAGGACTCAACGCCGATGACCCGCCTGAGCTACTAATCTCGGAGCCTTCTGCATGCCCGTACTGCCAGCAACCCGAGTTCGGAGTGACCTACGAACCTCCACCTTTCCGCCGAGGTCTTATCTATTCAACAGGCAACAACCACAACACAGCCATGTCATCGCAGACTTCGTTGAACAGCACCCTTCAAACCCCAACTACGCCCGGCCGTCGGCGCGCACATAGTTTGTCCGCGAACGCGCCGAACGTTATAACAACTGACCGCGTGAGACCGGACTGGGCGGCTAAGCTTGCTTCAGCACGGAACCATCAAGCCCGTCGAGCAGCTGCCGCCACAGCCCTCCACACAGCCGCTTTCCTCATGGGCGGCAACGAGCAACGAACTATCCTGCGCGCCCCGAGACTCGGCCGAAGAAATACACGACCCACCGAAGAAGGTACTTCCAGCACAGGTGCGCAAGCTGAGGGTGCACAAGACGAAGCGACTGAGGGACAGCCTGAGGCAGGAGCTCGCGGCACACGGAGGAATCGCATGGAAGAGCTCGAAGAAATGATGCTAATGGAAGCTGTTCGTCTCTCGCTTGCTTCCGAGGAGGAAAGGAAGCGCAAGGAAGATAAAGCCATCCGAAAAGAGACCAAGAGACGAGAAAAAGAGGAGAAGAAAGCTGCTAAGAAAGGCGGCAATCCTTATAGTGGAAGTGCCAGCGGAGCCAGCGGCAGCAGTTTGTCGCTAGGAGGACTGGGTCGTCGACGTGGTAATAGTACTGCCAGCAATCTACGTGTCGAGGCGACCATGTCGAGAGCTTCGCAAGCGAGTACCCCGGATTCACCTGAGCCGAAAAACGATAGCGGAAAGGGAAAGGGCGTTGATCGAGGAACAGCAGAGTCTCAACCTGGACCAGCTTCATCGTCGAGTTCTTTGCCTCTGCCAGCTAATCCCTCGCGCGGAGGCTCTCATCTTCGACAAATGAGCAACGCTTCTTCAGTAGGCTCTTCCGTCAACGATAGTCCCGTCGGTACATACACAGGACCCGATTATCTCGGCACCGAAGCCGCAGGTCCTCGATCAAGCGGCCTAAGCCTTGCATACAGCGACGACGGAGAGCGTGATGCAGGAAGTGCTGGTTCAGAACCCATGTTCAACTTTAGCAGTCTTGCCCAAATGGTCGGCGCAGACCTCGACGGTGGCCGTCACGAAGACGATGATGGTTACGCCCGTCCACTATCACAAGTACAAGAAGACGACAAAGAAGACGCAGAGGCAGAACATGTCGAGGGTGTAAAGACCGAAGTTGTGCCTAACAGCAACTTAGCCACGCCCGCGCTCATGGTCACGCCTGAAACACCAGCGGCACCGGAACATGAGGCGGAACATGAGAGTAAGCAACTTGGACACTCTGTCACACAAACATACCGCGAACAAAGAGATGTGTAGGAGCTTTTGGAAAGATTGGCAGAGCGTCAAAATAAAAACTTGCCTAAGGTTACCGTTTTGAAGACGAAGGAAAGCGCATATGAGAACTGGAGCAACGTGTAGTACTTTTGTATAAGGTTATGTAGTAATGGTTGCAAATAGCGGGCATCTTGCCATGATGAATCTATCTCTATATCTTTATCATCATTCATTCGTGACATGCCTACCTACTTCGTGATATGCCTCTTTCGTGACATGCCTACTTCGTAGGCGCCCATGCCTGTAACCAATCCCTCATCCTTTCTAAATTCCCCTTTTCTGCTTCCGCGGCTGCGATGCACCATTCTAGGTCCCAAATACCTTCGCTTGCCATCATCTCTGCTAACTTTCTTCCCCGTTGACTTCCCTCGTCTGTACAAAAATACAGAACCTCTTTTACCTGCGCGAGTAACGGCTTGACAAGTGGTAGCACTTCTCTTGTGTTCGAAGGTTTCGCTTTCAAGCCAGCGTTCGCACGACCAGTTTTGCACCACTCATTCCCACAGTGCGCCTTTCCACAGCCACTCATCAACTGCCCCAAATACCTCCTTTCAATCCTCCGTCTCAGTGCTTTGCCCTCTGGATCATGCATGCTAACATAAAGCGGTCCAAAGCAAATAGCACAAAGCCCAATATCATTACCCGCCTGCTCTTCACTCGGCGCCTGTCTAACCTGTCCTCTCGCCCCGACGCCAAATTTCGTTCGTCCGCAATTAACGTTATGACAAACAGGCGGTGTCAATCGCGACACTTTGTCAAGTTCGTGATGTTTGAGATGTGTCTCCATGTCTTTTAACCGCACGATTTTATCGCAGAGATGACATTCTGTTGTGCGTGTGCCGTCGGCTAATTCGTGCGCTGTGAGGCCTGACATGAGGACTTCAGGACTGGGATTGAACGGGTCTCCTTCTTGGGGGACTTCGAGATGGCAAAAGCGACAGAGGATGAGTTTGCCGGGACATATACTCGTCGCATGTCTCGCTAAATCCGGTAATGAATTTGTAGAGAATTCGCAGTGTGGACAGTGTCGCTCTGTGTGGAAGATGTTGTCGTGTTTTGCTTTGCTTTCTGTGGAGGATCCGAAGGTATCGTCTTTTTCGCAGTGCCAGTGTGCTTCCCATTCTGGCGATCCTTTCTTGAACACTGTTTTGCAGGCTGGGCAGACGATGTTATTTCTTCTGCAGAAGTTTTCGTGGAGCATCATTGTTCGTTTGGGGATGTACTGGAGACAATTGCTGCATTGCTCATCGTCGGGAGAGTGCTCTTCGTGTGTTCCATTTCCGTTCGATTCGGCTTTTTCGTCTGGAAGATCGACTTTCGCTCGTAATGTGTACTGCAACGTCTTTGCTTCCTCCGTAGCATCAGGATGCTTATAGCCATGTACCGAAATGGCGATCTGTTCTGCGCCCTCGAGCTCGACATTCGTCGGGGTTATAACAATCTTCTTCACCCCATTGATGGTCGGTGAGAAATCGCCAAAGACATGAACAGCCTCCCTCGGTAGCGCTCGTTGTCTCGAAGACTTTGGTGTGATAAATAAGTCGAGGTCGTCGTCGGTATGTAGTTCAATGGCCAGAGGCTGCGATTTGTTCCATGAAGGAAGCGTGTAGTCGACGTATTCCCCCTGCACAACCTGTCCCTCAACAGCCTTCCAAACATCAATCTCCCCACCCGTCGAACTCGATCCCTGCGCAGAAATAATCCGTCGCAACGTCTCCCTCGCCTGTTCCTCATCCAACGCTTCAATATCGACTTCAAGATCCGTATCAACCACGCAAATACCATCTCCTTCAGGCGCAACCTTGTCGACAAGAAGTTTGAACTCCTCACCGCGTGCGCCTTTGACTGCTAACATGGATCCTTTGCTGAGTGTTGTGAAGTTCTCGCGGAGTTGGCGCTCGAGGAGGGGTTTCCAGTCGTCGGGGTTGTAGCCTGCTTCTAAGGGTCTGAGACGGACGTATGTTCCTTTTGGTAATTGGCGTGCTTCGACTTTGATGTGAACGCCGTCAAGCTCCATCTGGCCGGTCTGCGTCGGGTCTTGTTCGAGATCGACCTCCTTCGTAGAAACGTACTCATCCTCTTGTATTCCCAAAGCCTCTGTCAACCAAGGACTCAACCCCATCGTCCCCTCCTCCGCCGAAAACTCCCTAATCCCCGCATAAACAGCATTTTTATTCTTCGGATTGACAAGTCGGAACGTTAACGGGTTCGGTAATTGTTGTGCGCTATCGGCGTCGGTTGACCAGGGATTGCTGGTTGCTGAGGATTGAGATCGAGCTGCGGCGAGGAGTTGTTCGAGAGCGGATTGAGGAAGGAGGATCTTGTCGCCGCGAAGATTCTTGGTTGATATTGTAGAGGGGTTTAGGACTGGTAGGGCGCTTGACCAGCGCAGTGGTGTAGGCTCTTCCATCGTGGGTATGTGGGAGGAAATGGTAGAGGCGGCGATGCTGGGAGGTGTTTGGTGGGGTTCTGGATTATTACGTAGTGGGCGGTCAAGTCATGATAAGCACGGATGCGAAAATGCGAGAAGAAATAGAGTTAAAATTAATACAAGCTTTCTATCAAGAGTATTAAAAATACAAAACCAGAAAACATAAACATGTACAGTTCAGCCATGGAAGGCAATGCTCAGTCAGCCACTTCGGTGACGTTCTTCCAGCATCGTCCAGAAGACGCATCAGTTCTCTGCCTGACCTGACAGCTTTACTAAGCGGTATCGATAACGGATTACCGATATTCCGACACAGGTTACCCCGGATTTGTGATGGAGACAGCTATTATCTTATCGAACAGAACACTGTCACAGCATCTTGCAGCTTTGTTTGAGCTCGATGATACGCACTGGCCTTTGCACAGACGATAATTGAGCTTAACAACATGGTTAAAATTAGAGTGTGGACTAGAACTGAGACACGGCAGTTAAAACATGTTCTAAACGCGATAGACTGTAGATCTAATCTAGGAGACGGTCACTATAGTTTAGGCGCAATTAGCAGAGGCTTTCGAGCTCTCAAGTTGACAGTCAACCTACTCGCAATCTTGTCCACCTGCACTACGTTGTGAAGCTATACGGATACGCAGCGCTCGAGTCGCATTCTTGGCATCTACCCTATGTCGATCGCAACAATCCTCCATCAACTCAATTTCACACCGCTATTGCTACATACAGAAGTATGTCTGTCTCATGCCCGAGCATAAAAACAGTGAAACACACATTGTGTTGTTTGCAACCCCCACAGAAGAGCTGCAACGCAACCATCCCATCATGGCCTGGTCATGATGAACCGGGACTACATCCCCGGAAACACAAAAAAGCAAACCTTGGAAACACCAGTGATGATCAGATTGGTAGTGCAAGTTTCAGCGACGACGAGTACTCAATCATCATTGATCAACTTCCTTGATATGAGGGGGCTGCAGCGCAGATGAGGCTTTGCTTGGCGGTATCTCGGACCCCGAGTGAGCTGTAAGATTGATCTACACGTTGATCTGTACAGCTTGTCATTCGGGGGGTTAGAGAAAGGACGGAACAGCATACCTACCAAGCAAGCATACCTCTCCCAGCCCATCTCAATTGAGATACCTTTTACCAACCTCAATTCAGATAGCTCCGTGACCGCTATTATTTAGCCATTAATTCTGCCGCCCATCTTGCAGGTACAGCTCCAGGATAGAAAGGGGAACAGTGCTGTATCCTTGGCGCAACTAAACCCCTGTAGGACCCCTACATGAGCCCACGGCCCTCCTCCCGACAATTGAATGGTGCGCTTTAAGATAAGATGCAAAGCTTGGTGATGCCATCTCAATATCTGGGATGGTAGCTCAACAATTCCCCACCCCATGCATGACTCCTCACACGGGCCGATCTCTCCTACAGCCTATACCCTCCATGTTGCATTTGACCTCCGTGTATTATTTTTTGGTGTTTTCCGGTCCAGCCGAGTAATGTTGAGCAGCATAAACCCCCACCCATCTGTCACTGTCTATCATTGTCCCAAATGGTGTATCAAGCTTTAGCTCAACTAACAAGCTTGTGTAATAAATAGAAACTTGTTGTTTGAAAGCTGTCTTGTAGATCATACACTCGACACACACCCTGTTTCTCTTGGCTCGCCAATCCAATCTCATCTCAGACCACATCCCACGCTCATCGTCTCATAGTTCTACTCTACCTATATATCCTCCAAAATGTCTCCCCATCTTTATCCTTCCTCTTCTTCCTCAGACACAAGTATACTCATGCCAGCCTGACATGAGCCAAACCATCAACACCCACACTACACGCGCAGAGATCAAGGGCTTGACCCTTTTCGACACCTTATACAACGATCTTATTCTTCGTCATACCCTTCCTTACCTACCTGTTTCTGGCATTCTTAATCTCGCAGCTACTTGTAAAGATATACGGTATCTGCTTCACGAAACACCTGGTGTTTTTAGACATCTTGATCTTACGAGGGTCAAAACTGCGCATGTTGAAGACGTCAAGCAGGAAAGGAATCTGGCGGTTTGGCATAATGTTGAGTTGGAGGATTACTTGACTGAAGATGAGTGAGTCGATACCCACATTGTTCTGCGACCACTTTAGCCGGCGCATACCCCAGTACTGTTCAATCACTAACGGTGACAGCTTCTACGCCGGTCCCTTGAGAGGCATCTTCTCAACCCTTCGTCATCGCAACATTCTTCACAATGTCCAATCCCTAATCCTCGACGGGTTATCAGTCACAGCAGAACTATGCCACGACATCATCAACAACCCAGATTACAACGTCCGCATGCTCTCCATCCGCGGCGCAAAGAACCTCAACCAAGCAAAACTGCGCGCCGCACTAGCATACGCCTGTCGTCCCACCCGCCCGTCCAACCTCCGTCTAAAAGCGCTGTACATCTTCAGCGAAACTACAGACGACGATGCGTACTGGCACAACAAGGGCCGCGTGATGGAGTCTACAAGCGGCATGGATGACTGGGCGCAGTGTTTACTTGCGTGCCAGGGAATTATTTCTTTTGACGCTGTGCTTTGTCAGGGTCCGCGACATGTTAATTCACCGGCTTTTGGAAACCCGCCTGTGAAGACAGCGGCTAATCCTGCCGTCGCTACATTCGCAGTCGGAGGCTGCGCATCCTGTGGCAAAGCACCAGAAGGAATAATGACCTCTGAAACACACAGTTCACATCTCCCACTGCTCTCACCCCCGCCGATCCTATCGTCATCAGTACAAGCAGCTACAACGCCACGACCAAACCACACATCATTCGTTCCACGCTGCGCAGGCTGCTTGAACGATAGATTCTGCGTCACATGCAACAAATGGTGGTGCGAAGCATGTTACCAACCCTTCAACAACAGTTGCGACATGTCTAAGCGACAGGTTTCGCGCAGTTGTTGGGAATGTGGAATGAATTGCAACTCGTGCATTGAAGCTACGCAAAAGACGTGCAAGAAATGCTGTGGTGGATATTGTCTCGTTCACAATGAAGGATCTTCTGAGCAATTTTGCGATTGGTGTTTTTCGTCTGGGCGGGGACTTAGACGTGTTTCGCAGTCATGATGGGTGTTTACAAGCAGGCAAGGAGTTACAATGTTATTTTGGAGTTAATTAGGTATGGAGCGTTGGGATGAAACTACTCTGCTCTTACAATCACAATTACCACTGAATCAATATGAACACCATGAATGACCAGTTTCCACTTTCCGTTTCCCGCTTATTAATTTTGAGTGTGGGGCGACATCACGCCCAGCCGGAGAGATTGAAAGTCCGTCTTATAGAAGGGTAATAGAACGGCGATAGAAGATCTTAGCCTGAAGGACTTTAGCTGTCACTGCAACCTGTCAGTCATCATGATAAGAATACGATTCATCATGACAGAACCATTTTGAGCTTCAATCCAATATTTCGCATTCTTGTCCCTCCATGTCAGACAACCACCATGTCACCACAACTGCCACAACAAACAACAACCAACATTTGACAGGTCTCGGCAAATAATAACGCAAACGAATGCTTAAATTACGCGATGTTGCCCAAAGTGGTTTGGTTCCGGGTCCATTCGGTGGTTTATCATGATTCATTATTTTGCGGTTGCGATAAAGCGATCGTGCTTGCATCGCTCGATGGAGGGACCCTGAAATGAATTACCGATAGACCCTTGTTTTTGTTGAAGAAAAACGAGTTTTTGACAAGCACACAAAAGGAAGGACCTTTGACAAGCTCACATTTCCTGTGATTCTTTCTGTTCTAGATCCTTCAGTGCCCCTCCACCAGAGATCCCCCACTACCCGAAAGTGCGCCGCACCTAAAAAATAAAATATCGCCGGACCCTGACGATCTCGATCAAGTCGCAACCTTTTTCTCTCCTCCACGATACCTTCACTATATCCTCAGTCGCAATGGCTACCCGAAAACCCCTCTCAGAGGTCCTTCCCCCTCTAATCCTCGGAACCGCAACATTCAACATCCAATACCACCCCGACCCAACACACATGCCATACACAGACATCGTCCGCCAAGCCCTCTCCCATAACATCCTCGGCTTCGACACATCCCCCTACTACGGTCCCTCCGAACTCCTCCTCGGCGACGCCCTGCGCAAACTCACACCTCCACCGCCCAGAGAGGGATACTTTATCATTACAAAAGCCGGGCGCATCGCAAGCGACCAGTTTGACTATTCGCCCGCTTGGATAAACTACAGCGTGTGTCGCAGCTTGGAAAGACTCGGAACACCGTACCTTGATCTTGTCTACACGCATGATGTCGAGTTTGTTTCTCCAGAGGAAGTGCTGGCTGCTGTGCTCGAGCTGCGACGGTTGAGGGATCTGGGTCTGGTGCGATATGTGGGTATTAGCGGGTATCCTGTTGATACGCTTGCTTCTCTCGCAGAAATGATCTTGCGCGAGACAGGAGAGCCTTTGGACGCAGTCATGTCCTACGGCAACTTCTGCATACAAAACAGTAAACTCGGCAACCAAGCACTACTCGATCGCTTCAAGGCTGCTGGCGTGGAATGCCTTCCCAACGCCAGCATGCTCAACATGGGCCTTTTGACCACGAGGGGCATTGATGCAGGTCCTCAGCGCTCCTGGCACCCCGCGCCCCAAGAACTCCGCGATCTCTGTCTCCATCTCTCCACCATAGCCCAAGAATCAGGCGAGCACCTCGAAGAAGTAGCCATCCGTTGGTCCTTGGACAACTGGGCGCGCGTCGGCTCTCAATTCGGCACAAACGTAGACGGCACCCGGATAGGCGTTAGCGTAATGGGCGTTTCCAGCGTTGACGAGCTAGAAGAGACATGGGCGCTATGGAACAGTGTCTTGAGTGATGATGCGCGCAAAGCCAAGATTGAAAAGATTGTACGGGGGAAAATGTGGCCTGCGCTTGGAGAGTGGAAGGATTATGCGTGGGAGAGCGGTGGTCCTGGGTTTGTGAACCAGAGAGCTGTGGAGGATATGGGGGTTGTGCCGAGGGATGATGTTGCGAGACGATGGAGGCTTATACCCGGTGGATTGGACACGGCCAAGATTTGATGAAGCAATAGATATGGATGTGCATTTTGATGATAGCAATAGACATTTTACGTTGACATGTGCATTTGGGGGCTCCAAGAGCTTGGCATCGTATCTCGCATTTGATCTTGCTTTAGCGCCACGCCATTGAGAAATGCCGTGCAGATCAGTAGATCTACAGGTTACAAGCTCAATTGAGAAGAGTGCATCGTATTTCGTATTTTGGACGCGAGGACAATAATTGAGCATGGAGGATCATGAAAGTGAAGTATAAGAGGTCGCTTTAGATGGAGATGGTGAGAGTATGTACAACATTAATATTGATCTCTTAAGCTCAATCATGATGTTTTCTTCAATTCTTGCATTGCTGGCAGCTTCAGCTTCAGCACTCAAATGCCACCCCGAAGGCCCCATTCTCCCCAAACCTACATCCCTCGCAAGATCACCAATCTTTACTTCCGCAGCACTCAACTTAACAAACATTCTCGACGCAGCCATCGCTGGTAACATCACAGCAGGTTGGCCAGTAAACAATGTTTCTTTCTCGCTAGCTGTTGTAAGCGCAGATCAAGATGAACCAATTTGGGAGTATCACCACCTCGCTGCAAACACAAAGGGTACTAAGAAACTTGATCGAGATTCGCAGTGTCTTATTGGGTCTATATCTAAAGTTCTTACTACTTATTTACTTTTGAAGAGTGGGCTTGATTTGGATGCGAGAGTTACGGATGTACTTCCTGGGCTTGAAGGAGAGTCAGGGATTCGGTGGAAAGATGTTAGTCTGAGGATGTTGGCTTCATACTTGAGTGGAGCTCCAGTAAACTGCAAGTATTCCATTCATTCACAACCATTTCATACTAATTGTATGTAGATGGCTTCTCAGAGTTCTACTTCCTCAAAGACCTATTCCTCACATACGGTCTCCCCCCAATTGACGAAGAAGACTATCCACCATGTGGTGTCACGACTCTCAACAAAGCATGCAACCGTCAAGGTAACCCTCCCACCCCATCAATCCAACAATACACTAACGAAGCAAGAAATCCTCGATGGAATGAAGAAGTCTTATCCCCAGACTACTCCCAACGAAAGACCCGCCTATTCAAACATGGCTTTCGTGCTCCTCGGCATGGCTTTAGAGGAATACACAGGCAAGAACTTTACGCAGTTACTCAAAGAGGTTACAGGTCCATTGGAAATGAGTAATACCTTCCCGTCGCCGGGATATGACGATAAGGCTGTTATTCCTCCTGATAGCAGTTGGGGTTCAGACTATGGACTAAACACTCCGTAAGTTCACCCCCAAGATTATTGTCCGTAGACTGACGATTGGTAGGGCGGGTGGTTTAGTTTCATCTCTATCAGATCTCTCCAAATTCTCCCACGCTCTTCTGTCCCGAACTTTACCTCTAACACCCTCCCAAATAAACGGCTGGCTTAAACCCTCTTCATTCGCAGGCAACGCACACACCCTGAGCGGCATGCCCTGGGAAATCCTCCGTTTGGATACTCTAACACCCGAACATCCTCACACGGTTACAATCTACAGCAAATCAGGAGGTGCGCAGAACTACAGAAGTCAACTGAGTTTCATAGACGAGTACGGACTAGCCATCGTTGTCTTAACAGCAGGACCGATGAAAGCAGCGCCTATTCTTGCTGATGCTGTTATATCCACGTTTGTTGGGGCTGCAGATGATGTCGCTAGGGTTCAAGCGAAACGGTATGAGCGAGTTTATAAGAACGACGATGTAGAGGCCGTGTTGGAACAAGATGGCGACTCGATGGTTCTGGCCTCTTTACGACGCAACGGTACAGATATCGTTTCATCACTAAAGGATGTATGGGGTCTAACACTGGGAGACTTCCTTCCCGGCATCGGAGACAAGATTCGAGTTTTCCCAAGTGAACTGCGCGATGAGGGAAAGGAAGTATGGCATCTATGGCCAGACCTTGACGCAGGCTTCAAAACGGACCTTCCAGGTGGCATGATTGAAGAGATGAACTGTGTTGGATGGACGATTCAGGATTGGGTTCACTATGGTGGTGAGCCGTTGGATAGAGTGCTCTTCCATGTTGAGAATGGAGTGCTTGGGTTTGAGGTACCGTTTTTACGATCGGGGGTTATGTATCCTTCAAAATGACAGCCCTTGGATGATCTTAATTGTACTTTATTTATACTATCTTCATCAAAGGTTTCATACCTTCTTGACTTCAACTTTAAACTTCTCCATCCACTCACTGAACTCATCACTCTCCCCCTCCCACCCCATCTTAAGAACCTCACTAACCCCAACAGCACTCTCAAAACACTCCTCCATAAGCGAATCAATCTCCTCCGCATCCAACTCATAAAACGCCTCCGCCAAATCTCCAAACTTATCCGGCAAAGCGCTCAACACGTTTGCGGTGCTATCCAACTTGGCCGGCATATCGCCCTTGGTAGTATCCTTGGGAAGTTTCTTGAAGCGACGCTTGGAAAGAGCTTGGTATAACAGAACGACCATGCGTAGACGCTTGAGTGTGGAGTCGAGACGAGGGCGGATTTTATCGGGGTCGGACTTTGGGATCGCTGAGGAGGAATTCATCATCTCGTCGAGCATTTCCTGGTTTGACAGTGACGCATCGTTCATCTTGTCCGCCAAATCATCCACATCATCTTCCTCGTCATCTTCCTCTTCACCCCACTCCTTCAACTCCTCCATAACATCCTTAAGCGTATCCCTCCACTCCTCCGCTTTCTTAACAAAGAAACCACCAACACCCATATTCGCAAGCGCAACGACTTCATCGCACGCAGACCAAAGCATACCCGTCAACGCCAGACTTCCACTTCCACTATCCCTCCCCACGCCCGACAAAACTTTCCCATCTTTCGGAACACGATTGAGCAAGTTGTTCAACTCGGCGAGGACCTTGCCTACTCTATACGCAAGTTCCTTTCGCACAACGGAGGTGTAGAGGGTTGTTTCGCAGGCTTGTGCGGCGGTAGCCAAACCGGGGATTGGACCTTTGACGAGTTCGCGGACAACGGTGGTTATGGCGCTGGGGGTGAAGGGCTCGTTGATTACGAGGAGGGAGATTTTGGTGCCGTGGGCGCGAATCAGGGAGGAGCAGTCGCGGGCGAGGGCTAGGGCGTCGATGTCTTTTGTTTCGGAGGAGACAGCGGAGGGAGTCGTGGGACTGCGTTGGATGGACGTAAGGATAGATTGGAGTTGCTCGAGGAGTGTTGAAGCAGTCGAAAGAATAGTTTCAAGGGCTTTGCGAGCCTCTTCGTCTGTAGGAGCGGGAGCCATGGTGACTTTCTTCCCTTTGATGTATTTGCTGGTGATGATGATGCGTCAGACTTTCTTGGTGTTGGAGGGGCATTTCTCTTTTTTTCTCTTCCCCCACCTCTAGTGCCCTTCCCCCGCGGATCAAATTCCGTTCTCCCGAAATTCTACCGTCCAGGGGCCGCCCTCCCCGGAAGCTCTTTCAGTGGAGACCTCTAGGTCCCTCCAAATAGCTGACCTGGCCAACTCCAACTTAACTTGCATACCGACCGACTTTGGGAGGATCAATTCATTTTTCACCATTACACGAACACCGAAAAAATGCAACATCCAAATTCTGTAGCGCTGCTTAGCGCTATATACGCCTTCACCCTGGCAGCTGCTGGCAGCGTGCCTAGAGGTGTTGGTCCTGAATGTATGTTTATGATGATCTGAAGCTATCGTCAAGCTAATTAATGGGACAGTCGTCTCTCACTACGAGGGCCAGGAGGAGTTTTCTTGCATCACCAATGCTGCTATCAAGCTCAGTCTCGACCGAATCAACGATAACACGTGCGATTGCCCCGATGGCTCAGACGAACCCGGTACAGCAGCCTGTGCCAACATCGATCCTCTCTCCCCCGAACAACCTCTCGCCGGGTCACTGACCGGCACGACCAACACGACCAATGCCCTTCCTGGCTTCTGGTGCGAAAACAAGGGCCATATTGGCATGTACGTGCCCTTCCTCTACGTCAACGACGGCGTGTGCGATTACGAGCTCTGCTGTGATGGCTCAGAGGAGTACGCTGGCGTCGGCGGTCTGAAGTGCGAGAACAAGTGTGCCGAGATTGGAAAGGAGTATCGCAGATTGGAAGATGAGAAGAAGAAGGCCATGTCGAATGCTGCTAAGAAACGAGGTGCCATGGCCAACGAAGCCAAGGATTTGAGACAAAAGGTCGAGAACAAGGTTGCGGATCTCAAGAAGGAGATTGCTGCTCTTGAAGCTAAGAAGGAGGATCTTGCGCAGAAGCACCGTGAGGCTGAACAGCAGGATAAGGGCAAGGTTGTTCGCGATAGCGGAAGTGGCGGTGGAAAGCTTGGTGTTCTTACCGGATTGGCCAAGACACGTATCACCGAGCTTCGCGATACTCTCGACAATGTCGTCAATCAGCGCGATGCTCTCAAGGAGCGGGTTGGTGAGCTCGAGGAGCTTCTTACCAAGTTCAAGAGCGAGTATAACCCCAACTTCAACGACGAGGGTGTCAAGGCTGCTATCCGATCTTTTGAGGATTACTCTGCTCGTAAGGCAGATGATGTTGCCAAGGTTCTTCCGGATGAGGATATCCTGAGTGTTCTCAAGGAGGATAGCGAGAGCAATGGCATCAACTGGAGTGAGTTTGAGGATGCTGAGGGAAGCGACACCGATATCCGTAAGTCAACCACAGTCACGAAATGACAAAGCTAACACATCCAGTCTACAACTTCGAAGCTTACCTTCCTCCCCCCGTCCGCTCATTCCTCCACGGCACAATCGACTCCCTCCGCGTCTGGGCCATCACCAACGGCATCCTCGCCGACAACGCTACCCCGGGCAAAGAATCCACCCTCGTCCGCGCCGCCCGCGAAGCCCTCGACGCAGCGAACCGCGACCTCACCGACAAACAATCCGCCCTCTCAGTAGAACAATCCGACCTAAACACCGACTATGGCCCCGACGACATCTTCCGCGCCCTCAAGGGCAAGTGTGTCTCCATCGAAGCAGGCGAATACACCTACGAACAATGCTGGCTCGACCGCACAAAGCAAAAGTCCAAAAAGGGCCACGGATCCAGCAACATGGGAAACTTCAAGCGCATCGACCGCGAAGTAGCCGACGAAGAAGACCGCATCGACGGCAAGAGTCTAGGCAAGGGCGAACGTATGGTGCTACGGTACGAAGATGGTCAACAGTGCTGGAACGGACCGCAGCGACGAACGGATGTCTGGTTGGGTTGTGCTGAGACGGAGGAGCTTTGGAGGGTTAGTGAGAGTGAGAAGTGTGTTTACAAGATGGAGGTTGGTACGCCTGCTGCTTGTGACTTTTCTAAGTGGGATGTGGGCAGTCAGCCTAAGAAGCCTAGGTTTAGGGATGAGCATGATGAGCTATAGTGAATTTGGGGTGTGATTTAGGCGAGCTATTTTAGAGGAGTTTGATTGATAGACGAATAAATCTGCCTATACTGAATTTTGGTCTACTGGTTGTCGAAGATGAGAGCTCTTGACGTGAGTTAAAATTGCAGTGATATGCTCTGTTTAAACCTGGGAGGGTGTTAAATTTGCAGTGAAGGCGGTTGAAGGTCATTTGCCCTTCAGTTAGTTGCCCTTCCCAGGAACGGCGTGTCGAGGTTCGACGAGGGCAATGCCAACTACCCGTGCTACGTATGTTCAATTGGAGGATGTTAAATTTGGAGTGAAGTGCGGTCAAGGGGTGTAACGCCTTACATGACGCTTACGTCCTCGCGGCGAGTCAAGAGTGCAGGGTGAAGAGGCTCGAGACAATGCCAACTTTTTACGTTGCCTGTGGTAGTTATGTCCAGCCCTCGGAGGAGAGTAAAATTGCAGTGGACGTGGGTACGAAGATACTTCATCTGCAGCACAGCACACGGCGGCCGACGTACTTGGATAAGGGCCTCGAGATGCAGATGTTCTTCGGGGAGGTTAGAAATCCAGTGAATTTGAGTTTTACAGCTGACAAGAGACAATTCAGTTTCGTTCACTTAAGAATCAGTCTGCTATGCTACAAGCTCTTGGGGATAGTCTATTAGCGCTAGCCAAATAGTACATACTACCTTTACATACTAGCTTATCCTTAACAAGGTTAAAAGTACAGTAGAATAATTTAATAAGCTAGTTTAATAGTTTAATGTAAAAATAGTAGTAATTATGGTTAGTCCTTGGAGAGGGTTAAATTTGCAGTGAATAGGCATCCGGCCCCGACAATGGTAATTCTGCGTAACTAAGTTCAATTCGGTCCACTCAAGACTCAGTCTGCTATAAACTCTCATTATGGGTTAAAATTGCAGTGAATTTGGGGTTGCGCAAATTTCCGCCTTGTATTGTGTGTTGGATTGCAGTGAAAGCAAACACAAATGCTCGTGATACGGACATCATTTGGTATGGATTTGCAGTGAAAGGGCGGATGCAATTTAGGCGCCTACTGCATGAGCCCATCGCATGCTACTTATGCTGGCAGCCATTTCATGTCCTTGTAAGCGTTAAAAGTGTAGTAAAGTGATTATAGCGAGTTCGTTTGTTGATCAAATACTACAGGGACAGTGGTGGTTGTGGTTAGTCCTTGAACAGGGTTAACTTTGCAGTAAAAGTTCATCATCCGAGACCAGCCGACGATGCAGAAGTTGTTCGGGTAGGTTGAAAACGCAGTCAAGTTTAGGCTTACGCCGGCGGACAAGAAGTTAATTCAACTTGTTCACTCAAAATTAGTCTACTGTGCTATAAGCTCTTGGGAGGTTAAAATTGCAGTGTAGGGGACGGACGGCGGCCAGTCCGAGGCCATCACATGCTGGTCCGTTGTTTGGATCAGCCTCTGAGGGGGTTAAAAATGGAGTGGATGTGGCGGGCGGGACAGAGCCGACTTTTTTGCTCCATCTCAAGGCAAACTTTCCCAAGAACCAGAGATATACTCACAGCTAATGTTTCGCTGGGAAGTCAATTGGAGCATCTTGAGGTTGTTTAAAATTGCAGTGAAAATGCGCAGTGGATGCTCTGTTTTCGTGAACGCGGGCGCTGAGTTTAGTGAAAAGTAAGGTGGTAGGCAGAGTTGACTTTCTGCTGTCAGCTATCTCAAGAGAGGCCTCCCAAGAGCCAGAGGCGTACTTAGATTATTTTGCTCAGAAATTAGTTCTTCGTATATTGAATGAAGCCTCTTGGGAGAGGTTAAATCGCAGTGGGAGAAGACCAAGGCCTGGAGCAAGACTAGTAGACGGATGCTGAGCACCCTTTGCAGTCTCATTGTTTTGGTCAGGCCTCGGGAGGGGTTAAAAATGCAGTGAAGTATCATTGGCGACATGATTAGTGCTTACTCCTGTGAAATTGAGGCCTTCCAACAGATACCAGATGGAATTGACTTTGATTGCCTCAATTGCGAGCACGTCCTTGAAGCGATTATATTCTGTCTACACTGTATTGTTTAAACCTAGAAAGCGTATTTGCTTTACTGCGGTCAATGAGGAAAGCAACAGAGCATTTGCCCCAAGGACATATCCGCGATCACTCGCTACACATTTTGATGTAGCTGTTCGTTATTAGTTGCTTTGAACCACCAGCAGTGTATGAACTTATCGATTTCTCGGGCCTTTGGGCAGGTTAAAATTGCAGTGCAATGAAGCGGTCTCTAGTCTAGTGCATACGTAGATCCATGTCAAACACCTTTCACTGTGTCCAGGCTTTAGAGAGTGTTAAAAATGCAGTGCTAGGACGGACTAACGGCAACCTCAGCCTCATAAGGTGGGACCAACTGCTTTACTTCAAGGCAGACTTTCTCGAGGACCAGAACAATGTTCAAGGCTCTCAGGTGTGGTTATAATTGCAGTGAAATGGCTGTGGATAGGCTGTGCTTTTGTAAGTTCAAAATTCCCAATACCCATTTAGAGCAATGTTCAGAGCTCTCGGGAGCGGTTGCAATTACAGTGAAGCTCGCCAGACTTAGTCCTTTGTCAGGGCAAACGGCACACTCAGATCCGCGGCTGCGGTGTTTGAAAATTGCAGTTAATCTCGCTGGGCATATTTTGTTATTCAAGGGCATAATTAAGACACACTTGGATTAACTTTCTCAGCCTCCACAGAGAAATGGTCACCTTATGAGGATTGGCGTAAAGCGAAGCATTGGGTCATTTAGACGATCCATCACGAGAAGTATTAGACCTACAGTGAAGTTTCCAGCCTTAAAAACGGACGGGCACCCAGGGCCAGCTTTGGGGAGGTTAAAAATGCAGTGAAAAAAGATGAGGGTTGAAAAGGTTTCTGTTGCAAGCCCTACTTTGCTGCTGGCGCAGGGCGGAGTCAGTCTATCGCAGCGTGTTCTCGAAAAGGATACCTAAGAACGTTGTGCAGTTTCTTGGCGTTGGGTGAACGCTGGGACGGTGTTAAGAATGCAGTGCAGGGAACGAGACGAAACCAATGTCTAGTCAAGTACGTACTTCGCAATGGTAGGCTTCGGAGGGGGTTAAAATCGCAGTGAAGATTCGGAGGGAGGTCGACTCCGGTAGTGGGGTTAATTGGCTATGCTCAAGGTTGACTCTCAATAGCTAGTATCATTGGATGCTCATGAGTTAACTTCGCAGCCTCTTAAGGTGAGTTAAAATCGCAGTGAAGAGGCAGAGGCTGACTTCGGGCCACAAAAGCAGACATTGTTAAGAGCCAGTCGCACACTTACATCCATGGATGGTTTTCTCAGATGATGGTCCCTTGGACTCTATTGCAGCCTCCCGAGGGAGTCCTCAGGTTATCAGAAGAATTGGTCCCTTAAAGCATAAGAGATAAAATAATTCAGTTACTTTATGATACTTGCTTACACTATTACTCCTGTTACCCGCCTGGGAATTTTAAATTGCAGCGAATGTGGAGAGCGTGCGCTCCGTTACAATTCTCATGGTTAGGTACTGGTTTGTTATTTTGGTTAGCCTTTGAGCAGGTTAAGTCTGCAGTAAAGAAATAGGGATGCGTTAAGTCTAAATAAAAGATATGGAAACAGTGGTGGTTACGGCCGGTCCTTGGAGACAGTTAAATTTGCAGTGAAAATGTATACAGATCCAAAGTGGAACATGCAGTAACGTGGCTGGAGGCAGACTTGGTTTGGTTGGCTCTCTGCTTTACCTCAGGCAGACCCTCAGAGACATGTTTACTTCCATTGTTGCTGGAAATTTTATTGAAGCTTTCTGGGGTAGGTTAAAATTGCAGCGAAGACCATGCATTCATCCATCCATTGCAGACTTGGAAGGGGGTTCAAAATGCAGTAAAGGACACATTAACAATGACATAGCAATGAAGAACACGTAAACGATAACGCAGAGCAACCAACGGACCATGCAGAATCGGCCTTGGTTGCTTGGACCGCAAGCACGTTCTTGAGGCGACGATATTCTGCTTACCTTTTTATTGTTAAAAGCCAGAGAACATGTTTGCTAATTAAGCCATTAATAGGGAAATTAACTGAACATTTAACCTGAGGATACCTGTGAACAACTCTCACTTAGACGTAGATGTTCATTATCAGTTGCCTTGATCAGCACCAGTTTAGTAGTGTATTGATTTGGTCGGGCCTGGGAGGAGGTTAAAAACGTAGTGAAATCGCCGCAAGGCAGATTCTAATGCTATATCTCGAGACAAGCTTTCTCCAGGGTCAAGCTATATTTGAGGCTCTTGGTCGCGGTTGAAATTGCAGTGAAAGAGTGATGACGGGCATAATATTGGTTAAATTCTCGAGGACGTTAGAAAATGCAGTGAAGCTTCGTCTAAGCCTCTCGGTGGCCGTGTTGACTTTCTGCCTTCCACACTAAAACCATTCAGCTCGGTTTACTTTAGCCCCAGTCTCTTATGGATATGTACTGCAAGCTCTTGGGGTGGGTTAAAATTGCAGTGAAGAAATTCTGAATGATTGGATCACAATTTATGTTGTCGCAAGCCCTACTTTACTAAGTTTTCGAAAGTTCAGGGTCTTCGTCGACCCCCGTGAAGTTCCTGGCTTGGATCATGCTCACTCATTTCTTTAAGAGACCGGGTCGGTTTCCATGCTCGATGTCTGGAGACTGTACTTGAAGCTGGCAGTGGCCATTCATTAGCTTGACCACGACCGTGGTGAGATAGCCTGGAGCAAGTTCAACCGCAGTAGTACTCGCCGTCCAAAAAGACATATCTTGAAGATATCGGGATATATGTCACAGAACTCAACAGCAGTAGCCATATTTGGTTTCGACTGTATCCAAATAAAACAATATCTAATGAATCCAACGCAAGCTCTATGTCTATAACATCTATATCACCACTGAAAGCTCTCTTCAAAATACTCAACCCCTCTAATACCTGTCTTTAACAGTCCATGTACCGTCTTTCTAGCATCATCAGCCATCTGCGCAGGTCCACACGCAACAACCGCCAAACTCGCTCCCTCGACCCTCTCACTCACACTACTAACTACCTTGGCCGCATCTATCCTTCCCTTCCTGAGTACAACCTGCGCCGGCCACTCCTGAAGTTCATCTTGAGGTGTATGTGTAGTAAGATGAATCTCTATACTCAGGTTTGTGCTGCCCAGTGCGTCTGCTATGTCTGTCTTCAAGACGTCTAGTGCAAAGGCTGGTTCACGAACTGCCCAATGGATTTTAACCGTTCGTGGAGCGGGATGTGTTGTTAAAACGTTGAGATATGATAGTGGAACAACAATTCCACTTCCTCCTACTACGAAAAGAACATTGTCGAAGAGATGCAGTGGTTGAGTATGTCCGTAAGGTCCATCGACAAGGACTCTCTGAGGAACGTTCTTTGGCCAAGCCGCAGAAGCAGTATCTCTAAGCCGTGAAGTAAACCCATCATAAGGACGAATCAGGAAAGTCATCGTCCGAGAATCAGAAACTTCCTCTGGACTTCCTTCAGGAGCATTCTCAAGAAGAGGAACTTGCTCTCCAATCATCTTTGCTCCACGCTGTCCCTCGTTTGTGACAGACGCAACGGTGAAAGGATGGCTCTCCCAGCATCTTGGACCGTTGAGAACATGGATGTAATAGAACGTTCCCGGGGCTGGTTTGTAGAGACTTGTTGACCAAGGAATCAGGAGACGGACGATGTTCGAAGTAGGATGGTAGATAGACGTGGCCCAGGTATCCCATAACTTGGGATTAAATGCTGCGATGCGTAAAGCACGTATGACGCGGTCTGCTACCCAGATGAAGCAGGGGACCCAGAAGAAGACGTCGTATTCGCCTTGGAAGATGGAAACATGGCTGTTTCTGTTAGGCTTCTGTCGTTCGGAGGAAGGAGGGTGGACTTACGCTAGCATTGTGATTAGGAGGATTATTGACATTATGATGTGAACTACTAAGAATAGTTCATATTGTTGGCGCCGGATCCAGTAGAAGGATGCTCCGACAAGGAGGGACATGACGATGGTTGCCTGTAACAAGTAAGTAACAGCCCCAACTCAAGGTTATCAAACTTACTATTTCACCAACCCACCAGAACATGTACGACCACCAAAAGACATACTGCTCCCAACCACCCTCTGCATCACATCAGTATTCAAATCTTCTCAAATCAAGAGTATTACATACCAACGTAAACCAAGATTGAATAACCGATCGAGTGAATAATCGCTTGAGCAGTAGCAATCCTCGCTACCCAGCGATGAAAGTTGTTATACGTTCCAAAATCCCAGCCGGTTAGCCACATAAGTAGATTGTTCCTCATTCCGAAAAGCCAGATAAGAGGAAAGTTGGCGAATGAGATTATGCCTGTTCGGTCTGAGGAATACCGGAGGATTTGTTTTGCTGTAGATGGGAAACTACAGAACGTCAGCTCGCTTCTCCCTTGGAGATGGTGGTACTTACTACATGTTTATCGGCACAATCCTATATCCATGAATACTCAACGCAATGTTGAGAATAAGAAAAGCAAAGAGCGTTAGAGATTGTATCCTCGGTGGAACTGTTCCCCATCCGACTTTCTGAGCACATCGGTCTCCAAAGGTCGCTGGAACGATCCATCGATTGACAGTCGAGGTATAAAAGTTCCAGAGTTGACCGCCTGATTTTGAAGAATGGTTGCGGATGATTTGTGAGTTGCTGATTTGTTGGATGGCGTGGTTCAAGACGCCGATTGCGATGACGACGATCCAGAAGTATATCATGGCACGACTGTAAACGTTAGCATATCCTGCAACAAGTAACAAAACAGGGTTACGTACCCGTATACGTCGTGTTTTGTATATGTATATGCCACAGAATCCTATAAAAATCAGCTTCATCCTTGACCTCAATTCAAAAGTCTTACCAAAGTATCCCACCAAATACCAAACCACTCCTCAGAAGGAATAACAACCTCTCCAAACGTCTTCTCTCCCTCAGTCTCATTCCTCTTCAACCGATGAACCTTCTCTCTATCCTCATTATCAACGATACTAAATGGCGGAAGAATAATATGCGCCTTCTCCTCACACGTTTTATTCAACGGCGTCAATCCCGCTTCTCTAGCCCCAGGCGTACAATACTCATCAAGACAGAGATATAGTGAGAGGATCGCCTTGGGGCTGTAGCATGTTTTGGTGAGCCAGTTGGTTCCGTTGAGCATATCATCGAAGTGCACTGGTTTAAGGCACGTGTAGCATGTGTCGTAGCATACTCGCTCTGGAGATCTGTCTTCTGCAGAGACGAGAGAAGGGCATATTGAGAGTATTGTGAGCAGATAGCTCAAGGATGTGAGTTTCATGGTGATGGTGCCTGAGAGAAGGGGGCTCTCAGGTCGCAGGGGCCCGATGGTCGGTTAGTCTTGTGAGAGATTTTTATCAGATGATCAGATAAGAATCGGCTCCTTCGGCTAAAATCACATGACTCGACCAATCATCTCCACCGTTGGGTTTAGCTTGGCACTACGGTTTCAAGGAACAAAATAATTTAAGGTCAAAAAGCATTTGTACTTGCTATTCAATATACATAAAGGTCATAATCTAAAATATGTACAATCCAACGCTAGAGTCTAAATTTAAGCAGAGTACTGGGAGTACTTGCAGCTGACGGGCTTCTCAATCTCAGCAACGCGAGCGTTGAAGCCAAGGCACTCAGCGTCGGTGTTACCAGGCTTCTCAATACCGGAGGAAACCCAGACGCTCCAAGATCCGTCGACGCCGTTGTCGCAGGCGACGAAAGAAGCGTTGTTCTGGCCGAAGACCAGGTTGCCAGCGTCATCAATCTTCCAGCCCTTTGTCTCGGCGTTGCGAGGGTAGGACTTTCCGGAAGTGTACTGAAGAACACCTTGTCCTGCAATGTATTAGTGAATTGTCAATTGTAGTGAATGATGAGGTGACTTACCCATGCCGGATCGGTCAGTGTAAGCAATCTGCTGCTCCTTTCCAGTGCTGTACAAGAACAGCTCACCGTCCTTGATGGTGAAAGTAGCGGTACCCTCATCCTTGCCGTCGCACTTGGCGCCCTGCTTGTCCTTGGGAAGCTTCAGGGAGAAACCGCTCTCAGAAGCGCTGAAGGCGGAGAAGTGAATTGGGCTGGCGGAGCGGAGGGCGACAAGACCAAAGGCCTTGGGGGCATCGGAGCCGGTGGCCTGGGCCTTGGCCTCGCTGGTGCAGGTGGCCTTGGGAGCGGCGGCGGCGATACCGCTGAGGAGAGAGGCTGTGAAGAGGGTCTTGAACTGCATTTTGGTGGTGTTTTGGTGGTTGTTGATTAAGTTGTTGAGGTAGTGGTTGTTGTATTAAGTTGTAGAGTGTAGAGTGTTGATGGATTGAATGAAGAGATTGAATAGACGGACAATCAAGATGTTATATATTCATGAATACGAGCTTCCAAGAGATCTTCGTGACGATCCCCTCGGAAATGAGTCCATGCATCGGTACTTGTTGACATCATATTAATTGAATGGGGTATCCGTCCCCGCACTAAAATGGACACGTCCAAAGGTGAGGCCGTGAGAGTCGTATTCTTAGATCTTGGTAGTGGCGAAATCGGAAGACGGCAGAAAGCACAGCCCCCGAGGCTGGAAGCTGAAAGCTGAACAACTCCATACGAACCACAACAAATGAGTTGGCTTAGCTGAGTATGTGGACTAATGAGGCTGCTCATTCATGCATTGTTTTGTTCATCTCCCGACAACCGAATAATTGCATTACAAAACGGTAACATTATTATGATTATCCCTACATAAACAACATACAACCCTGCATAAATTCATCTTATCGTTCGAGCTTGGGTATCCACCTGACGTCAATGCATTCAAGTAATTACTCCACTGAATTTCAGGAGAAGAAGACGATCGAATTACTGCTCTTGGCTTGGAACTTTTCTAGAATGTCTGAGCATACTGTAGCATGGGAGGCTTGGGAGCCTGACTGTTGATGGTTGAACGTTAAAAATTACACGAGGCGTTGGCGTTGGTCTGGACAGCGGGAGACCAGCCACGTCATAATAGCAACTACCGATGGACACTAAAAATAGAATTGTGGTTATGCCAACAGTAACAGACTTCGTATTCTCCCTACATGTTGTCTATCTCAATTCCAGCGAACAGTTCTGACCGCTTTCCCAGCCTATCCTATGTTGTTGTCTCGACTCATCATAGTTCTGACCGCTAATTCTTGATCATCTCCTGAATAGTTTTCTCAAAGTCCTCAGGCTCCCTTCCCAAGAGCTCCTTCAACGTATCCGTCACACCAGCAGTCTCTCCATCCCGAATAGCCTCCCACGCAGTAGCCCACGTGGTCGCCTTCTCCTCTGTACCAAAATACTCCTTGATCTGAGGCAGATTGATATATTCTTCCACGCTGATCTTCTCAATCTTGAATTCTTTTCCGGCGGCGCGCGATAGGACTTCGACTGTCTCTTCCAATGTCCATGTTTTAGGACCCGTGAGAGTGACGATCTTGTTCGTGTGGGCGAATGATGAGGGCGATGAGACGTATGATGCAATTAGACGCGCTGTGGCTTCTCCTAATTCATCTCTCTTGACCCAACTCACACCTGGACCGCTTCCATCGTGAGGAATTTGGATTTTCGAAGGCGGGTTCTTGAGATCCAGGAAGGAAGTGTAGATAGGGAAAGACTCGCTGTAAAGACCCTCCCTCACACTCGTAAACGTAAACCCGGCATTCTTCTCAGAGAGTTCCCTCAAATACTTCTCACTATCAAGATGCGCCCCCATAACCTCGGCCTTGGTACTATCCTTCCCGATAGAAGCAAATCCAAGAGAAGAATAGAAAACATGCTTCACGCCAGCCTTGACCGCAGCATCGATAGCTTTCGTATGCACTTTCGTCCTGTACTCTCGGACATGGCTGGGATACGAGATGAGGAACAGCACATCGATCCCGGCAAAGACGGCCTGGAGATCTTCGGCGCTAGACTCATACGAAGCTTGCTTCACGACAGTTCCATTGTTGATGTATTTCTGAGGAACCTTTTCAGGGAAGCGGTTGATCAACGTGACTTTGTCATTGGGGACTTGGGGATCGGATAGAAGGTGAGTGTATGTGCTTGTGCCGAGGGCGCCCGAGGCGGGGAAGATTCCGATTTGCGTCATTGTTGGGATTAATACGAGGCTTGGCGATGGTGATGATGATATCGAGGAGAGGAACTGGAAGGCGATTTTATGTATTGCTTTGATCTCCGTGGAGTTGCATTCTTAGTAATCTTTGGTCAATATGACGTATGAACTCCGAAAACTCCATTTGTCGTTATCGCGACTCCGATGATACTGGAAGCTTCTGATTGGACGAAGCTTGGCTGGGATTTCACAGTCAGATATCGAAGCCTCCATATTTATTTTCCCTTCCTGCCTTCCAAATCATCGAACAAGCTCTTCGCAATTCATTATGTCATTTGGGACCACGCTCTGTTGTCCAACTTTTCACCAGCGCCGTTCTAATCGGATCCTCAAGCAATACATTATTTGTGACAGTGATGAAAACTCCCAGTGGCGATGAAGCCCGTTAATCAGGGTTAGAAGGTCTCGCACTGTATATCTTTTCATTTTCATTGATTCTGGTGCAATGACAGATGTTTGAAGGACATACATCAAATAATATTTAATAAAACAACACTCTGGATCACACTAATGACTTTCTTCAACACTTTGCGGTGTCATTACCCTGTAGCTCCGGCAAGAATCATTCTGGCACAGAGTCGACCATCAGCCAGAAACTGGCGACACTGTCACTCTCCTAATTCCAGCGCCGAGAGACAACAATGCGATTGAAAGCGCCACAAAACTCGAAGACCAAGAATAGAACAAATCCCTCATGTCTTAGCCCGTATCTCAAAATCCGGGGTAAAGAGGCTGGCGGACAGCAGGGGTTGTTTATGGCTTGCAGTAGTCAATCTGACTATTTCTATACTTAGCACCCATGATCCGATCTTAGCTTCAAGATCGAGCTACTTCGCTTTCAGCTGGCTTGGAATAAGCCTCATATTCTGATAAGCTCCGCTCTACAGCTGACCCGGGGTACAGCAATCGTGTTCCGTATCCCGCATTCCATATCGTGTTCTTTTGCTTTCAAAGTCTCAGGTTCATTCTGAGATCCAAGACTGGCTTTGCTTGGCAGAGGGTGCCATTCTTTGTCTCGAGGAATTGTACGGTGCCCTCCAGATCCAGTCTGAGCATAAGCCAGAGGTAATGGCCGAAGTCAGTATTTGAACGCAAAGCTTGGATAATATGAGAGTCCCCAAGACGCTACAATCTTCAAACTGCCCGTCAGTCCTCGGATAATGAAGAGACAGTGGCTGTCATGAAGCTATACAAAATCCATTTGGACTTCCTCTCGAGCGAGGTCGCGATAACTGTTCGGCGACAATTCACCGCTGCTGCCTGTTCCGCTTCTTCTTAATCCAACATTGAAACCAGAACCCGACTCGCCTTTTACGTATAACCCAGAGACACTCCATGAATGCCAGCGCCGCGATTACGTCCAGACCGAATAGCAACCAATGGAAGTTCACTCTCATCCCCTACTCATATGTCCTTACCAGCAGAACTGCCATCGCTTCAATCTCCATCCATGCTTCCAACTATCAAACCACATCACTCCCTTTGCGAATACTACCCAACCACTCACCGAATAATTCTTACACCCCATCCAATCTCGGTGACCTGAGAGATCCAATTATACCATAAGATCTTTAAAATAAGCATATCCAGATTGGTCACCGCAAAGCTTCCGTTGGCTGAATCTATCCGGGTGATCCGGCCAAACCTTCTGAGCTCATCTCACCGCTTAGCACATCAAATAAATCTTATTTGAACCTCATCTCGCACCTTATCGTTATGTAATCATAAATACTTAGGAAACCAAGTATTTATTTTCATCTATTAGGCTTCTGCGGGAGATATCCAGCATCCCGTGAACCTTGGCAGCGATGCTCAAAGTCTATTTTATACATTCATTCCTCTTTGAGTTCACATTCCGCATCTTGAAGGATCTGCCTCTTGAAAAACTCAAAATGCGAGACTTTCTTAAACTTAGTGTTAAAGTAAAATCCACCTCGTGGCTGGTGATCGTTTTGAGACATGTGTTTCGTTGCTGTAGTAATGCCACGCGAAATCGCAGATAGAGTTTGAGACAAATACCTTACAGTGGCTTGAACGAAATGTAGATCATGTACTCAAAAGTTTCGACACGCCTCAATAATTGCGCGGGGTAGAGATCGCGGTGTCGAAAACTTAATTACCTCTATCCAACCTCGAGAGGCACCAGGTCAATATCGAGACGTGGAATCATTAACAAAAGAAAAAGTAGTCACAGTTAAAACATTCACAGAGGCATAAGACATTGATGGTTTAATAACTTGGTATCATTCTTTGAGATATTTACATATTATTCTCATATACTTCCGCGTGCTCATCATCTTAGATCATAACACCATGACCTTCCAAAACATTTCAGGTATAATAATTAAAGGAAATATCCTCCTCATCAAAAATAAAAAGTAACAACACTGGAGTCGGTAGACTCAAGCTTAGACGTGGTCGTCGTGCTCAGTCTTAGGGAGGACCTTGACATCGCCAGCACGGGCAAAGGTCTCGTGAGGTCGCCACTTAGCAGAGGTTCGGGGAGTGGTCTCCTCCATCATCTTATCAACCTGCTCGAGAGACAGACCCTTGGTCTCGGGAACGAGGAAGTAAGTGTAGACGAAGGCGCAGGTGCAGAGGCCACCCCAGACGAAGAAGACGGAAGACTTGAGGTTTCCACGGCTCTCACCGACCATGTAGGGGGTGATGACGGCAATGATGGTGTTCCAGAGCCAGTTGGAGGCGGTGGAGAGACCGACACCACGAGATCGGATGGGGATGGGGAAGATCTCGCCGATGACGATCCAGGCACCAGGACCCCAGGTGGAGGCGAACCAGAAGATGAAGATGGCGATGAAGGCAATCTGGGCGTTGACGGCGCTGACGTTGTCGGCCATGACGGCGTCGGGGTCGGCGGCAGTGGGAGCAGGGTGGGTGTGGTTGAAACCGACAGTGACACCAATGATGGCAACGAGGAACTGGCAGACAAGCATACCGAAAGCACCAACGAGAAGGATGGCTCGACGACCGAATCGCTCAACAGTCCAGAAAGAGAGAGGGGTGGAGCAGACGTTGACGAGGGTGAAGACGAGAGAGATGAGGAAGACGTTGTCGATGGCACCGGTGGACTTGAGGAAGGGAGTAGAGTAGTAGAAGATGAAGTTGACACCGGTCCACTGCTGCATCATCTGCATGGAGGTACCGAGGATGGTTCGGCGAAGGTTAGACTTGGCGTCCCAGAGAGAACCCTTGAAGCAGTTGGCCCAAGAGCCGAACCAAGTGGTGGAGGGGATCATTTGACGCTCGTACTCCTCGTTGGCGACGATCTCGGCAATCTCAGACTGGACGTACTTGGAGTCCTTGGGCTGACCACGGACGCGAGCAAGAGCGTCAACAGCCTTTTCGATTTGACCACGCTTGACAAAGTATCGGGGAGAGTCGGGGAGGAAGAAGAGACCACCAGCGAGGATGACAGCCCAGGGGAACTGGATACCGATGGGGATCTGGTACGACTTCATGGAGTAGAACTTCTCGGTTCCGTAGACGATGCAGGCGGCGAGGAGGAGACCGATGGTGATACAGAATTGGTAACCGGCGACGAGAGCACCACGAACACTCTTGGGGCACTGGAGTCAAGCTGTTAGCAAGGGGAAGAGAAGCCGAGGGTGACAATGTGTAACTTACAATCTCGGACATGTAGAGAATGACGATGGCTGACTCGAAACCAACACCGAGACCAGCAATGAGACGACCGACAACGATGCAAGCAAGAGGATCACCGTGACCAGTGATCATCTGGATAACGACACCGATGCAGTAGATGAGACAGCCGAGAATGACGGTCCACTTGCGACCCATGCGGTCGGCAAGATCACCAGCGATCAGGGCACCGAAGAAGGTACCGCAAGAGAGAATAGAGACGATGAGAGACTGGTGGCTCTCGGAGAGGGCATCGGCACCGCGGCCCTCGACCTGCTCGATGAAGTACTTGGAGCCGTTGACACCGTTGATGTAACCGGAATCGTAACCGAAGAAGATACCTCCGAAAGAGGCAAAGGCGCACATCATGTAGGCCTTCCAGGTGACGGGAGCCTCGATCTGCTCGACATTGTCGGCAGTCTGAAGAGCGACAGAGCCGTGTCGCTCGTCGGCGTGATGACCTTCAACGCCCATGGTGGTGGTTGTGGAGGAGAAGAAGTTGTGGCTGGTTTATTTTGATTCTGGCCAGGCAGAAGAGTTGGAGGAGAGAGGAAGAAGGAGAAGAGTGTTGTTGTTGTGATGTGATGGAACGAAAAAGAGTTGTACGAGGGGGGAGACCAGGTCTATTTAATCTCTGACGAGAAAAAGAAGAAAGAAAGTGTGCTCTCGTGTGTAAAGGAAAGTCTAGTCTGATTTTGGGTCTGCGCAGCTATTACCGATGGCATGAGCATGGGGGGGTGCACGAGCAGGAGCAGCGTAGCAAGGTTCGGAAGCAGCCATTGCCCACCAGTGAATGAAAAGGTACTAAACCAAACTAGTCCAAGACCAGTGACACAGAATTTGGGAAATCTTCTACCCAACTCGGGTAACTGCCTTTGGCCGTTCACGAGCAGAGAGCAGTCCAGATGCAGTGACAGCTGGAGAGTTTCCCGCTCAAAATTAGGTGGTTCTCGGAGCATGCGAAGTTAGTGGTTGTTAGTACTAGCCCCTAGCAATAAGTCCCCGGGGGCCCATGGGGCACGGTAAATGGGGAAGACAGGGGTTGGAAGTTACCTGGGGTGAGTGTCGACACGCCCTGGGTAGGTCTTTCTCCAGTAAAGACAAAGAGTGCGGAGGCGGCCGCAAACGGGGTGTGAAGGTAGAAAAAACATGACACCTTTTGACGATGGATTCATTTGATGGTTGATGGCATTCTATAACACTCAATAGCTACGTTTTGGGAACAATTATTTTATTGTCAAGACGTTCATTCACAGCATACCATTTGTTGACACAGCAACACTTGTGCGACAAAGAACTTGACACGATCTTCCCACTCGCACAATTCTGAATCACTCATCGGAAAGTACCTAGACTCCTTCAATTAAAGAATCTAATTAAAACAGAGAAGAAAAAACCTGCACTTGCACGCGCCCAGGCTAGAATCTTTTTTGCATCTGGGGAATCGCGTGGGGATCCATCTAAGCTACGAGGTAAGGCCGAAGACCAGCGTTGGGGCTCATAACGGCTTTGGGGACAGGGGGGGAGGGGAGGATTGGCCCAGAATGGACATGGTACCAGAAGAAGCGCCGCGAGTATGGCCGGCCGTTTATTTCCTGGTTTGCTTTTTCGGGAGTGCGCACGGCTTCTTGCTTCTATTGAGATGTTCTAGAGTTGGATGTGTCTTCCGTAATTGATTCATCAGTCTTCGAGTCAAGTCTGACACAACGGGAACGAACCATCCTGGCGGAACCCTTCTTTTTGTTAATCACCCGTATTGAGGCGCCAAGTAGTATCTTGAAGATCTCAAAGTCTAGATGGGTGATGTGTTGTTACGCTGATCTGGTGGTAGCATCGAATGCATGCCATGCCATTCACAGTAAGCATACCATATTCTCATCTACCAGTCACGAGCAAATCCTACACTCCAACTTATTTTTTGCCGACGCGGGGAAATAGAGCCCTCTCTCTATTCTTTCCCCTTTGCTGGATCCCCCTCCAATGGCACATTCTCGGTGGTACTCGAGACGGTAGCGCTACGCCCCTGCCCAGCATGGTTGTAATTGACCGAGTTCACCACCGTCCACTGGGTCTTTGGGGTAAAATAGTGTCTTTTTTCCCATCATCATCACCTGTCAAAACACCACTCTTTTTTTCCCCTCCCCCAGAAAACAGAGTCTCTCCGAGTTCAACACCGAAATCCCCCAGAGTTTGGTCTCTCGTCTCCGGATTTTCAGCATCAGACATAAAACGCGGGGGGAAAAAGGCCGAGTTTTGTTATTTGACCGAGTAAACATCTTAAACTCCTGCCAGAACTGGTGATGGTGATGTCTGTAGAGAGCTTCAATAGCCAAACAATTGAAGGAACAAACCAAAGGATTGTAAGCCACATCGTCACGAGAACCCGCGAATCGACGAGTGTCTTTGTCATGCATATTTCCGGGCCGAAACGCGCAACAGCCCAGCCAAGAAAATGAAATGTACCAAGTGTAAAGGATTCAATTACCAACACGCGGTTGTCGGGAAGTGGCCTAGTCTGAAGCGCATGCACTTACGGATAGTCGGATACAGACAGAAAGACACAAAAATTCCACAACGCCGTTTCCGTAGCTTAGCCGCCATTAACCATTGACTCCATTCTGCAACGACGTTGCAGGACCAACAGTCGGAACAACTATTACGTGAAATATTTTCCTTCGGGAGATTACTCGACGGAAAGGGGGTTCTGTTGCACGAATACAGAATTGTAACCCATATCATAATACAGTACAGTAGTTTGCCGTCTGCGTGACGATAAACTCCTGCGGACATGTCCACGATCTCTAAAAATAATTACACGATTCTAGACAGTGACAGATTTCTCGGATCAGCAGAGTTACCTCAAGATCGGGAGATGCGTCCGATATTCTTCTCCCCTTTTTTTTTTCGCCACGAACCGCTGCCTCGGAATTGGATGGGTCACGAGACGAACAAAGAACGGACCAGAATTTGGTCAATATGGAGAGAATCCACTGAAGCATGGAGAACAGACATTTGAGATAGAGTAATGAACAAAGTTGTCAACCATGACCAAGCAGACTTAGCCGAAGAGAACTCAGAGAACAGTGTCCGCAGCTAGTGGTCTCCATCTCAGTGGCCTTGGAGTGCCTTGAGTGCACACCCCCAGCTCCCCTTACCCTTTGGAAGTGACCCTCTATTGGTCGACACCAAGTGGGTCTCGGCCGGACTCACTCTGGAGCCATCGTGTCAGAAAAAGTAAATGTACGCCTAAATCGGGGGTAGATCAGCTCGTGACTGCTCGGCCGAGAATTTGAGTCTTGCTTACTGACAGAGAGTAAAGAAAGTATTAGCCGTGTTCCGAGAATACACGCGCTGAAACGGATGAGAGTTTCCAAATGTGGTAGCAGTTGCCCGTACGGATACAGACTGTTAGACTGTAGTGATGGGGGATCGGTGGCGTTGTGATCCTACAGTACCCATTCCAGTCTGTCACCAGGTACACTTGAGCTTCTCCAACTAGCAACAGGAGCTTCGCATTGGATCCAGCTATTCCTCTAATGTACAGTAATGATCATTCTGTTTGCCTCTGGCCACTGGTTTCTTTCCATCGTTGTTAAGCTAAACGTACTGTGGTAAGCAGACGGTAATCTCCATGTTCTAGATGCAATCTCTGTCTCGAACAAGTCATCATCATTGTCTCAGAAGGTCCTGTCGCTTGTCCAGTGCAGATCAACGCTGCTACCCACCATCCCGCATGCACAAGCAACGTTGAATCTGTCTCTGCCAAGACCAGTAACGAACACACACACATGACCTTCTTTTGATAGGGTTTATGCTTTTCAGCCACTGTCGCATGGTAGAACTCGATGCTCGAATGATAATTCACAGTAGCATCAGAGGCTTTACTGCCAAGACGCCAAGATCGTCAGAGCTGCAGTCAGCTTTTCCATCATTGATTGAGAGGTCTCGTGATACCTCTTTTTGGTCTGGTTGGAAAGACAAAATAAGTGTAATTGTAACTTTATAACGGTGATCGTTTGAGCTGAAAGATCGTGTGTTTTGCTCATCCGATGCTGGACGGGAGATTGCCACGGTTCTGTACTCAATCGACTGATGAATCGATGATATGATGATACAAATGGGGATCTCCCCGCCACACGACGGATCTCTGCAAACTAACCTAGACTACAACGACGATCTCAAGTTCCAGACATCAAAGCACTTCGCTCCATCCGAAAAGCACAGCTCTAAAGTAAAGCTCTCTCGATCGCAAACTCAATAAACAATTCATGAAATCTACCCTAGATCTTAACTGACCCAATTTTCTACCCCAGATTCGACGATCACCACAAGCGAACTCCATCAAAATAATAACACCGAGACGTTGTTGTATCATCCCCAGAATCATAATAACACCGAGATCCATTGTTGTTTATCTACCCTTTCCCCAGATCCATTCTTTCATGACCGAGATCACACCGAAGAATCGTCTGTGTTTTAAAGTTGACGTGCCCCGCGTGTTGATCAATGGAGTTGGACGTGCAGAAGAATATGGGGATGGATGAGGTGATGTAGATAAGATGCATGTCACGATGAGGGGAGATTTGCTCACGCGTGATTGAGGTGAGTGAGGGATCTGGGTATATTAATCGTGAAATACCAGGTGCGACGCGACTCAATCACGCATTCGACCATACTACAGAGTACCTCCCTCCCATACCTACATCATCACGGTCGCATCTTGGCGATTCTCACCACGCGTTTCGAAATCGGTCAGCATCTCCTCCCGCGACACCACCACGATAACGATAGCGCCCATGAAGCCATCATGAAGACTGCCAAGACTCTTACTCAAAAACCCGACGCGCTCAATCCGCCGAAATATCCATTTGCAAGCGCAACTGCAAGCTGCGCCCTGGGCTGAGGGATTGTTTCAACGGCATTGACAAGTGTCAATGTTTTAATCACGGTGGTGCGACTGCTTTAGCAAAACGACTCCGGGCGCATTGACGCGAGGGTTACAGTCAATGCTCCGGAGATGGCATTGTGCGACCGACACAAATTGTTCGCGTCAAAGTCGGCGTTTGCACTGAAAAGAAGAATCCGGGAATGAGAGGTGTCAAATCCGGAGGGGTTTCACTGAAGTCTCGGTTCTGTCATTCACTGTTAGCAGGAAATGCGCCGCAAGCGTGAGTATGGGTCGCGAACGGCATCATGACAAGCTCAACCTGTCACGACCATCGGCAGATCATCATAACAATTATATGCGAGATCAATTAATAGCTATATAAATGTCAATTAACCATATTTTATAGAGCTTTATCTGTGTCTGTCGAGGTAGTGATAGCTTCGAGAATATTTCTGGTCTGTTCGGCTCATACCTCGGCGTATCCACTTCGTTCAATTTTTCGCCTCTTTTTTCTTCCAAGACGTCATTAACATTTCACATGGGACTGATATCATATCATACCCAATTCTCGTGATTGAGTTTCGCAATTCATCATTGACATACTTTGTTACCTTTTGAACTCCCACTTTTAACTCTTACTCGACTCGCACAGCTAAAGCTCCGTCGCATCGCAATTCTCAACACCACAACAACATTGTCGCATCACAACCCAAATACACCAACAATGGCAGAAACAATGCAAGCCTGGCAATGCGCCACCCCAGGAACCTTCGAATCAGTCTTCCAACTCTCCCAAACTCCCAAACCAACCCCCCAATCTCTCAAACCCGGCCAAATCCTCGTCCAAGTCTCTCGCGCAGCGCTCAACCCAGCAGACTACAAGATCATCGAACTCGGCATAACTTCCCGCGCCCTGACATCCTACCCCAAAACTCCCGGCATGGACCTCAGCGGTCGCGTAGTCGCTGTAGCACCAGACGTCACTGATGCGAAAGAAGGTGACCGCATCCTCGCGCGCGCAAATCCCCTCAAGGCGTTTGGCTCGTTGGCGGAGTACACGGTTGTTGATAAGGAGGGGTATAGTGTTCTTGACGACAAGGTTGATCTGGATCAGGCAGCTGGTGTGGGCACTGCTGGACTTACGGCGTATCAGAGTATTCAGCCGTATGTCAAGAGCGGCGATAAGGTGTTTATCAATGGTGGTTCAGGCGGTGTTGGACTTTGGGGTATTCAGATCGCCAAGGCTTTGGGATGCCATGTTACAGTATCTTGTTCAACAGGCAAAGCAGATCTGTGCAAGTCCCTGGGCGCAGACGATATCATCGACTACAAGACCAGCGACGTAATGACCGAACTCCGCAAGCGCGGCCAAGTCTTCAGCGTCTGCGCCGACAACGTGGGAAACTCACCTCCCGACCTATACGGTTCATCCAACGACTTCCTCTTGCCGGGAAGCAGCTACGTCTTCGTCGGTGGCCACGTTTCGCCGCGAAGTTTCCTGAGTTTGTCTACCAACATCGCGCGACCTTCGTTCTTGGGCGGCGTCAAGACCAAGTTTGTTGCGTACATGACGGTGAACAAGAGCAAGGATTTGAACCAGTTGAGGGATTGGATGAGTGAGGGCAAGGTAAAGACTATTGTTGATTCGACTTTTGGGTTTAAGGAGGCGGATAAGGCGTTTGAACAGTTGAAGAAGGGATCTAGTGGGGGTAAGATTATCGTCAGGTTTGAGGAGTAGGTGATACCTGGGTGACGCTTTGTATTGTAATGTCTATGTTATCTAAAGTAATGTCTTGACCTGCTGTGGCTTATCTGTGATGTACTTGAAGCAATGGTGTACCTGACACAGAGTGTCCCCCAATTGATAGGTAAACTCCAGTACGTGAGCCTTGGATAAGACATGTGCGCGGGCTCAGACCTCAATTGATAGGTAAACTCCAGTACATGAACCTTGGATAAGACATTCACGGGATCGGAGCGGCCCGAATGCACAAACGCCCACCGAACTAACTGGGCATTCCGGATAGCCATGGCGTTTAAACCGACACTCAAAGCTTGCGCCGGCCGGGTCGGGTATTTGATGTACGACATGCCCATCAATCTGCACCCCAGGACCATCCTAAGTTGAGTATGTAGCTCCGAGAGGCCTGGCGCGCGAAACAAGGTGTCGCCGAACAGAGGATCTTTGTCAAAAGTCTGATAAGAACCTCCTCACGTCCCCAACCCAGTAGCAAACTTCTTCCCAACCCACGCAGCACCATACTCCTCATACTCCCCCTTCGTAACGACCAACCTCTCAATATTCGGATGACTCGCCAAATGCGCACCGCCATACCACGTATGTGTAATTGGATCTGCAGGTCTCGCAACCCTAACTATACAATCGTCCGGTACACGCTGCACCACCTCTTTCTGCAACCGTTGTATAAACCCGTCAAAGTGCGTGTTACCACCCACGACGATAATATTGGCGAGAAGACTGGGCCAGAGACCGATGGGGAGCTCGTTGAGGGATTCTTGAACTAGTTCTGCCAGGCCGGGCTGCCTAAGTCCGACGTCTGATGGATTGAACAGGAGTTCTGGGACGGTGAAGCGTTCGTTTCGCAGGGTGAGGGCGTCTTCTTCTGACTGGTTTGCCATTTTTCGCGCTTTAGAGTGTCGGGAGGGTTCGTAGTCGACTAATCTTCCCTTGGAGTGGGTGTGGAAGTCAGGTAGGATGTAATCCTTCGCAATGCCGCCTCCAGATAAATAATCTGATCGTCGGTCTCCTCTTGTACCTCTCCATGACTTTTCTAGATCGGATTTAAAGTCGGGGGAGACGTAGCAGGAAAGTTCTTTCATTTCGTTGACGATGTATGTATCGTTTCGCATGTCGAAGTGACGGAGGGAGATGAGTCGCGTGAGGTAGTTCGTGAGGACCTTGCCGCCGACATCTAATCGTTTGACGGCGGAGTGTAAAGACTGGCCGCGCAGGAGCGGTGTGATTGTCGTATGCGAGTATCCCGAGTCGATTACCATGACGGCTTCGGCGGGTGTGTTATCGACGGTCGGTTGGTCTTGTGGTGTTCGGAAGATATTCTGGATATCGTGGTAGGCATTAAACGTCGGGCCTACAAGATCAGTAACAGCTCAAATCAGCATCCTGAACAAACTCACCTATACCCCGATAGTAACTCTCAAACCCATACTCCTCAAAGACAATCTGATCGCAATTCGTCTGCAAAATGGGCAACCCATTAGGCGGTTCCGCAAGTATCAACCTGCTGCTCCCAGGTTCAAACCCATCCTCAAAAACCTCCCTATCCCAAATCTCCTTCTGCGCCTCCCAATTAACAATAAACCCCTTCTCCACGGGTCTTCTAAACTGTATCTCTCCGAAGTCGCGACACTTTTCGAGCTCGGATGCGACGTAGACTTTGCGCGCTCGGTCGCGGGCTATGACGTTTGGGATGATGCGAGGGTCGGAGAATTTGCCATCGTGGACTACTCCGGCTTTTATTGTTGCTGCACCGTTGTCGAGGACGAGGGTTGGAGGCGTGCCTTTTGGGGCGGCGGGTTTGGCTTTGCGGCTGGGCATTGTTGGGGTGTAGAGGGGATTGATGATGATTTTCTTGATGGTTTGGATGCGACGCGATTTCTGGTGGGGCGGTGGTTACATAAGCTATCATGACCACAATTCATGATGAGTTTGACCGCCTTGTAGTCGTGAACATGCTCTATCATGGCTTCTCATTAGATGGGATCAATCAGACGTGAGTTATATTTTATATCATGACGCTATATCTACAGTCCAGGTACGTTGGGTGATCTCTTCCATTCGCCTCAATTGACATTCTCTACTTGACTGAAACCCAGGTGCCTGACCCTATATTTTTGCTAATGACGGATTTTGAGCTTCAGTTATACCAGATATTAACTACCAGAGCATCAGCCTATTTTCGTCCATTATAACAGCACAGTGACGGAGGCCGTTTTGGTGACTCTTCCTCGCTGCAGACTTAACCCCTCGCAAGAAACTGTAACAAGTACCCATTGGCTCAGCAATATGCGATTCCAGCCCATCGTGGGTGAGTGGAACACCCCCCGATTCCACTGCAATTTTAACACTCTCTTAGCGTCCACGTCTTTTGAGAGGTATGTAATTCGGCGCCAAGAAAGCGCGCGACTGCATTCTTATCCTCCACAAGGACCGACTGTGCTCCCAGCCCTGCGCTTGCAATGAAGTAAGCATTGTGGCTCAGTAGTAGGCAAGTCAGTGTCGTGATTAGGGGTTGACACCACCTTCTTTCACTGCTTTTTTAACACTCTCCCAGCGTTCAAGTTTTTTGAGACACCACCTGGGTCAGGGTAGGCCTCCTGCCTCCTTCACTGCATTTTTAACCCTCTCCCAAGACGAGCACTGAATGTTTGTCTGTAGCTGGAAGCTTCATTATATCTAGCAATTAATACTTTTCTTTTTCTCTTATATATAAATATAACCTAGATAGCAAATAATATAGGTAGTAAAGAGTTAATAGGCAATCCTTTCAGTGTTTAATATCCTACGGCAATCTGCTAAGCTATTATTAGTTACTGCATATCTACATACATAAGACTTTTGTTAATCTTGCCTTTCATCAGCACCCAAAACATCCAAACCCATCCCATTATTCTGTTGGGTTGCCTCCAAGACAGTACGAATTTGCTTCAACCCCAGCATTTCCTTTTCCTTTCCTGCAAGAATCCTAGAAATCTTAACAACATTCCGAATCTGTCGACCATTCATCGGGAGTTCAGCAAGATTCTTCAATACCTGATGACTCAGTGAAGTCTCAGCGTTGCTGTCGATAGTACACCGCCTCCAAACTTTCTCTCTTGCCGTCGCATCAAGGTCTGGGTAGTGCAGTGTCAGATGAATCCTGCTCTGGAATGCTCCATCGATTGCATTGCCTCGATTAGTGGTCAGGATGAGGATACCACGGTAGTACTCGATAACTCTGAAGCCTGTCAGTAAAAAAGTTAAGGAAGGGAGGAGTATAGGTACCTCAGGAATACAGCGACAATTTCGTTATGTCGTAAGTTGTCCATTGAACGTTGTTGAAGGAACACGTCGCACTCATCGAACAGCAACACAGCATCCCATTTCTCAGCCAGTCGCAGGACCTCATTAAGACGACGTTCTACCTGCTCTGCTTCGTTTCCTAGTTCTCCCGCACTCAGAATATACAGTGGTTTTCGAGTATTGTCAGCTACAGCCTCTGCTGTTAGAGTCTTACCAGTGCCCGGAGCACCAATGAAGAGTATCACGACGCCAAGTCCTTTGCCTTGGATAATGTCATCGAAATCAGACGTGTGCCTGGCCTGACCCTCAACAAAGCATGTGACGAGGCTCTTGTAACCTGATGGAAGTACTAAATTCTCAAAGGCGTCGTCGTTCCAGGCAATGCTTGTGATATGATCAACCTCGATTTCACCCCATGTCTTTGTTTGGAGCGGATATGCCTTGACTTTGGAGTTGCAGAGAAGAAGTTGCTTCTCGTTTAGAACGGTGTCTGTGAAGTTAGTCATTCGTGCTATGTAGTACACAGCCAGACTTTATTATATACCTGATTCTTCTATCTGTTCGTTTGACTGTTCTGATTCAGTCATGCTTCCATGTCGTCGATGACGGTATCCATCCCTTTTGGATTCCATCGTATGGATAGAACCCACAATGGGCGGCGGAGGTGGCGGGAAAGTATGAATAGGACGCATACCGGGCGGCGGAGGCGGCGGAATCGAAGGATAAGAACCCCCAATGGGAGGCGGAGGTGGCGGAAGTGAGGTCCCCATGTGTCGGTTGTTGTCAGCGACTCCAAGCCTGGGTTTGATCGAGTCTTCAGCTAGACTGACCAGCGGTAGACGGCTTCCCTTATGATCAAAATAACTGGCGGCATCGACGACGACTCTTTCTTCGATCTAGAAACACCTTGTCAACACTCTGATTATGAGTCAGATGGGCCACAGGTATACTCACCTTTCGCTCGATGGCTTGACCTCTAACTCCAAGGTTCAGTGATCCAGAGTAAGCCTTATAGTGGATTCCTTTGAGTTCTTGGAACTTCCTTCCCCGCTCGATAGCTCGTTCTCTTACCGAATTTGCCGAAGGATGAAAGTGAAACGGATATATGGGTAAGTCTGTGATGTTCTTAGTGCCAGAAAACTGGCAGATCGAGAAAACCTGGTTGTCATATCCAAACTCCTGGCCATCCCAGTCCACAAATTTGGTGTACAAAGTAAGGTAGCTATTCTGTTGATGGAAATAGCGGCTAACGATAAAAAGTCGTTCTTTTCCATCAACGAGGCTGAACAACAACGTGCCCGGCTCAAAAAGAGCCCAAAGAAGCTTGAATGTGACGATGCCCTGTTCCGTATGGTCTTTGATCTCATCCACCTCACCACGAATCTCAGCATGTAGCACCTTGTACAGCAGCTGAGAAAATACATAGCCGGGGTGACCCTCCTTCTTCTGTCTCTCCAAAATGTCACTGAACTTGTTCCACTGATGATAGAAAGGATGGAAAGGTACTTTAAAGACGAGCTTTTTGAGCGACGTGGTGATCCCTTGATAACCTTCGAATACTTCACTAAGCGTCTGCTTTAGCGATGAGTTCTGAACAACGACTGAGTCGAGCTCGAGGAGCTTTCCTTCGCTGTGGCTTTTACGCATGCGCACAACGATGGCTTTTTGCTTGATTTCCTTCTCCTGCTCGATATTTATGCGAAGGTTTTCTGGGTACTCCTCTACCCAGTTCTTACAACACCCACACTTTGGGGGACCTTCGTACAGAGTTTGTATTTCGCATTTTTCGCCCTCTTCGAGATCATCAATGTTTAGGTCGGGGGGACTGTCTTCGGGCCTGGCCTGGGTCTTGACAATCTCACCAACTTCTGTGCACTTGAAGCTTGAATCTCTCAGTGGTGAGTTGGGTCGTTTTGTAAGTGTTGGTGGATTGTCAAGTGATGGGATAGGAGATGCATCCGGAGCATCATCGACTTTCTGGGATGGCAACATGGTCGTGTATAATGTCTTGGAACGTGGTTGAATTGGATTCATGGGTAGCTGCGATGTGCTTTATATTATAGTCATCATTCTACAATATACGTTGCGTCTTATCATTGTCAGCCTAAATGCCACACGCCTTTCTCGGCAGGTGGGTGTCAGAAGAATTGTCCTCTAAGGCTGAGGGTACAGAAATAAAGTAGCCTAAACCACAGCCTTAAGTCAGCATAAGGTAACCAAAACATTTTATCTCTTATGCTCTCAGCGGCCAATTCTTCTGACACCCTGACGCTTAGCAAATTATTTTCAACCCTTCATTAGAATATACGCAAGTGATTGGTGCCCTCATATGCCGACTTCAGGTTTTCATCCTACCTACAGACACATCAACAGACAGCAATATCATTACCCATCCAATTGCAATCATGCAAACACGTAATCTAGGCATACAGTAGCATCTTTGTGTTTGAACTTCTGCCACCCAGCAGGCAGCAACCCACTGGTCGGATAGCATCCAGGCCTTGAGACTGTCTGTGAAATACCCTAGAGCTTGAGAATTGTGCAAGCTCCAAATGACTTCAATGTAGTGTTTCTTACCGACATTTGCTGAGCAGTTGAGTTTGTCCCAGGCCACCAGTCAAGCGAGCCTACTGTGACGAATATAGGCTGCTATTTCAACCTGCAATTTACATATACTGAGGATGGAAGTCGACCTGGTCTCTTAAGCTACAATTTTCCTCTTACCGTGTGCTGAAGAGATGTGCTTAATTTAGATGGTAATTGAGATTACTATGCGGAGAGCCGTAGTAAGAAAGACCAAACCTTACAATGGGGATGTTCGTTATTAAAAACAGTTTTAAAGGAAACTTTTAGTGATAATTTGTATAGAGGTTAAATTGAACATTAAATCGTATTGTGGTTAGAGATAATTATAACTAGCGAAAAAAATATATATAGATATTACATATAATCCAAGTCATTAGCAACATAATCGTGTTCGTCGTATCTCTGACCATCAATTGGTATCTTCCCAAACCATGCTTCATGTCTTAACAGACTCCAAAATCCCCTTCTCTCTAAGTAAATCGCCCAAAACCTGAAGTTTAACCGGCTTCGCAAGAAATAAATCAAAGCCACTCCCACTCGCCTCCTTCTGTGCCTCCTCCGTAGCCAGACCAGAAACCGCAAACATCGGAACACTCTTTTTAATTCCCTCCTTGCTTTCAAAAGCCCTAATCAACCTCGCCGCTTCAAAACCGTTCATGACCGGCATGGAGATATCAGATAATATACATGCAAAGTCCCGTGGTGACTGCGTGTATTTTTCCACTGCTTCTTTACCGTTGATGGCTTTGTCGTATCGGATTTGGAGTTTCTTCATGTATGCGATGAGGATTTTCAAGTTGATGTGGTTGTCTTCGACAAGTAGCATTCGAGGCGCGTGGTTATCCGTATCACTTGACTCTTGTCCAGCAGGCGGGGCCGCGTCTGGTTGTGGAGGAAACGAATAGCTAGGCGTCGTGCTTGGATTGACCGCTGGTGGGCTACTACCAGGAAGAGGCGGGGTGGGACGAGGTTCTTCATCTTCCACCCAACGACTGTAGGCAAGTGCCAAGGTCTTTGCGAGTTTCCGTGGACCGATCCTAAACGATATACTCCGTTAGTCTTGAATGGTACATAGTCAGTGGTCAACTTACGGCTGCGACACAAATTCAAAAACACCTTTCCAGCCGGCCGCACTCGTTCTCTCGTAGGCGGCCAAGGCATCCTGGCATATGACAACGTTTGGAACCTGAGCAAGCGAGTCCGTGTACTGGGTTGTAGCTGGCAACGAATGCTGCGTCCAAAGCATGAGATCCGGTTTTCTCGAATTGTCGTCTTCTGCTACTATCTCAAGCTTCAACCATTCTTTGCAGATATGATCCAAAGTGTTGCGCAGGCCAGTAGAAGAGCCAGACACAATCCGAACACGCAGTCCCGCCAGATCCCGGACTTGTTCATTGAACTTAGCTTGGGCACTGGATGGAACACCAGACGATCCGGGCCTCTCGAGAGGAAGCAGAACAGTAACTGTTGTACCGACGCCGACTTGACTTTCGATCGAAATTTGGCCTCTGAATTGCTTCACAATCTGTTTGACGAGACTGAGTCCAATGCCGGTCCCTGGGGACAGATCATTCTCTTGAGTGAAGGGCTTGAAAATTCCCCTCTGGAGATACTCCTGGCCAATACCTTTACCTGTGTCCTTGACCACGAAACAAACAACCTGTTCCGGCCTGCGACGCCTAACAGCAGTGACCTGTTGCGTGAGGGAGATGGTGATGGTACCGTCTTTTGTGTATTTCAACGCGTTGCCAACAATGTTCATGACAATGCGACGGACGGCACCCACGTGGAAGCGGAATAGCCAATCGCACCCAGAGTCCAGAGAAAGAATGATGGTTACGTTTCCGAAACTAAAAGTCGTACCTGTTGATTGAGTCACTCCAGGACTGAGCTGGTCCATAGCTTCAAGATAGTCCGACGCGGTATTGGCTGTATTGTCTGCGTGGCGCGAAGCGCGGCGTGCGTGTGGCCGTTGAGAAATGTATTGGTTGATGGATTTGTGTTGAAAGTTGAATCCAGCAAAGACACTCTCGACCACATCCTCTACCAATTCGTCAAGTGAATAATCGGTGACGAGAACCTTGCCAAAATGCTGCGACCCGGGTTTATTGAAATGGCTCGTCGGCTGACCACCAGTGACCTTGTTGTTTGAATTGGCGAAGTTATTGACCCTGGAATAATCGAGAAGATGATCTATCGTATCGAGCAACGTTCGCGAGCACGTCTCGATAGTGTGTGCAATGTTTGTCTGAAAGACGTCGAGTTTCGTATCAGCTATGAGCTCCGTGCTCAACAGTACGCCGTGAAGAGGAGAACGTAATTCGTGGGACAGAGATCCAAGGGCATCGGATTTGATCTTTGCAGATTGCAAAGCTTCAAGTCGTGCAATCTCAACTGCAGCAAGAGTTCCAAAGCCGCGCAGGTAGCTTAGTTCCCCCTGGACGGTAAAGGTGCGCGTGGGAGTGTTGGTGTAGATTAGTCCGCTGGCGCTCCATCGTTCTTTTATGGGATCCCAGACGGGGAAGAAGGCTACGCTGCGGGCGCCTGGAAACGCAGCGGAAATGATTCGACCCTCGCGCTGACGCGACAGAGGTTTCCGTTGCAGTGACCTGTGCGGCGAAGATTGTCCAGATACTGAGCGGCCACGTTCTGCTGGCGCCCAAGAGAAGACGTCGTCAGACGATGAGTCGGATGTTTGAAGCTCCCCGTCAACATCGAACATGAAGACCTTGCCTTTAGGATATTGGTTCAACATTTTCTTCATGAACTTTTCACTGAGCGCTACCGAGCTTACGGGACCTTGAGCATGGTCAATGCTAGAGGTTCTAGAAGTGGAATACCCCTTGATGTCACAGGTGCGATCAACCTTGCCCTCCTCTTGGGAATAAGGACTGTCGTCGCTGCTTGTTGAGGACGAGTACCCTGCTGATCCGGGCTTACCTCCTGTAGTGCTGGTCTTGTCGGCGCGATAGCTTGCCATGGTTGCGTCAAGAAACAGGCAGCCCTCAACCTCGACCGACTCTCTAATGATATTGGCAGCCCTTGAAAAGACATTGGCTTGGCTTTGGTTCTCCTCCATGGTGGCTTTTGTGCGCTCGGCCAGAGTCGTCGGGGCGCTGGCACGACGGGCTTGCCTTGGCAGTTCGTCGTCTGGCGGGCCATCAGACGTGACACTCTCCATGTCGCTCTCCAAGCCCTGCTGATTTGAATTGAGATTCCCTTCGATGGAGGCGAGAATATTCTCAAAGGCAGTGATGTTTGACTCGTGACGCCAGCCGGTCAGTGTCGAACCGCCCTCGATAAAGGAACCTATGCCTCTGTTCATTCGTGCATTTCTCCTATTGATGGCCTTGAGGCTTTCCGTCTCGAGGTGTTCGGATATGGCACAGGAAATGTCGCGCAGTCGATCGCTGTTGACGTCGGTCCACGCGCGTGCAGACGTATTTACGACATGGTACACACCGATATTGATGCCTCGTTTAGTGCGAATGGGGATAGCGGCGTAAGAAGTGGCATAAGAAGGACCCAGGATGGGGATAGCATAGGATGGGAACCTGTTGTCGTCTTCCAAGTTTGGTACGACGGTAACAGGGAGCACCCCATCATCTTCATCGCCGGCCGACTTGTTCAAGATGGTATAATCGCATGCATCGTTGCCTCGACGAGCGGCGGTTCCGCAAAGTCGAAATGGCTCATTGTGTTCGTGGTTAGGTACCGAAGAGCGCAGATAGGTACCGGAGGTAGCTTCGGCTACGAAGTATTGGTACTCGGAATCGAAAAGAGAAACAAAGGCTCGCTCTGCGCCGACGTGGTATATGCCGAGTTGGGTCAGGGCCGTCAAGATGGTACTGATAGACGAGAGGTGCTCGGTCCCGTGAGTTGAACGTCGAAAGTCTTGGACGACTTGAGAAAGTTGGAATGGAAGCCAGTATCTGTCGATTATCCATCAGGGTTTTTGTCGCCCATGGTGAAGAGGACGAGAAGGGAGGGGTAAAGATGCAATTCTCACCTAAAGGTTTCCCTCTCGCGGACAGTTTCGGAAACAACCTTGTGAGGCGTTACAGGCCTGGGATTCGATTGGGCCGACATGACAAATTGGACAATGTTCCAAGATGTATCATGATGAATCTAACACGAAAAGGTGGAAAAGAACAAGAAGCATTTTGTTTGGACTAGACCCTGGGGACGAGAAAACAAACATGCGCTGATGAAACCTGAGAGATTAGCGACATGGTCTAGACTCTTGCCCACTAAATTTAACAAAAGTGGAACCCGTAGTACCTAATAGCCTACGTCACTACAGTAATGTGAGGCAGCTCCCTGTCGAGGTTTCCTTCTGCCATCGAGAATTCCATGTTTAGAATCGGGGTTTGATCAACCAATCATATCGAGTACGGACTGTCTCCGGATGATGCTGTTTAACTTTTAATTTTTTAATCCGTAATCCTTTCGTGAAATACAATACTACAGGTGGCCAGAGTAACAATATGTGGTGTACAAAGGCAGTCCCTGATATATCGGTCTTTACTACTATCAGTTTTAAGTCTATTAAATAGAACAAGACACCTTTACAAGTACCTGCAGAAGAGTCTTGTTATATCTTGGCAAGCTCAATTGAACGCGATAAGCAGAAGCCCCACATGAGCTCCTACCTTGGACTCCGTTATCAGATAAAAGTCTGGAAACGTGCACCTTTTTTTGCTCTTTTCGCAGCTCTTAGGGTTAATATTCTCGTCACCACCCACAGGCACTCGTTGTCTTTGTATTTTCCAGGTGTCAACACATTGCCAGGATATTGTTTTACTCGAGTATAATTGATAGACATCCAGGTGGGTGTCGGAAGAATTATCATCTCAGGCTTAAGCTACAGAAATAAAGCAGCCCAATACCTGGCATAAGATGAACAAATTATTTCGTCTCTTATGCTCCAGGCAGCCAATTCTTCTGACGTCCTGACGATATCATATGTGCCTACACTACGTGTATCCAGAACCCTTGTTCTCTCCATGTAGTTCTAGGCCATCATACTGGTGTCTAAGCGTAGGTCAAGTGTGCCGCACAACACAAAATTGCAAAGACCTTGCACTGCTGGTTGCAAAAGTGGTTTGATTGGACCAGATGAAAAGCCGATAAAATGTGAACCTCACGACAGGGAAGTTCGCCCAATGAGTGAAAGTTCTTTGTTCCGATAGCAAACAACAGCGATTGTATCCACTGTTCCAGATTCATGGTTCGCAGTACTCTCTTTATGGCTGGGTAGTACAGCATTTTGAATTCCTTTGTCTTGAAACTTGTAGTAAAAAGAGAACTGACCATTTCTTCATTCAAAATGTCTTCTTGGACTTCCCATATTAAGCCAACTCAAATTTCTGGCGTTCATGCTCTGTAAGAAAGGGTGACACAAACGGTTCCGAGATAAGAAGCAAAGTCAGCCTCAATGCGCATTGCTTTATGAATGTTCATAACGTGATGTTAATGTAGTCTTTATGTTTCTGATAGTGACGTGTAAGACTGCATGAACTATCGAGACAAACATTCTGAGCGACGTCCGCCTTCTTCAAACGTGTTACTTCACCTACTGTAATCCTTTGATGTAAAAATACGGTCCTTTGATCATCAGTGTCATATGAGGCCTATCATAAAAGCGCATTAAAAATGGATAATTGTTCCAGAGAGGCGCACGTCTCAATATGCTTGAGTATATAATCGCCATCCACCATCCATCCTCTGTCTCGATTCTTCAAAGTTCTATCTGCACACAAGTACATACCCGTATCTATCTCGATCCATTACCAACACTGCAAACCTCTTCTATTGTTCTTGGAATGGCAATAAATATACGAGAGCTCAACACATACTTATCTTTCTAAACCTGCAACCGCAAAGATGGCCCATCAAGCCTCGGGCCCCCTGTTTGGGGAATCCATCAATATCTACATGGACGACTCCAACATCGCGATCGGAGGACGCAAGGTTTACGACATCTACCAGAAAAGCCATCCCGAAGCCCCACGCCGTCGATTCTGGTACTATGACTTCGAAAAGCTCGGTGAAATAATCACGAAGGAACTCGCCAAACAATATGGCTGGAGTGAAGATGATCCCACCGTACACAAACAGTACAACTTCTACGGCGTAAATCTTAATCGGAACCCTCAGCTGAGACGTTTGCCACGTCGTCACGATGTCAAGCTTTACCACTGCATGAAAAATGGTCTGCAGAAAGAGAAGGGGGCCGACTGCAAACTCACTGCTGACTTTACTGATCGAGTCAAAAGTACTAATCCGTTCCTTGAAGCTGCGTATTTTATCGTGCTCTCTGGAGACGCGGACATGGTTCCTGCGATCGAGAAAGCTATGAAATACGGCTTTGTGGTTCATGTTTGGTCATGGGATGAAAGTCTTTCTGGGCAGTTGAAGAGACTTGAAAAAGATCGTCGGGGTCTTGTAAAGGTTCACAAGCTTGATGAGCGGATTGTGGATTTCACACTGTAAGGAGACGGGTCTCTTGTGATGTCCAACCTCGATCGCGCTGTCACTCATGAGGCATGGGAATGCGGGGAAAAGGGAGGAATGGGAGGATAACAGTAAGATGAGTGACCTTGTCAGAAGAAACGGACGGGGGCTAGGGGCTGGACTCTTTGCAGCTCAGATGGGGATCAGTCATGACACAACTTGAGGGATTTGGTCAGCAAAATGTCATGATCCATGAGAGAAGGCATATATATGTGCGAAAATTTCAAGTTTTGGATGTGCGTTCATGTATTGAGATATGCTTTTGTTTAGTAGATCAGTTATTGAATTGGCTTTGTTTCCTTACTCCTTCACTTTCAACTATGAACAAGACTCAACACTCAAACGTTCATGTTGATCAGAGCACCAAATTCATCCTCTTGCTAGACGTTATTGTGCAACTTTGTCTAGAATAGACTACGCGGAACAAACATACCACCGTGAAACCCAGGAACACAGCCTCGCGGAAGGATAGAGGATACCTTAGCTTGGCAGGAACCGGCCAACAAACAAGTCTATTATTGGAGCTACTCTTTCAGGGCTGCCAACGGTTGTAACGCTGCTCTATATTTAAATCACCAGACCCTTGGACGGATAAGTGACGTCAAATGATGGCTCAGGGAACGAGGGTCTGCAGTCGTACAAGCTGTGGCGCCTCCCGAAGGGTTCGTCTGTACACATCTACTTGTGACACCACTGCCCTTCATCCTTTCGTCTCGTGACGAGACATTGTGTATATGAGTAGAGAATAGGATGAAGGATTAGCCAAGAAAAGAAATGTATCTTCCTCGGCCGAGTTCCGTCTTGTTATTAGTATCCGATGATCGTGTAATGATGCTGACGAGGCTTAGGTACTTTTGACTCTCAAGAGACGAGATCCACGCGTCTAACTCAAGGACTTCCGCTTCGTGCAGTAGCCGGGAAGATGCAGCTATCATTACGAGATGTCTGTACGGGCCGAGATAACCCTCGTCCAGTCATGAGGACTGCCGATCTATAAAGGACATAGTCCCGTCTTCATATCCAAGCGTGCATCCAGAACTCATATACTCGTTCAGTCTTGCTATCTCTACACACTATACAACATCTTATCAATTTTCAGAAAGACGCTGTACATGCCACCCCTCTTTATAGCTACAATGTCCACCACTTCTGAATCTAGTGTGTCTAGTGAGTCTATATACACCACACCCGAAGGTTTTAGATTTGCATACGTCTACGTAGACGAATCCAACCTCTCCATTCAAGGCGGCAAAGAATGGGCCAAAAGGCACCCTGAATCGCCCAACCATCATCCCAACTGGCAGTATGACCTAAGCGTTCTTGTAGATCGCATTGAAGACGGGTTGGGATTCAACGAAGACGACGACAACCAGATATACTTTCGACTCTACGGTTCGGATATCCAACCACTGAAGAAGGGATTTCGAGCTCGCTCCCGTCATGTCTTCGAAGTCATGGAATTCCAACGAAGCAAATTTGACGGGCGCGAGAAACAGGTCGACACCAGTCTGGTCGTCGACATGGTCCATCGAGCCACCTCTTACATGCATCTCGGGTTCAAGTGTACGTTTGCATTTGTTTCGGGCGATGCGGATATGATACCAGCTGCTGTGACGGCTTCAGAATGCGGCTTCAACGTGCATATTTGGTCTTGGAAAAATTCTCTCTCCAACACCTTTCGGGAAATATGGAACACTGAAGAAGGCAAAGGAGCTACCGAAGGGCTGATTTCGCTTCATTATCTCGATGATCATCTCAATGATATTACGATGGGATTCTCTGAGAAAAGCAGTGAGTCCACTGTCCCTGTTGTTCAGCGATGTAGGTGGCGGGAGTACTGCAACAAACGAGATCGGTGCAACAGACACCATACGGATGAGGAAAAGAACTTCTTCTCTTCTGGGAAGGTTAAAGCCCCGTGGAGGCACAAATGGTGTTTTAATGGGGACGATTGCAGGAGATATAACTGCCCGTGGGCTCACAGACTGGCTGAGATCTTCTGTCCCACTTGTGAAGTGACAGGAGACCATCATATAGACGGTTGTCCTAAGAAGTGAGATAGAAGATATTGGCAGAGGATCTGTGTAGTCTATTTGCTTTTGATCTTCCTGTTTACTCCTGTTTGGCTGGCTCTGGATGGATATCTGTTCGTTCATACTTACTGTCCCATAATGTTCGATACTCGAGCTTCTGTATCCTAGTTGGCAATGCAATAGTTCCGCAATAGTCTCTCAATAGTGTCCTAGTAATAGATATCAGCCATGACAGGAATCAGCCCTCTGGAGGAATGACAAGAGATTATTCGCGAGGTTTTCGAATCTCCACTGACTGTGAATGTCACAACTTCAGCTGGCTATGACAGCGCCAAAACGCGCCCATATTGCCATCTGTCTCTTCACGAGATAACGCAAGCCTCAGGCCGTAGGCTTGACCTGGTCAGAGGCATTAATTCTATGCCATACCAATCTAAGAGGGTAGCGACCTTTTGAATCTGGGAATGAACCAATATTGGCAGCTCTGACGGTGTTAGCGAGGTTGACTATTCGGAATAGTTATGGGACATACTCCACATGGAGTGATAAATAGAGTATAGTAAATTTATAGCATCCAATCATCGCAACTTAGTGGCCTCAATGATGGTAGCTGAGGGTGGTCTAGACCGTCGTCGACTAACGCCGCTCAGACAGCCCCATAGTATAGTCCTGGGACTCAGCCAGCCTCATGGACTACCTGTTCATCGCGATACGGTGTCAAGTGGTGACAGAATGATTATCATCTGAGTCTTGGGGTACTATAGTAAAGCAGTCTAAATTCTGATAGTCTAATATGAGTAAGTTATTTTGTCTCTTATGCTTTCAGCAACTGATTCTTCTGTTACTCGCCTGGCGGTGTATCTTTCACTCGGTGGTGCAAGTAAATTCTATAAAGACGCAGCAATATCTCTTGTAAAATATCACTCATCAATTCTCCCATCACAATCATCCAGTCATCACCATTACAACACACCATGAAGCTGTCACTGGCCATCCTATCTCTTGCCGCTGTGGGATCTTCTCTTCCCGTTCAGCAGGCAAGCAACCATCAACAACACCACTTGAAGGGTATCTTCTAACATGGTTTACAGGCGCAAAATGAGGTTCAATCCCGTGGTTGGTTCTCCCATGCCGTTCCGATTCGAGAGGTAATAATCCTCGACCGTATTGTCTCTAAGCTATCTGCTAATCTCCTCCGTAGATAGAAGATGAGGTCTATGAGCGCCGATGGCTCAGAACCGCTCTCAAGATTGGTGGAAAGACAGGTAAGACACATGCCATTCCTTTGCAACATGGATACTAATTCCGTAACAAGACTAGAGGTCTGTTTAGCGCTTGCTCGAAATAGGTTCCAAGGTATGCTACGAGATGGAATAGAGATGGATAGGTGGGCCGTAAGTGTAAGATGTCACACTAAGACGCAAACCTATATAAATTATACCTATCTATGAATATCTACTAGTGAAAGTCATATCTAACATCCCTACTGCAAAAGCCGGGTATCCTCATCCAAAACACCAAAAAGACTCCCAATTTCCTTCCCCACCATTCTCAACTCATCAGCAACCTGTCCCGTAACAAGAGCATAGGCGTACAAGAGAGCATAATCCCTCTCTTCCACCAGTACCCCATTACCACCCTCACTCAAACTCTCAAGTCCTCCATGATGCTCCTTTCTAAACTCAAAGATCTTACTCAACAAGTTCTCCCTCGCAGAAACAATACTCCCCGTAGCATCAGCAAAAGGATACTCCAACATAGTAGAGCTAGCAACAACCTGGAAAGCCTGACAGATATGATCGCAAAGAATAGCTCTTTCCCTCGCAGTGTGGGTTAGTAACGCTTTTTCACCTTCTGTCAGATGACCTTTTCGACATGCGACGAGACTCATGTTGTAAAAGCTATCCAGAATTCTCATCGTGCCTTTAAGAACTCTTCCGTAAACGTCCATGGGAAAAGGTCCACGAAGTTCAAATTCTGAGGCAGCGGAGATGCGCAAACTGTCGAGGTTGGCAGCGTAGCGTTGCAGAGCGGCTTGTTCGCCGGATTTGAGATAACTTTGCGATCCTTCGCTGCGGAATAGGACTGTTAGGGGACCGCGTTTCCAGATGAGACCCATTTGGAGATGGAGCACCGAAAGACTTTCTTTGAACTTTCGTCGAGCGGATATGGGCCATATCACGCGGCAGATCACGAGGCCCCAGATTATACCTGCTGTGACGGCTATAGCTCTTCGTTTGGCGATCTCCATGATACCGGGTTGTTCGAAGATTGCATCGTCGGTGTCGTAGCCATCGGCCTTTCTTTTGACTCTGTATGCGTATAAAGTTGAGACATTGTAGGCGAGGAGACTGATTCGTCCGAAAGAAGCCTTTCCATGTTGGATGACGAGGTAGAAGTTGATGAAGCTGGTAAGCCAGCCGAGTGGTACGAGAGCTAGCGCATAACCGTGGCTGATTTTCCAGTTGACGATGGAGAATAAAGCTCCGAACAACGTTCCGATGAATCGAGCCAAACTGACGGTGTTGGAAGCGCCGACTGTGAAACTGCAGACGATGATAAAAGACAAGAGTCCCCATTCACCGCGCCACTCGGTGTACAATTCCCTCGTCTCTTTGAGAAACGCGAGCATGGCCCATAGAGCTGCACCGATACCGACTTTGAGACCGAACTGGACTGCATGATGTTAGTTGCGTCGCACAAGTCAGGTGTTGAACTTACTATCATCTCGCGCCATTTTCTTAAAAAGCGCTGAGATATTCCTCCAGAACCAAGCTAGTATCTTGTTGAGATCAGGAGCATGATACCATGTCCTAACATCCACAGGCCTCGGAACGTTGGCAGAACTTTCCGCTACACTCATCCCACTCACAGATCGCTGTCTATTGCGCATCAACACATCCGCCTCAGCCGACTCAAACAGCCTGATAGCCTTGTTGAGGTCCTGCTCATTATTCTTCCACCAGAGTAACCACCTCCAACTTCGACTTTTGTGAATTACAACGTACTGCAGATCATCTAGGACGTCCAGATACTGCAGTACATCCTCGCCGAATGATTGAAGACTGAATGTAAAGTGTCCACAGGCAGCGGCTACTTCTTCAAGATTTGCTCGGGTGGAAAAGTCGGATGAGGCCATGCTTTCTATTCGTTCATAGAGTCCGTGGAGAGCATCCGAGCGCGCTTCGTCGAACGTATCCAGCGAGTCCATTAAATTGCGGCGCAAGTCTTCGTCGACATTGATTTCGTAGTGAGGGGGCTGCCCGAACTGTGGCTCATGGAGAATTCTGCAGAGGTTCTGGCGTACTGTTGACATGGCCATTGCTATAGACTCGTTAAAATGCTCGAATAGCTCTCGTGCAGTGTTTGTTGTATCTGTTCCGGATGTCTCTGAGCTGAGTGGCTTAGGATGTTTCAGCTGCTCGAGTTGGGTGTTCGTCGCATTCCTCAATCCACCCAAAGCTTGTGAAAGCGTCTCCATTGATCGTGCGACAGACTTCTCGTGCTCGTATATCGCTTCGTGTCCAAGAAAATAGTGCTCAAATTTGGCTTCCCTCATGTCCTTCATCATCTGGGCGTAAGATTTGGAGTAGTGCGTCGACGCCGCCGTGAAGCCATCAGACACCAACCCTTCTTCGGATCCGCTGAGGAAGCTGTTGGTGATCATGTACAGCATATCGCCCAAAGGAATCGAAACGCGATTCATTGTTTCGCGAAGTGACGTCCGAGCAGAAGTTCGCCAGAGAAATACGTTGACCAGCGTCGTAGTCGTGATGCCCATGACCAACATCTTGAATACCTGCAGTACCTTCTCATTTGAAAAGACATTCGACATGACGTGGTTCTCCTTGGTAACGACACCGATAATAGCCAGCGATGCAAGTGTCGTTCCAACATTGACGAGCGGATTCAGCATCCTCTGCTTAACCCATCCCATAAACCCAAACCCACCGCCAATAAACACCACGACAACCAAAACATGCGACAGCGTAACAAGATGCATCGTCGACCCAAAGAAAACCGACGTAACCATCGAAAGCACCGAAATGATCTCCGCGTACGCCACGGCGACAATAGCGATAAGAATAGCCTCAATCATGGACCCAGTCGATCTCGCAGGATGAAAGTAAACCGTAATAGTAGCGACAACATGTTTACCCTCAGGCTTGCCAAGAAAGTTGGCGACAAAGGGTACAAAAGTGGCGAGGCTGGCGATGGTGTATGCGATGGTGCATTTCAGGACGCCTCGGCCGTTGGGGGTGTCGAGCCATCTCTGACAGCGGGCTGATGTGTCCAGGATGCCGTCTTTAACGGTTTCGATGAGTCGGGGCATTTCATTGTTCATGACATGTTGATGTGATGGGAGGTTAAAGCCTAATTCCTTGGCTCCCGGTTGGTTGTCAGCTTGTGAGGTTGGGGGTCATGTGATTGGTCAGCTTGACGACATCCATATTAGTCATGAAATTCAACTGCATATCATGAACAAAAATTGCTGAAGTTTGGTAAAGCTTGTTTGAATAGATTTGCTAAAAGAATCTGAGAGGCAATTTTTCTGTTTTTAGTAAACCTATGGACATGAAATCCTTATCATCAGGCAGATGTCTAGTTCATGTCTGACGTAAAGTGACCTGGAATTTAGATGTGCCCATTAGACTATAAGGCCAACCATCAAGCAAGTAGCCACGAAAGCAGTAACGAATGTTTTGGAAAACAATTGAAAGGGGTGAAATTCACTGCTAACCTACAACCGATTTGAGAAATAGATAGGAAAAATTGCAGGAAATGGAACTGGGTGACCGTGTAATAGGAAAATGTAGTCAGTCTATCGAGGTCTAGATGCAAGTCGGGAATAACGCTATTGGCAATAAAACTCCACATTCAAGTAATACCGAGTCACCCGCTTTAGCTTTAGTAAATAGTTTAGGTTAAGCGAAATTATTAGTTACAGGCCGCCTCAACTCTTCAATTTGAAAGCTTTTATTCTAGATAATAATCAAGGATAGAATTATGTACATGAATTGCATCTCGCCTTCAAATGAATGGACATAGGGAGGATACCCCAACTCTTCCTGTGACCCCTCTGCCGACCGACACCATGATAAGCTAAAATGCTATCACGATTCAGTTATGATCTCACGAGCAATTAATTCAATAGCATGGAGGTTTACCCCAGGAGAGGGACCGCCAGACAAACCCATGTTGAGATACTTGCCATAGTCATCATCGCCGTAATAAAACGGCCCCAGAGTTTCGTCAATGGCGGTGCAATCGGAATCGAAATCCCCTGTGCATTCTCGAAGCGGCGCTTGACAATTGAGTTTGCCTTCAGATGACTTTTGACAAGTGATGAATGAGACAGGATAGAACATGCTATCGATATTGGGCGGGCAGTTCAAGATACGATAGCTATCAGAACGTGCCCCATTCATTATGCACAGACGGGCGCCGCTGGACGTCTCTTCCACGAAACCGCTGATAGTATCGATGCTGTATGTGAGATGGTCTTTGTTGATCTGCATGTCGAATCCATTGAAGTAGCCAAATCTAGCTTTCCCCGTAAGGACCTTGCCATCGACTGCGCCCCCAGAAGCGATGATATCAAAAGTGGGGATGGGCTTGACAGCTTCGCTTGTAGTAGTAGCGGCGGCAGTGGTAATATCTGCAATAGACGACTCAAGGGTCGTTGTTGAATCCGTCGTGGTTGTGGTCTCGACAGTGGTGGAGATAGAGGAAACGTCGGTACTAGCAGACTCAACAGTCGTGGTTGGATTTGCTGTCACTGTGGTTTCGAGGGTCTCGATGGCCTCTGTACTAGTGCTTTCCTCAGAAATTATTGAAGAGATTGTTCCGACGACGGAAGTGGTTGATGCCTCAGTCTCAGCTTCAACAGTAGCAGTAGAAAGTGTCGACAAAAGAGTTGAAGTTGTAGATATGGCAGATTCAAGAGTCGAACTGGTTGCTGGTCGAGGCTTACAGACACTGGCGACAGTAAGGTTGGCCGCCAGAGCGACGATGCAGAAAGGAGTGACAGCGCGCATCTTGAACCAAATGAAGGAATGAATGTAAATGAACGAGAAGGAGAGGAGGAAAATAGAAAGAGGATGTGGGAAGGTTTTTAACGAAATGGGTATCTTGTTATCTGCTGGGTCAATATCTTTAATAGTTTCCCACACTACCCGCTAGTTCTGAGACAAGTATTTTTAGATCCGTTATAGACCCAGTTATTAATTGGGACTATTTCAGCCATGGCACCATTCTTTTTCAGCTGAGCTCTGTGACATGGATGCTCCGGTGATTTGCACAAATAGCCACTAAGTCGGGTTGACTCGCGTAACAACGCTTACAGCCCCTTTGACAAATTCTAGCTTAGCAGCACCAGCTGTGTTTTAGTCCACCCTGCAGCTTTCATATCAGAAGTGCTTGGAAGTTATGAGCACCGATCTCTCCACTCGGGCCGTGAACGACATTGACACCGTTCAAATATCGTAATTCAAGACATGATTATAGTCTCTGTCTGAATGCGCAAAGACTAGATTCGACATTGAGAATCATGGTAATTACATAATATTTATTGTATTTTTATGAATTTCAACTTTGTCATCTTCATTAGAATATTTTGCTGAAGTCTGTAAGTCTTATTTTGAGTAGAACAGTTGAAGTCATAAGAGGCAATTGTTCTGTCCTTTGCAAACCTTGTGTGCGTAAAAACCTAATTATTAGGCAGAATTCTGGGGTTTCATGTCTGACGAAAACTGGCCTGGAGTTGAGATGTGTCTATTGGACCTGGAGGCACTGCTTGACCGGGCTGAAGTTAACTTTTGTTTCGAGTCGCGACATAACCTTTCCCTCGGACCTCAATCGACGTAAGCTTTAGAGTCTACGATCTGAAATGTGGCGCTTTGTTACGCAAGCCTTTGCGATTTTCCACACGGGGTATGTTATCATCAAATCAAAAAGCATAAAAGAGCGAGGAAGGCAGCATGGTTGTAAAACCTCCTCATGGAAGCTTCCCTTTGATCTTGTCAGATTAATCTTGCTGTGGATATCAAGGTTTGCACGAATGGAACATTCTTCTTACAGTTGTAACTCAACACTGTTTAGTATAAACTCTAATAATTTGAACGAAAAGCTAGAAAATGTACGTCGAAGAAACCTTCGGCATCTTGGGTTATATAAGGATGTCTCCTCCCACTCAAGAAAGAAAAGATTCCCTTCCTTCAACACATACTCAACTACCCAGCAGGCTCATCTCCCCAGCACACTCAACTACTAAACACGCTTGAACTACTCAATACACTCCAATACACAACACAAACAAACAACAAGTCACAACACTTCCCACCTGCAAGATGGCTTCTTCCAACAGTAGAACAAGCTCAGCTCAGGGTCTCTTCGAGACCGAAATGGCTCGCGCCTATTCCCCCAACTCGCAATTCTCAAGAAAGCAATGGGACCCCGTTCTGCGCACCTGGCGCCTATCCAAGGCCGTGCAACTATTCCCACCACAGCATGCATCCAAAGCCGATGCTATCTTCGGTGAAGGCGCCGCCAATGAGATCTACTCACCTCACAACGGCCTATTCCTGCATGAGATGGTTGATCATGCCCTCAAGCAAGGCTACATTGCCATCGTACCAAATGGACGCTTCGAATTCAAGGTCGTTGTCCTAGACAAGTATCGTCGAGAGGTGCACCGTCGGATCGCTCGCTTCGAAGTCGACGGGTTCAGTCGATACATCGACCTTAATGAACGGCAACTCCTTTTCAAAACTGACGCCAGGCCTAAGATACGTTACGTCTGGTGGACGTACGTCAACGCCATACTACAAGCGTTCCACTTCGCCGACTGCGTTTCTGACTACGGCAAGATTGATCATCGTTCTGAGGTGCGATGGTTTGATTCATACTGGACGCCCCATGGACCCTTTGCCAAGCGTAACCAGTTGAGATGGTTTATGAAATCTGGCTGTGGACCCTGTTGGACGTCTGCTTTCCTTCATGGTTTTGAAGAGGGAGGTGACACACTTACCGCCAAACGGGACCTGGAGATTATCTTCACCGACGACCATTACGAACGACGGCGATCTCCAGTACCCGACTATGAGGAAATTGCCGCGGGCGATGACGAGGATACCGAAGAACGAGGACACAATGGCGAAGTGATCTCGGGGGGTAATAATACTGTAGTATCGCTTACAAGAGCCACCACCAATCTACAACTCCGACGCGATCCTAACCCTTCCGCCACTTCTATTTATCCACCCCGCACTTTTGTCCCTGCACCCCCTTACTCTTCCAACCCTGCTCACCCTTACCCTTCCGTACCTCCTCCGTCTTACTCTTCTGGCCCTCCTCCTCCTTAGTCCACTTCGCTGGAGGTGGACGCTCCTCGTCTCATGTTGACTTGGAGGGGAAGTAGTAACACTGGAAATGGCACTAAGACGACGAGGACGATGAGAACAATTACAGCAGCCAAGACTTCAGGTGACAAATACACCGCAAGGACTGAAGTCATAGAGTCTGCGACTACAGTCTCTGGTGACGACGAGGATGAGCAAGGAGAAAATGGCGAGCAGGCCTCAGAAGAGGATGATACATCTACGCCACGATTCCGCAGTGGTGAGTTGGTCGCATCGAAACTTGTCAACCTAACAGGATTCCACCTTGATCCTCGCACCCCCAAGCCCGGCCACGAACAGGTGCACCTTTCGACGGAGTTGAGACTAGTTTACGATCATCCCTATGGATCGGGTATTCCTCTTCATACACGATTTTGGGCAGGCAGCACCGTCGATATAGATGGCAACACGACGACGAATACGGCGACAAAGGTCTTTCTAACAACGAGCACAGATGAATACGATTGGACTAAAGTCGCAGAGTGGACACACACTTTAGTCAAAGTCAGAATGGAGACTGACGGTGAGAACAACCGGGGAGAGAATTGCACCGAGACCGTATTCGAAGAAGAAATAGAAACAGAGACTGTGACGACTAACGATAACAATGGTCGATAATCCTTGCAACAGTCAAGTATATCGGTGTTTACCACACGTCTTTTGTGTAGGTCTTGGAGGATTCGGGTGGGTAGATAGATAACTACAATCTTTTAATAAAACAGCGTTTGCTATGGACATATTCCAGCCTATCAGGGTAGACACTAGGATTATGTCTTTACCTACAAGATTCAAATTGTGTTGCCTTTCTTAGCGAAAGCATATTGTCGAGAAATTACACCAGCAACTGCATACAGTGAAAGACTAATACGCCCCTTCAACTACTATTACTTGACGATGTCGTTACCACCGTGTCCATCTCGAAACGATCTCGAGTTACTTAGAAAGCTGCAACAACCTGGACGCACCGCTGGGTGTCAGAAGAAGTGACTGTCATAGACCTGAGAGATGAATTAATTTAGTCAACCTATACCAATTTAGACAAGCAGTAAGGTGACCTTAATTCAATAGCCTAAACCTTACAGGTAACAGGAAGTGTTACCCACCCAGACGCGAACTTGGTGCCTGAGAGTATGTCTACAACACCAAGTCTACCCCATGTCTAACTTCGAGTTGAAGAGCTAAGGCCAGGAGTTCGCATACAACTGAGTTTATTGAACTTACGGCCCTTGCATCAAAGGCCACAGGGCAATTGAACCTAGGGATTCTGAGTGGTTTTGTGATGTGTTGGTGTTAGTGGAAGCAAGGGAGAAAGAATCAGATGGAAGCAATGCATTTCATGCTTAGCTGAAACCCAATATCAGGGTAAGGTTAGGAAAAAAATAGAAAAAGAGAAGAAAAGGTCCTGTATAAGCCTTGGAGTTATAGTGCTTAGAAAGTATAATTTAAGATGGAAGCCTTATTATTGAGAGCCTGGTGATTCTTTTGGCTCCGATCTATCGTACGCAGACGGCGACATGGAGAGATGGATCCAATTTTTAAGTACTATAACTCTAATACTTACATAAGATCCTTTCTCTCTCCTGAACCCTACCCTAATATTAGGTTTCAGCTAGGCATAAGATGTATTACTTTTGTCTAATGTTTTTCCTCTTCCTTATACCAATAATACATTACAAAACCACTTAAGTTGTTACAACAGCTAGCCTTCACAATAAGTACAAAATACATACGACAGGTAACATCTAAGACACTATTAGTCGCAACCACCCTAATCATAGAGGGACTACACTGGTCGTCTTCAGAGGAGTAAGGATATCCCTTATTTATATCAATCACGTTAATCTTACCAAGTCATCATCAAATTCATCGTCAGAATCATCAAATCCATCACCGTCGTGACTTTATCATCAGGAATATTATCAACACCGTCACAATGGCTTCATTAGCTTCAGGTTTCGACGGACTGCCGGAAAAGAGCTTTCTTTATGTGGGACCGTAACTGGGCCCATCCTACTATCAGGTCACGAAAAAGGCATGAGAACTGAGTGACAGACTATGCTTATAGTGTCCGGAATTAGGAAGACCTCCGGCTTGAGTGCTACTCGGGGTTTGCTTCTGACGCATCTGGTGATAAGATGCCCGGCAATGCGTAATAGTATAAGATAAAGATGCCTAGAAGTGCCGGGATGCACAGTGAATACACCAACAGGCCGTACTACAATGTACTGCTCACTCTATTTGATGAGTGATCTCCTCAACCTGAGGCATATATCTGGCGCTGACCCCGCATGTGCTAATGATGATGCCACAAGATCTACCTTGAACTACCAACACATCAACCAGGATGCAGTTTAAGAACCAACACGACAAAACATCTTGCTTCATTGAACCAACCACAATTGCGTCTCCGTATGTTACTCGGACCCTGGCAACCAACATAAACAATAGCCTTTTGATCTGCAGTCATCGCGCAGCGCTTTGACAGTTAGCGCGGAGATTCCCTGATTTAGCCTGTGACCTACGACTTGCCTTTGGTACTACGCCATAAACTCCGGTTCTTTAAAAGGGCCAAGAAGTCAGAGTCCGGAGAAGACCCAAGAGTGGAAAGAACATAAACACCCCAGCTCATTCTGCTTTCCAAGAGTCCCCTCTACTTCAATATGACAACCAGAAACCTCAACAAGACCTGGCGCGACGTTGTCTTTGAACAGTACGAAGCCGACCACGCAGCAGACGTCCCATTTCCAATCCGCTACTTGATCTTCGGCCCTGAGTGGAAAAAGGATATCTTTATTGAGATCCCCAACAAGATCGACGTGTTTGACTTTCGTCAAGCTCTCCTCCGCGGCGTTAGTTCCCGGCGCCTTGAACCCGACCCGGCCTACGAAGACGACCTTATCAAGATCCGAGCTCACCCGAGATATGCTAGTCGTGGCAACAGTGGCTAAGGCTTGGAAAGTCACTATTCATGGCGATTACATTCTGAAGCAATGTGAAACGAGTCATGCTCATGCTGGGGTCAATAGCCAGGGAACCATCAGACATACATACAGACAGACAGAAACGTAGTCCAAGAATAGAATTCGATTTGCCACTACCATAAAGCAATGTCGCTAGCTCTCAGCTATTACAACAAAGCATGGTTGATAGTGTGATGGTTCAGTATCTAATAAATTTCAGAAGACCTCAATCCCTTCCACGAAACATATCCTGTATTATATCTCATCTACTTTGGACTTCTCCGCATAGGTATAGCTGGCATTCTGGTTATCACCATTTACCTGAAACCCACCAGAGCAATGGTTTTGATTTCCCTTTCCACCATGATAGAACTGATTACCCGATCCGCTGTTGTTCAAGACTATGCCAACGGTGCGGTCCTCCTCAAGAGACGGAGGGAGTCGCTTCAATTCGTCCAAAACTTCGAGCAGACGCCTTGTTTCCTCTTGACTAACAAAAGGCTCAACCGCTATGAGACCCATACTAGTCAGAAGCTCTACCATGATAGTCTCAACCCTCTTGCCGTCGCAACCCTTGACAGCCGATGCGTAGCGCTCCATCTTGTTTCCCTCTTGTGTCATTGTGTCGAAGAGAATTTCAAGAGCCCGTAGTTGCGCGCAGCCATCGTCGGCTACTTGCTTGATAACCAAGTACATCTCCTTCGTTTGTTCTGTCTCTTCGTTCATAGCCTTGAGTTGCGTCCTCACGGAGCCAACGATGTCTCCGGTAATCGGAAGGTTTTTCGACACGACATGGAAGGCTTGCGGGATATCGGAAGAGCCTTCTTCTAAGCAACATGAGTCTACCGCCTGACCGTGGACAAAAAGGACGGTGTCAAGAGATCTGAGAGCTTGCGGCTTGGTTACCGCGGCGCTGTACATGATTGCAGAGTGTCGTCTGTTGTAATAGGTATGGTGTGAGACAATAAATACGGCCAATTGTATCAGCCTCTACGTAGCTTGCTGTATTTCAGATTTTGAAAGAGAGATCGCGGATGATTCGAGGTTGATCTTCTCGCTTCTTAAGCTCCCTAGCCAGCATTAATATACATCTGAACAGGCTAAGAAATAGGACTGGATTGGCCGGCTGGACTTGGCAGTGTAAGCGCCCGGAACAAGGCTCTCAAGTGGGCTGTTTGACCACAAGAGGTGTCCTACGTGGCCCACAGGCTGCATGATGACTGCATGCATAGCCCCATCTAGGCAAAATGCTACCCTGGAAAAAATGCAGATTTTCATAATGTGCATGTAATTTCCAAAACCTTCGTACTGTCAAAGGCATCTGGGCTCTGTATCAGTGCTGTCAAAAACCAGCTTGGCATCTTTCTTTCTCTATTGTACTAAGCATCTACCTTTTCCTCGTTGGGCAAAGGCTTGAAGCGTCAGCTGAACCGGATTTCGCTATGTCAGGCGCAGAAGTACTGGGCATCGTCTCTGGCGCGATCACTCTCATCGAAGCCTCTATCAAACTATATAAGACCGCCAAAGACTCTTCAGGCCTACCTCCCCATCTTCGAGATGCGGCTACTCGCCTCCCACTGATCCAAAGTAGCCTTCAGACGGCAGCTGAACGCATACAACAGGACCGCCAACCGGAATCATATGCCGCTCTGGAAGCGGTTTTGCAAGCATGCAGCGACAGAGCCGCACAGCTTTATCAGATATTCGAGGCTATGGTCCCTCGTACGGGTGCGACGCGGACGCAGCGATATGTCAGAGCTGTGAGATCGTTTCCTCAAGTCGACAGAGCCAACGCGCTGGTTGAGGAAATTCTTGCGGACTTGCAAGTTCTCACACTGGATCATGTTGTCAAATCTGGAGCAAGAAGTGATTCGACAAGTATCGGAATGAGGCGAGATGTGCAAGGAGAGGCTGTGGTGACGCTACACAATGCTGGTATTGGGAAGCAGTATGTTCACACGGGACAAGGAGACCAAAATATTGCGAACGGTAAAGCTACGCAGTTGAATGGGAGTTTCAATGGTGGGACATTTAATTTCACCCAGTTATGATTAGAAACTAGCTGTCTTGAGCAGGCTAAAGAGGGTAACGGAACGAATGTGTAAAGCGGCATAAATGCCTGTTTAAATTGATATAAAATGACTAAGCTCTTCTGCTTCTTATGCTTATGACGGGTAATTCTCTAACACCATGCGGGTAGGGCTAGGCGCAGTATTCAGTATTCAGGTTCCTCAGCTGAGGGCGGACCTTCTAGAAGATACGCTCTTATCACACTATGTTCCCTGCTCTGGTATCCCTGAGAATCAACCAGGTCCATAGCTGACCAGCCGTGATCGTTTCTGGCATGAATGTTCACTCCTTGTGCTATTAGTTCGCGGGTCATTTTCACCTTGCCAAGATGAACAGCCAACATCAGCGGTGTAAGCCCCGAGTGGTCTTGGGCCTCAAGATCTACTCCCCCTTCCGCCAGCATCATAACAGTGCTTTCAGTCGCATCCTTGCCGTTGACAGCATGATGGACAGCATTGTAGCCTTGGCTGTCAGTCTCGTCAATGTCGTTTGTCCGAGACATAAGCAACTCGAGGCCAGTAGTGAATCCCAGGCTTGCAGCAAGATGAAGGGCTGTCAGACCAGCCGAACCCTGCTCTTCACATGATGCCCCGCTGATGAGGAGACTTTGTAGCATGGGTCTACTCCTTTGCAAGATTGCTAGTAGTAGTGCCGTGTTTCCCTTGCCGTCTGGCTCGTCAATCACCTGTCTGGCAGCGCTCTGCGATAGAATGAGCTCCAATATCTTCACTCGGCCACCAAGTACAGCATAGTGCAAAGCTGTAGATCCAGCCGTGTCCTTGGCTGCTAGATCAACCCCATTGCCGAGGAGGAACTCTACCTCCTTCAGCCGCCCGTCACGACAGGCTCTATGTAATGAAGTCATGCCCCCATTGTCAACCTCGTTGATGTCGGCACCAGCCTGGCAAAGCAACCAAGCAATGGAGTACTCTGATTTTCGTAAAGCCAGACCAAGAGTACTCGGAACGTTAATGTGTCTCAGTTGAACGTTTGGCTTGTTCGCAATTAAAAGCCAGGCTATTTCCTTGTTCTTACACTCGATGCTGTGGTGCAACGGTAGCCAGCCTTTGCCATCCTTTTGGTTTACCTTGGCGCCTTTCTTGAGCAGTAGCCAGACCATATCCTCATTTCTTTCCCGGATAGCCTGAATCAGTGGCGTAGACCCATCTGGGTCCTTTTCATTGACATCTGCTCCGTGTTTGAGCAACAGTTTGATTGCAGAATAGCGTTTGTAGTAAAACGCCCAATGCAGAGCAGACCGCCCATCGTTTGTATCTCGTTGGCTAGCATTTGCTGGATCAGGTTGCCGCTCCAGTAACTTCTGCAGTACTTCTGCATTGCCACTTTTGACTAGATGAAGTACTGGAAGCCAACCATCACTTGTCGGACGGTTGAGATTCACACCCTTTTGTAGAAGGGCCTCGATCAAACAAGATACGTGAGCCCTCACTGCCTCTCTCAGAGGTGTCCATCCATCATTGACGGGTTTGCCTTTGCCGCTGTCGCCCAGCTTGTGGATCATCTCGTGGGCATGGTAGAATACCTCTTTCAAAGAAGTCCATCCTTCAGTTACCTCAACATCGACGTCTTGTTGATTCTCGACCATCAATAGTGCTATTGAGGTCGGTCCGTAACGGATGGCAGATGATAAAGGTGTCAAACCTTTGCTTCCTTTCAGGTCTATTCTAGCACCGGCGCGGATAAGGCATCGTACATCGCGTGTCCCTTCAGTCATGGGCCCCATGAGTAGCTTATGCAGAGCGGTATCACCACTTTTATCCTGAATGTTAACATCTGCAGCTTTCTGAACCAAGAAGAATAGAATCCTGTATCTTCCAAGAACGGCAGCCCAATGCAAAGGGGTCTGGCCATTTGAGCATTTGGAGTTGATATCTGCGCCCGATCTGAGAAGGCGTTTGATCCATGCGAGCTGGTTGAACCATACTGCAACATGCAAGCCCGTAATCCCGCGAAATGACAGTCCAGGTACCTCCCGAAGCATTTTGAAGGCGCTTCCTAAACTTTCTCTATCTGACAAGAATGCCTTGATCAGGTTCATCAACTCTGCATCCATCGGCTTGCAAAGGTGGGAGCACCAATACCTTGCGGCATAGACGAGCAATGAACTTTGAGACTGCCTAAACTCCATCATCAAAAGGGATATCAAGCATACTTTTGCTATTCTTGAACCAGGCTGTTGAAAGAGGACTTCATGTCTCTGTAAGTGGTCCTTAACTGATTCGTGCACCAGCCGCAAGGTATTCGTTTCGTGGTCTTCAACTATCAGACCAGCGCAACAGGATATGATGGCGTCTCTCGGCGGTAGTGAATCTTGGTACGGAAATCCATGGTTTTTCTTTTTCTGTATGGCGAAACTCTCACGTATCTGATCTACAGTTAGACCGGTTTTCGCGTGCACCACCCAGGTGAAGACGTGTTTTGCAAGATCGGTTTCATAAGGGTTCTCGGCACGTATGATCTTTCTAATAGAGACTTCGAAGGCACCTGAGGAGGTTGTGGGAAGCTGTTGCAGGGCCTCCTTGATATCTGCCAGAGTACCTTGCTTCGTGATATTATGCAAGTGCAGCTTAGCTAGAAGGAACCTGTCGTGGATTAGCTTTCTCGAGCTTGAGAAGGTTATATCTCGTAGCATACATTCCACTTTTCATGGTTAACTTAGTCACCTTGTCAATAACCATTTCCTGATGATCCGTGTTCTCCAACACTCGTCGAAGTTCTGTATCCACGTTCATCCGGTCTTGCACGTAAATCCCTATGTCTTCCGCACGCGGAGTGACCTCTATCCTGGTACTGATATCGAGGTCACGAATTAATGACTCACGTCGAGAGGTGAAGAGAACGCGAATATTTCCTGGGAGCTTTCGAAGAGACTCTTGTAGAATCTGACGAGTTCTTTCGCCCTGAGTGTTTGTGCAGCTATCTAAAGCGTCGATCACCAAGTAGACAGTCTTGAATAGCGAAGACTGAGCTCTAAACAGGTCGAAGTATTCCAGTGGATGGATTGGAGCTGAGCCGCGGAAGGAGTTGTTAAACTTGACTCTCAGTGCTTCCGAGATGTGCTTGCTAGCTGGGTGCTGGAGAAGTTGTGATAACAGCGTTGACCAAATCCGGGCCACTGGGGGTGACTTTTCGTCACCTTCATGGAAGTAGAAGTAGATGCAAGCCGAGTCCTGCTTCTCTTGGATCTCACTCTTCAACGTGTCTATGACAAGGGACCTAAATATGCTGCATCAGCACAGGAATCATCATCACTTAGAGGGTACAAACGCAAGCACTGTCTTCCCTGAGCCCACTAAGAAGTCCTTTTGTTAGTGCAAGTCCTTTGTTTAGATAGCGCTATTACTTACATATTCCGTGGATCCCAATGGACCCATGAGAACGGTTAGAAGAGTCCCTCCATTGTTGTAACTCTTTGCTCGCAATAATCCATTGTCCTGTACCTGGTGCCCTTTGACTAACGATATCAAGATGTTGACGATTGACGTCCAGAGGTGAATCTTCCTGCCGCATCAGCCAGTCTGCTAAGGCAGTGGCTCCATTTCAAGGTCAGTAACTCCTCATCAGTAGTAGCCATGTTCCTCACCAGTTGGCTCAGCTGGCTCAGTCTTTGAAAAGTTCAAGGCTTCAGCCAAGTTCCAAACCGACGGTATTCCTGGCCCACCAGCTTGCAAGTGCAATGCCAATGTAGTGTACTGCCTTCGATCGCTGCGGTCGTTGAATTGCACGCCGTTACTGCTAACGACGTTTTGATCTCCATCACCAGGACCCAGGTATTGACAGCCTGATGCATGATTCTGGGCCAGAACATCTGGTCTTGTTTCATCAGGCTTTGGTGAGACCATCTTGAGTTGAACTGGTGATCATCGAGACTTCCGCCCGGTCGATCTCTGTAGAACCTTGGTTTCTGCCTTCACAAATATGTGATCAAGAGGTGCATGGGCTAGATGGGACAAGGAAATCAGGCTCTGGTGGCACTGTAAGCACTAGTTAACTACAGGCATCTCGACCCAGTTGTTTTCAAGACAGACATGGGGGCGGAAACCTTGGCGCTTAATAGATGTGACAGTAATCCTGTCGATGCAACGCTTATTTGCTGCTTGTTCAGCCGCAAACAGCGGGAATACCCAAACTGGAAAATAATCCGCATTTATTTGCCCAGGGTCTTGAAACTGCCTCGCCAGACTGCATCCATTGCACTGCTGTGCCACCGGATGGGAGGGTGAGATTAAATCTCCCCCGTAATGTCACCTCAGATGACTTTCTACAGATGTGCTCAATGCTTTCTCTTGTCAACCGCCTATTTCTCTATCTCACTAACAGTTTTTCTCCTGCCAGTATTTCCTTCCTCTGGACCTCAGTTTAGTAACCTTCGACGCGGTGACTCGACAACATAACTATGCTTAAACTGAAACCGAGCGCGCCTGGAAGATCCCACCGTCGCCGCAAAGAGGGCAAAAAGGCCACGGTAGAAACCGACGCTTCTTCAGAAAAGAGTAGACCATACTCCAGCGACAGCGAAGGTAGTTGGCTTGACGACATTGGACCATCTGAGAGTGCTTCTGTAGTACCTGAGAATCCGCAAGTGTCTTCTCAACGCGTTGCTCATCAAAGCCATCGAATGGAAGATCCTTCTTCTCCAAACTTGGCTTCTAATGGCTTGGGCGGTCATCCGTTAGTTCACTTTGGCGGATATTCAGGTATACCTCAGATGCCTCCTCCAAGGCGCCGCAGGAGTGGAATGCACGAGCCGACCACAGGAAATCCCTCAATGGAATATCCCTCTCATAGAGTTCGATATCCTCAGGCTCCCAATATGCAGAGAAATCCTGGGCCTCAATACTCTTCGGCCCCGGATATGCAAAGCAATCCCCAATATCCCCCAGCTTCAAATGGGCAAGGCAATTCTGATCCCCAGGCAGGAGTCAATCCGTACGGATATTTCGGCCCGAACTATCAAAATGTTCACTATAACCCCTATGCCAACCACTACCCACCTGGCATGATACCAGGTAACCCATATCTTACCTTCCCAGCCGCTCCACCGGCTGCGCCTCCTCGTGAACAGTCGCCTCCTCCCAGGGAAGATCCTGACAAGATCCGTTTGGAAGCCGAGATCGCTGCTTTCAAGGCCATGGAAGAAAGGGCCAAAGCGGCGGAAAAGCAAAAGGAACGGGAAGCCCAAATAAGAAAGGAGGCTGAAGAAGCTTTCCACCGTAGAATGGAAGATATGAGATTAGCTCAAGAAGAAGCCAAAAAGGAGATCGAGTGGGCCAGGCTTGAGGCACAAAGGCTAGCACGAGAGAACCTTGAGACGGAAAGAAAAGCCGAGGAAATGCAGGCAAAGAAGCATGCTGAAATGATGGCTTCTGCCGAGGAGGCAGCAATAGAGAGGCTACAAAAAGAAAAGGAATCGGAAGAAGAGAGAGCAAAGCAATTAGCCGACCTTGAGAGAGAAGTCAGGTTAAAACTTGAATCAGAAAGGAGAGCTAAGCTTGCTGAGCAAGAAGCAAAGGCAAGGCAGAATGAGGATCTTGAAAGACTCGCAAAGTTGAAGATGCTACAAAGTATGGATGAGATAGTCTCTTTGACAAAGAAGAAAGTGCTTCATGAGCTTGTCATGGACGGAGACCTGACTGGGAGACAAGATTGGCTCATCAAAGTGCAAGATGAAATCGAAGCTGGAAAAGGTCAATCGCGCAATGGAAGCTCGATAGATGGAGGTCGGACCTCGATCTCCAAACAAGGCCTGACGCCACGCCATGCCACTGCTTCAACGGTTCGCTCAGCTTCAAGTGCATCAGCCAAGCTTTCCACTGTCTCGCCAGCTCCTCCCGAAGCACCCAACGTACCAGAATCATCAGACTCTGAAAGTGCCCAAAGCAGAGTCGGCACGGATCCATTGACTGGTCGAACATACCCTCAACTACATAGGTTCGGAAGCCAACGGCAAGAAACCCATGACAACGATCTGGTTGGCCAAATAGCAGATGCCGTCATCGAAAGACTGATGAGCTCTCCATACTACGACGTTTCGATTCGTCATCGCCAACAGGCAGATCGATATTACAGTACAAATTCATTCACTCCGGCTTCGAATCCTTTCGAAGGAGGAAGCCGGTTTGGGAATCAAGAGAGCTTTGGGTACGGCCCTCCTCCGTGTGGACCGATGCGACGATTCTACGTGCCCCCTAAACCAGATCACCTCCGTGGACGAAGCCTCAAAGAACCTGGTAGGTCGCCATCATTTAGCCCGCCCGCACAGCAAGATGTTCCAGTCTCTCGTGGCGGGAGCAGGTTGTCGACTATTCACAGTGCACCTTCGCCCCCACCACTGGAAGAGTGGCTCGACAGTACTCAAGCGGCGACCAGCTATTCAGAAGTTGAGACGGTCACCCAAGAACCGCCCGGGATACGAATGGGCTATGTAGGAGCCGAGGAAGTACTGCCAGGGCACTCTAATGCCTGGTTTGAAGAGTCGTTACACAGGATGGAAAAGGTCAATGCCAGTGTTTATGTAACTGAGCAGGGAGTTGAGCATGGCTTCCGGTAGATTTACGATGATAGCATCTAAGGCACTTGTATAAGAGATGAGGCTAGTTGAATAGACTTCTAGTAAACGCAGCTATCATGGCGAGGGGAGGGGAAACTGAACAGGACTTGAAAGTATTACAGCTCCTCCTAGAACGATCGCCCATGCTCTGTAACGGCGTTCTGATTCTCCACAACAATATAATCAACACCAACAATCAACCTCATACTCTCCAAATCAATAAAGTTTCGCTCATCGGCTTGAATAACATCCCGATAAAATGGATCAGCTCCCATGGCCGCGAAAGTCTCCATGTTTTGAACCCAAAACTCAGCAGCGCCGTCAAATTCAAGGACAGGTGCTGCGCCTGGGACACGAACCATGTCTCGGAGCTCAGGAGTTGAGTGATACTGAATAAATTTCTTAGTAGGTTTCAGACTAAGGTGCGTAAGGGTAGGAGTATAACGTACCTGTGAGTACTTGTAGACACCCATACGAAGATGAAAGTCTCCGGCGGTCTTGGTATGGTTGTTGGCCCAGTATGCGTTGAAATCTTCAGATGAAAGACCCATCTTTCGGTTGTAGAAGAGTTGAATGTGATACATTCGTTCGAGGTTCTTGGTGCATGTTTGCTTGTAGGTGAAAGGGCAGCATTCTTCTGATGTAGCGGTCACTGGGGTGTAGTCTGCTCGGGACTTGATGCTACTAGCTGAGACTAAAGTGAGAAGGGATAGAAGGTTTGTGAACTTCATCTTGATTAAAGTGATAGCGTATCTGGTTCTTGAAGGATGTAAGAAGCTCAGTCGACAGGACAGCAGACAGCCCTTTTATATCTCACTTCAAGGGTACACGAGGCGTATTATGCTTATCCTACATTAATCCAGATACTCAACCGATGCGAAAACGATCGGACAAGATGACTCCTTGATGCATCTCTTTGTGCTTCTCTGCAGGGATTTTCAGCATCGTTTATCGCCAAGGATCAACATCTCGCGAAGTCGGGTCGCGAAGAGCGAGACACAAGGCCCCGCATAAGCAGAAGATCTGAATCGAGTTTAACCTCGTCGGGTGTGATCACGTAATGACTCTTTCTAAAGGATAATAGATGAAATTAAATCCCTGGAGGCCATCATGAGTTGATGTGTTTGTCATTTCGAATTGTTTTTGATGGAGAAACCATAGCTGCTTTATCTAAACCGGCTCACGCTTGTCTCAGTGGTGCTCACTCTAAGCACATGCATGCGGCCCACTCGGACCACCAAAGTACTACCTATAGGTATGTACCCTCACAGCGCAAGCATGGGTACGTACTCAAGATCATCACCCCCAACTCCACGCAGAAACTTATCATTGTTAGCTTGAAAACTTAGAAGCACTTACACAGAGGCTTGTAGCCCAGACCCCAGCGATGAGGCATCAGGACCACTTCCATTGTACCCCAAAGGTAGCAAATCGGGTGCGACCAAGTCAAGGATACATCGGGGGTCTCAGAAGAAAGTCCTGTCTTGTATCTTGGGGAAGCATTTCAACACATTGAAACACTACAAGGCATTATCAAGATTCTCATACACTCAAATAAATCGCTCGAGTCCCAGATTTCCAGGAGCCTAGATGATCCACTCACACTGAGACGAAGCGCATGCTCATTACCCCGAGATCCCCAGACTCTCATGAGCGGGAAAGAGGGATACTGCGGGAAATGGATGAGCTAAGATCTCAAGTTGCCCACCTGGCTTTGTCTGTATAATCACTGATATTTTGGTAATAGCCCTGCTGGTGAGTCAATTTCTTTTCTTCCTGCAGCTCCTGGGGGCCCTCTGTGCAAGCGTAGCTCTTGAAACCACAGTAGGTTGAAGAGCTTGCGATATAAAGCGCATCCTTTTGCCCCCCCTGATCTGCAAGGCTTGACGAAAACTTGGTCGACAAATCTTTCAATGTTGTACGTTAGTTGAGCAACTGTTGAGCTCACGAGCAGATTCAAGGTCTTAAAAGCTTTCTTTATACTGATACTATTATCTATAGCGCTTTTAAGCTGTTCTTGAAGTTGCTCTTGGGAAGTAACCACTACTTGGGATCCTGATAACCATAATAAGTTAGCATGATTATTCAAGATGTAGTAGTATAAGTCTTAGGGAAAGTAAGTAAATAATTAGAATATACTGGTGTGATCATGAATGAGATACATATCACGACGGCGAGCTTTAATAATCGACGATGGGAACGTACTCTTGCTGTTACCATTGAAGCTGAAGAAGCTGCCGTTGCCTTGCTACTTATTTCTTATATTGAGACAGCTATTTGGTAAGCGTGGCTATCTGTCAAGCTATTAAAACAAAGAAGCCGGATGTCCTCCGTTTTAGATTTAAACACACTGGGGCTAATATTAACTACAAAGTCCGCGTTTGAATGGAATTATATGTAGCTTATGCGAACCATGATGCGGCTTCTGTTGAAATCTTACCCAGAGTGGAGGCAGGTCCTCACATCAAGCATAACGCCTCAGGGTTCTCAGAGCTGATGACAGTTTGCTACAACGTCTAGAATTGTACTATCAGATTTGGGCCAATTATGCCTCTTGATCAGCTTGAGACTAGCAACGATGAGAAGACAAGGCAATGTTTCAAACTAGTGCTCGACTTCTCATCCCTTTCCACGACGACGAGATAGAATTCAAGGACAACCTCCTGGACTCGACCGGCAGCAGCACCATCACTGCGATCCACGTTCGAGTTATACTGGTCTCTAGGATTACCAGGTGATAAAATCAAATAGCCTACAATCAAGCTTCATCCAATCAGCCATATTTATTGCGTTTATGTTATGAGTCATTAATTTATAACGTATCATGCCACCAGTCCGTATGTACTTCCGTCATCCGAATATTGATGCAGGAGGCCTACCAAGCGGGGTAAACAGTTATGTGCTGATGCCCAACATGCAAACGGTTATAAAAGAAATATCTCCTCACATTATCGACTTTTTTTCTTTCACTTCTTTCTTCTTTTTATATCTTTAACTTTTGAGCAATGGAAAAAGTCAATCGAGACAGTAGACGCCGCTGTAAAATATGCTCTATTTCCTTCAAAACCCATTCTGAACTGGCGAGACACTGTTTGGATGCGAAGCACCAAAGCAATCAGTGCTGTCAACTCTGTATTAGATGGTTCCCCACCAAAAAAGCCTTGGCTCAGCATAACAAGGCAAAACATGGGAAGTTACCAGAGGCTATAATATCCCAAAGCTTAAGTCCCAACGCATTAACAACTGTACCTCTGTCACAATATCGTTTCAACGACGAGAGCTACAAGCAACTCCCTCTGCTCAGCTCAACGGTCATTTACAACCGTCTCATCCCGAAATGTCATTCTTCTAATCGCCTTGGAAAAGAGGGCTACATCTTACCTAGCACCCTGAACCAAAAGAATTGCGAGAATGTTATGGCACCTTATCCTATCTCTCTCGAACCCAAAAGAAAGGCTGTCGCACTTGACTGCGAAATGGCGGGTGTGAGAAACGGCGGTAGTGAAATTATATCCATCTGCGTTATCGACTTCTTCTCGGGCCAAGTTCTAGTCAATTCTCTTGTTAAACCTAACGAACCAATAACTGATTGGCGAACCAAAGTCCACGGCATAAGTCCGGCAACAGTGTCAATAGCTGTATCTCAAGGACAAGTACTTCACGGTTGGGAAGCAACGCGGGACGAGCTTTTCAAGCATATCAACACAGACACGGTACTAGTTGGACATTCTCTCCAACATGATCTAAAAAGGCTACGGATATCACATGAAAAGATTTTGGATACTGCCATTCTTACAGCAGAAATGGTATTTGGGAAAGACGTTGGTTCTGGTCGTCGATGGAGTCTTCAGTCACTGTGTGCCGAGCTGTTAGAACTGAGAATCCGACTGGACTCCAAACCTCATGAGGCATTAGAAGATTCGATGGCGGCACGAGAGGTAGCCTTCTGGTGCCTCTGCTACCCTGACAAGTTGAAACAGTGGGGGAAAAAGGCCCTCGAGAAACACCTTGCTGAGAAGTTGAAAGCAGCGGAGAAGAGAAAGAAAAAGAGAAGAAATGTACAACGCTCAGCGCATGTTCGCGGCGTTGGTGACAATAAGTGGGGGTATCATGATGATTATGGTAATGATGGTGATGAGATACTTCGTTGGGAAGACGTGGTAGATTGGGAAACATGGCCAAAGTCGCCTCCTTCTGATTGATAATGTAGGATAAGCTTATTTATTGTCCCCAGATAAGCTTCATTTTCTAGCTTTATATTAAAATTAAATAATACTAGAAAGAACAAGTCTATTATTACTAGCTACCGAGAGGATATACTACAGATTAAAGGTTATATTAGAGACCTAACGTAACATTGTATATCTACTAATTAATATTAATATTAATAAAACTATAAAGTTACCTCAACAGAACGGGAGGCTTTCGTGACGGTGACGAGAAGTTGGCGCGTCTCGGCGACGTAAAGGAGAACGTTACAGAGGATAAGAGAGGCCCGGTGGCCACCGAATTATAAGGTGTTTCATCAGATTCACTGCTTAGTATATTATCAAGTGCGTTGAGTGATCAGAAGTGAGGTTTGCTAATACTTCAATAGAACTATCTTCGTCAATATACCTGGCGTGACTGGTACTTTGAGCACCCAGATAAAGTTGTTATTCCACAGGATAGTAAGAAACCTCTCCGTCTCTTTCTTTACCTTCTTGACTAACTCGAGATATCTAGTGCTCGCGAGCGATGTTGGGGTCAGGATACACGCGGACCACTGCATTGATTATCTACGGACAGTACTTATGTGCCACGGAGACACCACGCCTTTCTTTATAATTGTCGATTTGTCACAGCCCATGGGCGCTCGTGGGGATTTCAACGCTCATCACAAGTGTAGGGACTTTGGAAAACTGCAGGATTGGAATGGAAAGCATGGGGTAAAGTTTGGTTCGTTTACTGAGGAAGACCAGTGACGTGGTAGTGTTTAAAATACTGCTTTGCCTGCCCTTAATAGTAACATGTTGCATTGTAGCTTGCCAGATTATTTCGTCTCTTATGCTCCCAACCCTGATGCATGTATCATCTCCGCCGTAACAATTTGGTCGAAATCTCAAATTCATCAAGTTCAACTAATGTTTCAATGTCAGACTGGAGTAGATCCCTGGCCACTACTTTTGGAATTCTTACTCTCATAATTCCCTTCGGAGTGTCTCAAGTCTCGACGAGCATGCTGAGGGACAACATCAGCCAGAGTCTCATCAGTCCCTTCAAGATCCTCTTCAACAGCCACGTGATCTCGAATCTTGAGAAAGATGACAGGTGCAGCGATGATCAATGAGGCAGCGAGGAGGATCCAGTTGCTGAGAAATTGTGCTTGGAAGGATACCTTTCTTGCATCTAGATTGTTGGAAATTGCGGCGCCGGCGGATTGGATCCCTTTGTAAAAGCCGATGTAGTTGCGCAACGACGGCCTGAGTTGGACAAAGCGCCCATGAACCTACGAATGTTAGCAACAGAATATGAAGAGAGTTAAGAGACTCACCAATATACAGTAGCTTGCCAGGCAGCGTCATAGAAACCATAGAAGATATACAGAACCATAGGTCCCGCATAACCCTCATCCTCCCAATCCTTCCCTTCTTCCCTATCAGTCATCGCCCTCGTATACGTCCTCTGATGAACAAACCCACCACCCCAAATAACAAAAGTCAAAATAAAAAGAATCACAAGCGCAAGTTTCGCCCTAACACTCCTCCTCAAATATTCCAGATCTAACAAATATCCCCAAATAGCCGCCGCAGCAATCTGCGCAAGCCAATAAAGGAGACTATTCAACGCCTTGGTCCTCGTCGTGAAATACGCTCCATTGACTACATTCTGTTGATATACGTAGAACCAATTGGAGGAAAAGAACATGGGGAATAGGAAGATGACGAAAGGTTCGAAGCGAATTGTCTCGTATAGACCGACCAGTTCGCTTTGCCAGGTGGGGTTTTTCATGAGGATTACGTATGATCCGTCTTTGCGGATTATATCGTTTGCGTTGCAGAGGAGGAGGGATAGGGCGGCGCCGAAGAACATGAGGACTATGAAGCCGATGTACGTGCCGTCGCTTACATCGGCATTCTCCAAGGTATGGAAATTGGTCCCAAGGGGAATCTGCAACGATGACTATTAGCACAACCCATAGAGGCCAGAGGGAGAAAGGCTTGAGTAGACCAGTCACTTACAAGGCTCCCAATAACAGCTCCCATGTTGAAGATTCCCCAGAACCAAGCGAAGTAATGTCCCTTTTGATGTTCATGCGGATACGAAATCATGATGGTGCCTTGGGCAGTCCATAGCATCGCTGCACAGAAACCAAGAAGCACTCCGGCGAAGATATTGAAACCTCGGACATCATCTTCAAAGTGGACTGACAGAAGAATACTGATGGTGTAGATACCATAGCCGATGCCGCCCAAGGCCAGTGTGAGTTTGACACCGAGTCTATTGACGAAGGTTCCTCCAAAGAAACCGACAACAGCAAAGGTGCTGTACAAAGCTGTGTTCTGTACCACATCAGCATTGGACTCTACCGGGGTCGCGGGTTCTTACCATGTCGTTCACGAGTGTCGCATCTCTTTTTCCCCCTCCACCCATTCTGTTCAAAGCATTAAACATACCAGGACACATAAAACACACAAAGGCCACCATCCCCAACTGGATCTTAGGCGAAGCATACCAAGGCAGGACATATCCAAAGAGCCTATACTGACGATACTTGTACCCTGTCGGTACATCTACCGACCCAGTGGAGTAATTAAACAACAGGTCCCTATTAGCGTAGGATACTGCCTCCGGGTTGTTGACCGGAGCAGATTGGCCGGCTGCGGGTGTGTTGAGAGACATGACGTTGGAATAGACTTGGCAAGAATCTGAGACATCGGGATCTTTGGGCTGGACTGGGGGGAGGAAGGACGGGTTGTTTTATCATTGTTAGATACGAGGATGGGATGACGTGGCGGTGTACACGGAGAGAAAAAAGACCGCGACGGGACGGTTGTACGGCATGATGGGATGTTTTGTGCGACTTCGAACCGAAGGTCTTAACTTCGGAAGGCCTCCAGTGAGGATCATAAATGAGTTGCAGATGCAGGCTCTGGGGGCTGAGATCTCATAGCCTGGAGTATAATAAGATTTCGCATTAATTGACCGATTGCAGTTCATTGCAATCTTATTAATAGCTTGCCCTTACTATTGGGTGGTATAATAAGAGAGTCTGCTCATACAGATGAATTCTATTGGACACATAGCCCCGAATGCCACGCAACACAGGTCTACAATTTGGCCAATCTGATGACTAGTGATCGGCAAGGTTGGGGGCAAAGCCGTTGCGGCTGAACGATTGGGTTCCGAGTTGGCTGACTGCATATGGATGAGGCAAGTGGCTTGTCACTGTGGTACTTTGGACAAATATGTCGCACAGATGCTTACAGGGAGGGGACATAGCCCCCAGCTTCAGGCTCGAATTGCCGGTAGGGCTGGATATGCTTATTCGGAGACTAAATCCAGTATGATTGGGATGACATCCTTAGACAATCACAACCTCGCGCACCACACCCTCCAGCTCCTCCAACTGGACATGAGCAATTCCAACCCTTTTAAATAACCGTGGCGGTTGCTCGCAATCAGTAGCTTCAAGAAGTAACCTAACGACAGATGCCGGCTGGCCAGTAGGCCACATGGGTAACCCATATCCTTGGTGTCCAGCACCATGCTCATACTTGACAATATCTATATACCAGACAGAACGCCCTTGCAGTAGACTCTCCCTTGGATTGTTCCATGTAGGCATTTCAGTCGTTTTGCCTGAAAGGTAGTCTAGATAGGTTGAGAGAGGTTTATCCTGGGATTGTTTTGGATCATCGTCCATAGATAGCTTGGTCGTGAAACCAAAGCCGAGGTGACTCGCAAGACTTTCCATTTGTTCCGTCGTGAGTTTGCCCACCGGACCCTTGAGAGTGATAGACCCATGGGTTTCATCTATTGCAACAGGGGAAGTAGGCCATGAGCTTGTGCGCTCTCCGTCTACGTTCGCCATAGCATAGTCGATTGCACAGCCAGACCTAGATGCCCATGTCCAGGATGGGTACGAGTTACCAGACATGCTTGTTCCCTGGTGGACTTGCCACAAAAGACTCCGGAGAAAGTGTTTGCCTTTCCAGATACCCATGACGAATTCGCATTCAAACATTGGTCCCATTACATTTGCTAGACCAAGAATTGCCGGGATCCGATCTGATTCTTTGGTAAGATTTCTTGTCGTGTACTCGGCCACCAAAGTCTCCCATTCCGTATAAGCATCGACTCGATCTTCCTTCTCATGACCTTGCTGCTCAGAATGTGGAAGAGTGGCCTTGATCTTGAACGGTCTCTGCAAATGCTCCTTCATCCGACGAGAGCGATAGGGCTCATCAGAGTTGTTCCCGGGGTATTGATAGTGACCCATAGACTCTGGTGACGAATCCGCAGCGAATTTGGATAAGCATTCCCACTGAACGTGGCCATCGCCAAACCACAGAATGCGAGTGCTTAGCATCTGTTCCTGAAACGTCCAGCCTCGGGAATGAACAGGTCCTCGAAGAGGTAGCTGTAGTACGCCGTATTGGTTCTCTTCTACAGGTGGATGCACTGCAGGCACGAACCATCCCGAGTCGCTAGTAGGCCTTGACGTAGGGGGAATAGGAAATGGCAGGACATATTGCTGTCTGAGAGAATGCGGTGTGAAAAGACCGTCGTTGCAGTCTGTTCCGGATAAGGTGGATATTGTCAGTATGGAATTTGCGTAAACGTCACCCATCCTGGCTGCCTCTGCTGCCCAATCGTCGGTGTCGTCCTGTACAATGCAGAGGCTGTCTACCCAGAGGTAATCGATTCCGAGGCCTCGAGTTGCCAGTACAGCATCCCTGATGGTTCTGGGAAGCGATGATAAAGTAATGTCACGTTTATGGTTGTCCAAGTTGGCTTTTGTTGTTATGATACAACGTGACTTGCCCCAGCAGTACGATAGGGCGCAGTATGTGGCCCGTTTCCCCCTGCTTGTTTCGATGAGTTTAATTTTTGGGTCGTCCAATGTGCCGCCAGTCACGTCCAGAACGCGAGTTGGAAGAACAGGGTCTGTCGTATCATGCAATCGTCGACAGTCAGGATGTTTCTCTCTGCAACGCTTCAGCCAGGTTTTGCTTAAAGACAGCGCCCGGGAGGATCCAGTGCCAGCTTGGCCTTCGCTTGAGTCGGGAGAATAGTCAAGAAACTCCTCTGTTAAACGTTGTTAGCTTGATTTCGAACATACACTTTCTAGTTTAGCTTACCCTCTAGAAGACTGATCTGGAGGTTCGACAGTTTGTCGCCGTGTCGTACCTGCAGACGTCCTCCCCGGAATGTCTCGAAGACGCGTAACATGATTGGAGCGTCTTCGGAATTACTGCCTGGAGGGCTATGTACTTTGTCACCCTCACTAGAAGCCACTGTTTGGTTGCTCAGTCTTTGAGGTACTGTACTCTTATCAACTGCATCAAGCAGCAGACCGCAGAACGGACAGCCATCACGAGCCGTTCTTTCCAACTCGTGCAAGGAAGTAGCATGTTGAAGATCGTAAGACTTAGACGAGTTTAGTCTAGTAATGACATCTTTGCAAATCCCACAATAAGACTCTGGTATTTCTAAAGGGTTTCTCGTCTGTGCTTTTTCAGAGAGTATACGAAAGAATGCCGATACAGAAGCCTGGTACCGCGAAGGGCTATTCGGCTGTCCCCAAACTGCCCTGAATTCTTCTGTGTTGACAATGGAGCGGAAGACAACTTGGCAAGATGACGGAGGTATGCTGTTGCTCGTTTCAGCCAAGTGGAAAATAAAACCCTCGCCAGATAGACAGAATGTGAGCAGTTTCCTGGATTGTTCAAAGTGATCGCTGCCGTTTTCAACTTCTGTCGAAAACGAGGCGCCGGCATTCTCTAGAAGCTCGACCATGTCCATCTGGCGACGGAGAAACACAACATCAAGAGGATACCAACATCCCCTTTGATCAAGTGGCAATTTAACATTAGCGCCAGCCGCAATAAGATGCTGCATCTTGACCAAGTCTCGTAGGATGATGGCCATTCCCAATGCCGAGATGCCTCCAGATCTATGATACTGATGTGATTTGCCTGTATGCGAATCTTTGGCAACCACGACAGTGCTTTCTTCGGTCTTCTTATCCAAGTCAGCACCGTGCTCAACGATCCATTTAGCTGTTTCAGTCCATCCACGGTTATGCGTGTTAATTCCTTGATCGATAGCCTCATGGAGTACAGTACGACCCGAAGCGTTCAGCAAGTCAATATGAGCACCGTGATCAAGCAGAAGTTGAGCCACATCGAACTGTTTCTGCCAGAGAGCGCGATGTAGAGGTGTGTTAAAATGTGACCAGGGATCACTAGCAGTTGGCATCACGCAGCCACCACCGGGAGGGGGGAATACAAGCTCATCTTCTGCCCACGATGTGTTGGGGTCCCAACCTTGAGATAGGTACAGAGACACGGATTCGAGATTGAACGCGGGAGCTTCTTCGTGGGGGTACGGAACAGAGCCGCCTGGCTGATGTTTTTTGAAGTGGAACGTTTTTTGTTTGGTGCGTCGTCGTTTGCTTGGTGTTGGATTCGAATCAGTTGCTTTACGTGCGCGAGGCATGATGTTCTGATGTTTCGGCGGTCTGTAAGTCAAAACAACTGCAGATGAGGATGACTAGGACGGTCGTAATGGTGATCGATGGGAAGCTCTAACGGGCTGAGCGACAGTGTGGAATTTCTTGTATGTGCTGCACAGAATCATCAGAGGTAACTAGTACAACCTTTTATAGTCTGCCTTGTCAGCGACACAGGACTGTGGCTGTGTCCTCCAAAATCAGGCTGATGCTTACATCTGACGTTGAGGGTCTCACCGAAGGGACCCATCCAATGAGCGGTAAGAAACGGCAGGATGATGGATTAGGATCGAGAGACTGTGTTGCGGTTACCCGAGCGGCCCAAAATGGACTATCATGAAAGATAGTTAGGTAGAATTTACCTAAGTTAAAGCATACTTGGAATAGTAGGAAGAAAATGACAAATTCTTTAGATTAATATTTACTACATTCTGTGTTGGGTTGAGTGAGCGCTTCTTGTTACCTCTGGCTCTTAGTAGCTACCCGTGCATTTTCAACAAACTTCCTAAACCCTCCAGCAAGTTTATCAAAGTCCTTTAACTTCTCTTCCATCCTCGTATTGATCTCTTCTGCCTCAGCTGGCCACTCATCGAAAGTATCTGGCAGGAGGTTGGCGGCTTCTTTGACAGCGACCATGAGCTCTTGGTAGTCACAATTTTGAAGTTCCGCCTTGTTTCAAGTCAGACGTTGAGGTCTAGTTGAGAGGTAGATGGAGGGGTTACCTGTGCCATTCTTGCGTAGTTTGCTGTGAAGCGCATGGCTTCAAAGGCGGGGATGCTGCTGAGGGTATTATTAAAGTCCCGCGCTGTGGATGCGGCGCGGTTGGGTTTATTTGAACTCGCCATGAGGGACTTTGATTGAAAGAGTTGTATGTTGGTGTAGTGAAATAGACTGTTATGGAAGGTTCAAGTTGGTCTCAATTGATGTGACTCAGCCCCACGAGGCTTACTAGTGAGTCCTCAACGCCGTCTCATTTGTTGATGCACTCACGTGAATTTCAGTGTCCAAAATGATTATTGAAATTCAAGTAAAGGCTTTGGTTAAAGAAAGCTAGAGAGAATGAAGGTAACGGCTAATTATATACAAAAAGAAAACTTGCCAACATCTAACTGATAGGAGTGGCCTTGATGGGATTGCACACCTTGTTGATCATGTTGGAGTTACACTCCGGCCCATCATTATGCTCAATAAAGAAAGCCTCCAAATTGAAGAAACAAACAGGAATGTTGTTAAAGCCAAGGTTCGCCAAGTCAAGACCATCCTGTCCACTGGTAGCACAGTCCACAATAGCACGGTAGTAAGGATCCCGCAGTTGCAGGTTGTACTTGGCCATGTTGACGTACACATCCTCCGTAGCCTCAGCCCACGTCTCACCATGCATACCTTGCGGCTTATGGCGCATGATGTAAAAGCAATATTCCTGGCTGTCCTTGAGCTTCATCCACTGACGGCCAGTAGCGTAACCGCAATCTTCCTGGTTAGCGATGCGCTTGTCGGCGACGAGGCGGAGACCGGCTGCTTTCATGACGTTGTTGGCGATCTTGGGCTTGATGCTGCCGGTGATGGAGTTGATGAGTACGTCGACGGGCTTGGACGTGTCATCCAAAAGGAACCAGCCGCCATTGAAGAAGCGGGTGACTTGGTTGTGGATCCAGGGGCCGTACTTGTTTACGGACGGGAGGGTGTCGATGGTTTCGACGGTTTCACCCTTTGTCTCGTCGATGACGCCGGTGGCGAGGCGCATGGTCTTGTCGATTTGGCTGGAGGTTTTGGTAAAGAGGTCGGCTAGGGCAGAAGATATGGTGCCTTGGTCGATTTCCTCGGGTTTTGTCTCCTCAGCGATGATATCGAAGATACCACCCATGATGTCGAGACCGGTAGAGATACCCTCTCCCTATTGAAGTCAGTGACTTATACTTACATGATAAGAGTCAAGGTGGTAACTTACAGCTCCGGGAATCAGACCTCCAACTGTGCTGCCGAGACCAATCGCGGCAGAGAGCCACTTGAAAACCTCTTCCGTGTGCTCCTCGTTACCTTGAAACGCCTCTACCATTTCACCGATAAGGAGGTTGGTAACAATAGTCTCTTCGACGAGCTTGTTGCGCAAAATAGTGAACTTGTTCTGCATTCCCTTGACGGCCTGGAAGATCCAGTACGACACCTTGCCGATGGGATTCTCGGAGCCATCAGCCTTGGTGCCGTATTTGTCGAACTGCTCCTCACAGTCGTGAATGCCCATGACGGAGCATTCACCACCGATGACACCACAGCCACCCATGGAGAACTTGCCCTTTACACCACCGGTAGCTTCGTTCTCCATGTTGGTAAGCCAGTTTTTCTGGTGTTCTGTTGATATGGTTAGTTAGTTTGTCTAGTAATCGAAGTTGAGGGACATACCCCATTGGGCCATGAGCTGTCTGTCGAGCTCATCACCGGCGCCGGTCTCATCCCAGACCTGTTCGGCTCCTTTGGCTGTTCTTAGGAGCCAAGCTTTGTTTTGGCAGAGAGATTCCTTGGTGGACCATGGCCACTCTCCCTCTCCCTCTCTCTTGGAGATCTTGGAGATAGGTGAGGCATTGGCTACGACTGTGAGAGCCAGAAGGGCGGTGGCAGACTTCATGTTGAAATAGTATTAGATTATAATGAGTGTGTGAATTATTGAACGGATGTATGAGTTGGTGAGCTAATGAGTGAGTGAATGAATGACTGAGCTGAATAGCTTGAAGAACAAGAATACCTCGTGAAAAAGACTGGTTTTATATCAATCCCTACTACGATACCGGGCAGTGCAACAAAGGCCAAGGCCAAAATCTGTAACCATGTAATCAAAGTCTATGCTGTTAGTGAATCCTTCGAGCGAGGGACTTCTACGAGAAAGTGGTCCACGTCGAAACAAAGTGCCCTGACCATCTCGATAAGCGTTTAGATAACGAATATTCGCATAGGATAAGGTTTCCCGTGTAAGTGATCGACGAGAACCTCTCGATTTGGAGGGATCATGTGGGGTTGTATGAGCTTAATATTACGGGGTTACTTTGAAGCGGATGAACGCTAGGATGCTAAAATTGAGGGTGATCCTTCCAGTCGGTATCCTGGCGGTCCGAGGACATGTGAGATGTTTCTGATGGTACTTTTGTTGAACTTCATTCACCATGATCAAAAGTCCCGTTCTGAAGTACGCTTTTACGAATGTTTTCTGCGAGTCGGTGTTGTCAAAGCCCAGATAGTTGGAGGCTGATAGCTTCACAGCAGGGGATGACCGAGACACCATTGATGGTACTCAACTACTTTCACGTTGCAAACTAGACGACAAGATAATACTCCGATTGCACGGTAATCGCCGTTCATCAGAGTCTGCAACAGTAAGATCCGAAAATCAACGGGCGTCGTCCACGGCTCCTCCGCATAAGTTAATCTCGTCCATGCTTACACCTTAATCACTTGTCCAAGCTAGCGCTAAGCGCTTGTAAGAAAGCCCTATCAGGACCCCGTCTCATTTAACATCGAACCACTATGCCGTAACGGGAGGAGAAATGGCCCGGGCAGCCCTGTAAGGCAGAAGGATAACGATAAGCGTGAAGGTTCGGCAGATGGTGCTCTGTGAGTCTTGTTCTGGAGAAGAGGTAGCCGGTGATTTCATCCCTGTATGTTTGGCGCTAAGATAGCAGTGACATCTGGTAGAGACACTGTCAGCCTAGCTGGGGAGCTGTTGTTTGAGCTTGGTTAGGAGAAAATAAGCTCGGGTTTGAAACACTGATTGGAATGACTTTCTCATACTTGGCAAGTTCTCAATCGCGACTGTCGAGTTATAGAGCTTTGTACTCATGGTACTCAGGTTTCTGATGGCGCTTACCCTATACTCAGCATTATCCTCGACGAATAACAATAACAGAGGTCGCTTGTTCGAGCTCACTGGTACATCATCGCGTTTCTCAAGGGACGTGATAGAGAAGTACTCGTCAAATTGCGCGCAATGTTGTGGTCAGCCAACAGTGGTGTCTAGAACGGTTCATGTTCACGCCGTACCTTCATCAACAAAAAGAACATTCATAGCAGATAGTTTGCAAGGTATACTAGACACTCAACACAGCAAACAATGAGCTTGTAAAATCCAATTACAACTTCAATATCTAGTTGTTCTTCACAGTATATCAGATTTATAATCGGGTTGAAAGAGCTTCTCACGTAAGTACGCGACATTGATGCCTCGACATTCCCCTAGTGTGGCTAGTGCACCGCCACATGCTCACCGACGTCAACCCCACCAGCCACACCCCTTCCAAAGCTCCATCACCACAAGCTGTCCTCAAGACCTCAAACCACCAAACGCCCATCCCTCCTCCCTCCATCACCAACCCCATCCGCCAAAATGTCAAACTACTACGCCGCACAACAACCTCAATACCCGCAAGGCGGCGCCCCCGCCGCCGCCCAAAACCTCGAATTCTTCCCGTCACAGTACACCAGCACACCACAGCAGCAGCAGCAAGGCGGCTATGGCTTCGCCAGCACGGGCGGATACGGCGTGGGTGCTCCCGCGCAAAACTTTGGCGCGCAGCCTGCTTTTGGTCAGGCGCAGGGCGTTTCGGGGAGAATGGGTGAGCAGGGTGGTTTGAGGACGGGTTGGGTTGCTGCTTTTTCGTCGGAGGGGTATGATGGTGAACCGCCTTTGCTGGAGGAGCTGGGCGTTAACTTTGGACATATTCAAGCAAAGGTGCGTATTCCAAGACGAACATCGGTGGATGGAACCTAACTGCGTAATTAGACACTCGCCGTGTTGAACCCCTTTCGACGAATCGACTCGCATATCATGGACGACTCCGACCTCGCAGGACCACTCATCTTCTTCCTCCTCTTCGGCTTCATCCTTCTCTTCTCAGGCCAAGTTCACTTCGGCTACATCTACGGCCTCGCAGCCCTAGGCTCCATCTCTCTCCACGTCATCCTCTCGCTCATGTCGCCCTCGGGCGCCGACGCGCAAGCAGTCAACAGCTACCCTCAATACAGCAGCGATCCCTCCGCACCTCCCCAACCGCACGACCAGCAAGGCGGCCACTTCTCCGCGACGCTGACATACCCCCGAAGCGCGAGCGTGCTGGGATACTGCCTTCTTCCTCTTGTGGCGACAAGCTTGTTCGGTATCGTCATGCGCATGGATACGCCTATTGGCATTGTTGCTACTACGGCGGCTATTGTTTGGTGTACTTATAGTGCGAGTGGAATGTTCTGCGCTGTGGGACAGATGAAGCGCATGCGAGTGCTTGTCGCTTATCCTCTTGCGCTGTTCTACGTTGGATTCGGCATCATGGGTATTTTCAGCAGTCGAGGAAGCGGAAGCTTTGCCAACGCCGCTGCCAAGCTCAATGCTTAAACGCGACACCAATCACGATTAAGTTTCTCGCAAACTCGACGATGCAGTACATGACGACGCCCTCTGCGGCAAAGATACGATGGATGTCAGGCTCAGGCAAGGCGTTCGGTAAGATACGGAATGGGGGGATGCAATTCAGGACAGATTCCCTTTGTACTAGAATAATTACATTTGTACGTCACGATTAAAAAAGGAAGGGAGGGAGGGGAGCAGTGTAGATGTAGCGTTGAGAAGAAATACTCTCTCAAAAAGCAAAGTTTTCAAGTTATGCAAAGACATTTCGTAACCATCTATATATGCCACACAAGCAAAGCATCGAAAAGCACTAAATAAACATGCGTCCTCCTTAATCATGAAAATTCCCCGTTTTTTGTTTTGAAGCCAGAGTGAGAATCCGCCCGTCTGGTCCACCGGGCTAAAAAGTACAAGTATTGTTGAGAAGAGCTGCCCTGCAGCAGCCGAGATTAAGTTGGGCTAGTATGAGAAATTCCAGATCCGTTTGCAAATCCTTCGTGACAGTTCGTTGCTCGTTTAAGCCTCGCCGTTGGTCTTGGCGCCGTTTGTGGAGGGCACATCTTCAGCCTCGCCGATGAGGACGGAGTATTGACCACCGGCTCCTGCACCAATGATCTTCTTGCCGCGGATGGCGGTGTTGTCGATCAATGTGGGAGTGTGGATGTCGTCGATCGTGCCTTGGCCGGTCTGGTAGTTGCTGGAAAAGCCCCAAGAGTAGACCTTGCCGTCGGAGGCGATGGCGAAGTTGTTATCGGTACCGGCGGCGACGGAGACGATGTCCTTGGCTTCTGCAATTTGTTAGTATTGGTCTTGAAGAGTCGGTGGCATGGAAACTTACCAGGCTGGACAGTAGGCTTGAAAAGAATACGGGCGTTGCCACGCTCGTCGTAGATAGCGTTCTCCTCAGACAGCTTGTCAAACTCGAAACCGACTTGGTAACCGTCAACACGTCCCCATGTCAAAAGGTCGCCCTTGTCAGAGCAAGCAAGGGAGTGGTGCTCGCCACCGTCAATCTCAGTAATGTTGAAGTCGTCGAGGTATGTAAGCTTGGCGGGACGGAGGATGACAGCGTCGTCCTCGCCAGCATTTGACTCAACACCAATCTCGCCAAAGTTGTTGAGACCCCAGCCGTAGACTTGACCTTCCTTGTCAATGGCAAAGCTGTGGTATGAACCGCAAGCAATCTTGGCAATCTTTCCTCGGGGCAGACCGACACCTTGGGGAATGAGAGAGGACATCTTGTTGCGCTCGATGATACGTCGGCCGAGTTGGTTCTGCTGACCGCAACCCCATGCGACAACGTTGCCCTTGTGGTCGAGAGCGAGAATGTGGTTTGAACCGGCGGAGAGAGCCTTGATGTTCTTGAGGTCCTTGATCAGGAGAGGAGTGGACTGAACCTTGATGGTCTCTGAGAAGCCAAGAATACCGTCGCTGGATCGGAAAGTTCCCCAGCCGTAAACGCGACCGTCCTCGGTAAGGGTGAAGCTGGCGCTGTCACTAGCAACGACCTGAACGAACTTGGTGCCAGGAGCAAAGTGCTCATCGGAAACGGCAGTCGGTGTGCTCTCCTTGGGGTTGATACCAGTGTCGTCCTCGTCTTCCGAATCGGAGTCTTCGGCCTTGTCCATATCGCGAAGACCGCCGTCCCAGTTGGTGTCTCGTCCAAGAGCGCCCTGGTCATTGACGCCCCATGTCAAGATCTTGTTATCGTGTGTCAACGCAACAGCGTGCATACCACCGCAAGAGATCTGAACAACACCGGTAGAGGCAGCGGCGAGGTTATCATTGAGTCGGGGGCGCTTGACGTCGATGGGCTTCTTGTTGTTAACGCGCTTGCTGCCGAGGCCAAGCTCACCCGATGAACCTTCACCAAAGACGTAAACATCGAGAATTTTGGTAGGGGCATCGTTGATCTTCTTTCCAATGCTGGGGAAAGCGGACTTCTTCTTGGGCTCGGCCTTGGTGGTGCTAGCAGGACGACCGGGCTTTCGAGCAGCGGGCTTCTTCTCCTCAGGCTCCTCAGACTTGGCCTTGGCCTTTGAGGCAGCGGCGGCCTTGGATGCAGCGGATTGGGTGGCGGCCTTTGCCTTTGCTGAGGGCTTAGCAGCGGGCTTGACGACGCGTTCTGTGGTCTTGGTCTTCTTTGTCTTGGGGGCCTCCTCTTCCGACTCTTCCTCTACTTCAGACTCCTCTGCGCGAGTGCGCTTCTTGCCATTTGTAGCAGGCTCGGCCTTCTTGGCGGCAGCTTTTGTAGGCTTCGCATCCTTCTTCGCAGCAGCGGCAGTGGTAGTCGACTTCTTAGTCGTGGCAGTGGCCGTCTTGGTGACGGCCGCAGCTCTGGCGGCTCTTGGTGCCATCGCGTAAGTTTGTGTTGTGATTGTGTATGTGTGGAAGTGACGCGCGCGTGTAGGAACAGAGTTTGCGCTTTTAGGTAGAGTCAATCAGCGATTCAAGAAATCAGATTGCGCTGAGGTGGCTGGTGGAATCTGATGGATTGTTTGATGGGGTGAGGTGATGATGAAAAAACAAGCTCTGGAAAAAAAGCTGATTTAGGAGCGCGATGGGTGGGTTTTTTCCTTCAACGAGTGATCTGACCGCGCTGGGGGTGTGATCATTTGCGGGTTTGACAGGGGGATGATGCCTGGACCTTGCGTCACCGCCCGAAAGCTTTGGTTGTTTTGTCCGGCAGAAAAACGGTTAGCGCAATTGAGATCTGATGACAGCTGCAAGAGTCTAGGGCGGTGAATCGTCGCTATCAGTTCATTTCATTCATCTCCATTCGATACGCGATTCGCCGGCCGGTCGCGTTGGTTCAATAGCAGACGAACGTTACACTGCGCAGCACGGACAACAGCTAATTTACTGGCGGTTCCCCTATTGAGTTTATTGATAGTTCTCCAACAAACGAATGATGCAAATGCGCAAAGCCGTATTGACCACGTGGACTATTGACGTTTGCAAACACGATTGGACCACGACAATTGCATCCAGTTGTCATTATTATCACTATTCTGCACGAAGGTATTGATTGATAATGTATAATTGTATTCTCCAATTCTCTGTATCTCTGGTATCGTTTGTCTCGCCGCCCCAACCCAACCGACTGTTCATTGTTCCCCAACGCCGTCCAAATAATTCATGAATGCATGTATTTCTAAAAACCCATCATCGGATCGAAAACGTTTATTTCTTGGTAGTGAAATCGATCTCGTTGGCAGGGTTGAAGCCACCATCGGCAGCCTTCTCACAAGTGCAGCCACCTAAACCAGAATTGTTAGTTGACACAGAAACCCAAGACATCTAAGTTCCACATACCCTCAGGACGAGATCCGCAAGCGCATGTAGCACCGCTAGGAGTAGCGTTCTCGGTAGCAGCACGGTCGCAGGTGCACTCGCCAGCGGGACGAGCACGGCATGAGCATCGGGGTCCGTTGACGGTGTTCTCGACAGGGGCCTTGGCGCATGTGCACTGGAGAGCGGACTTTTGACCGCAAGAGCAGGTAGCCTTTTGAGCTGGGGAATTGTTAGTCTGGTGTTTGTTGATGGAGCTGGGGATGATGTCACATACCACAGGCGCACTCAACGTTGTCGCCGGAGCGGCAGCAGGTAGCGGGAGTGTTGACGACCATTTTGACGGATTAAAGTGTTGTAAAGTTGGTGTTTGAGAGAGTGGTTGGTTTGAAAGATCAAGAGATTGATGGAGTAGTGGATTGGATTGTAAAGTGCTTGATTCTGTCTTTACTCTTCGAATGCGGCTGCTCGTCGTATTTGTACTTGATGGCTTTCAATGAGTTTGACCCACTTCATCTCGAGCTCCAGAGCTGCGGATCTGGAAACTGGTAATCATCTTCGCTCTGATTGGACGTCTTCTGCTGACACAGCATTTGCGGCCAATAAAAGATTGCTTATTCTTTCTGTCTTGACTTTCGCCTCCTAGAACATGCGATGCTGAATACGACCCATGTCATCGTCTGTCAGCTAACGAGCTAGAACACACTAACAGCTCTCAGCAGTTTCGCTCTGTCCGTTAGTCTATTGGCTCTTCAACTTTTTGATGTTCAAGACAACGAGACCGCCCTTTTCACGATTGACGATTGGCTTGGTTGTATCTTGACCGTAATTTGGAAAAGCATAGCCAAGAGTTCAGTCAGCTGAACGGACATGTCTTGTCAATCACATTATCTCTGCTTAGAACAAAGTAGTGCAAGTGTTGGATCTGCGACGGGAGCTGCAAGTAGTACACATCCTGGTCTCCGACGAGCACCAGCATCTGAGTTGAGATCGGCTCCGTTCTTTCGGCCGACCCAAATTCTAAAACTACCCGGTCCTTGGGTAACACTTTAACTTGTTCCCTACACTAACAAGCCAGTAGGAGGAGTATGTGTGGTAGGGTGGTATGCCGGTAGCGAAAGTTGTTTGTTGGATTAGTAGCTGGTCTGAAGACCGCCAGGTTGACAAATGTTTTGTCCTGCAGCAGCAAGGTTTGAAGCAAACTAATTGAGTAGACACACTATTCGGGAGATAATCCAACATATAATATTCAAATCTCAATACAATTCAATTCAATTCAATTCAATTCAAGAACCAGTAATCTCTTCGCGTCCTGTTGCTTGTTTGTAGGTAGAAGATGTAATTCTGTCATATCTCCAGGGTACGCTCAACACACCGTCATATTCGTGCAAAATCACTATATAGAGTGCAGTTTTGAAGGCTTAGTCATCGAAAATCAAGGTCCTATAGTTTAGTGGTAATGACGTCGGATTTTGATATGCATCAGAAGCCTTCCGAAGACCCCGGTTCGAACCCGGGTAGGACCTCACTTTTTGCGTTTCGCGACAAACAGGCTGAGACTACACAGGGCTTGATCTACTCTACAATGAGATATTGCGTGATGAATCTTTGGCGTAAGCCGATGGGGTCTTACAATTATTTTGCTGGTATTGGAGAATGTCGGTACCTTGTCAATGAATGATAACTGTTGCTGTCGGTCGGTCGTTGATATGGCCGATCTCGGAGGGCAGGGCGCGATCTGTCCATCAGTTTGGCAATGATCATGCATTTCGATAAAGAACTTGGCAAAACTAGCCTTCCTCGTGTCATACCGAACGAGTCTGAATACGCGTATAGTATTTAATTGACTCTCTCATGGTCTTCATCACCTCTCTATAATAAAGACGCGACTCCCTGTCCCTGCGCTATTTTAGCAGTGAAGACATCCGTACCTAAGGCTCACATGCCCTTGAGTCCCTTCCATTAAATCTCCAGCTAACACGACCCATCTCCGATACCTTTCCCCAGATATTTCCCGAGCTTGTACAATGTCTTCTTTTAGCTCACCCCAGACTGAGTCCACAATCGTGGTAATCGGGTACGTGCCATTTCACTGCTCCAATGCGTGAGCTAACGTTCCTGTTTTAGCGCTGGAATCATCGGCCTTACCAGCGCCCTCAAGATCCAAGAGTTGACAAAAGACTCCCCATCAACATTAGTCCTCCTCGCCGCAAAAGAATGGCCGACTTCAATCCCAGGTGTTCCAATTACCCACTCAGCCGATTATGCCTCCATGTGGGCAGGCGCTCACGTCCGACCCATCCCCGCCTCAACACCACAGCTTCGTCGTGAAGCCAAGTGGTTGAAGACTACTGTCGCTGAGTTTGAGAACAGTGAACCTGGTGTCGGAGTTCGTCGCCTTCCAGGAATTGAGTACCTTGAGGACCCGCCTGTTGAGTACATTAAACAGGATGTGCATAGCTTTACGGAAGAGACGGGGTTGCCCGGATATCGTAGATTTGACTCGAGAGAATTGCCAGAGGGTGTGAAGCTTGGGTACCAATATGAGACGTATTGTATCAATGCGCCGCTTTACTGCGCGAATTTGCTTCGCAAGTTTATTGTTCAGGGCGGGAAGACTGTTCAAAGGGAGTTGAAGAGTGAATGGGAGGCTTTTATTCTGGCGCCGAATGTGAAGCTTGTGGTCAATGCAAGTGGGATGGGATTCGGCGACGCAAAAAGCTTTCCTATTAGAGGTATGTTTTGAGAGTCAGGATATTTTTAATTGCTAACAATGGCTAGGTCAAACTGTGTTGACAAACCTCACTGCTGCTGACAAGACGATCACAACACAAAAGAAGGACGGAACATGGAGCTTCATCATCCCACGATCCTTCAACGGTGGTACGGTCGTTGGCGGTACGAAAGAGATAGGTAACTGGGATCTTGAACCATCACAAGAGACTCGAAGCCAGCTACTAAAAGCTGCGCAATCCATCATCCCTCAAGCCTGCAACAACCAAGAAAACGCTGAGTCGGTCAAGGTCATCAAGGACGTCGTTGGAAGACGGCCAGCTCGTGAGGGAGGCATGAGGGTTGAGACGGAAAAGAAGGATACTACTTGGGGAGTTAAACATGTTGTTCACGCGTATGGAGCGGGTGGACGTGGCTATGAGCTGTCCTGGGGTGTTGCTGACGAGGTTATGGAGCTTGTGAAGGATGTTCTTAACACACAGTCGGCGAAAGCAAAGCTATAAGCTTGGATTTTAAGTGTTAGAATGAACGATTTAATACATTATTCGACTTGATCCTCCGTTTACAAGAACCCTTTCAGAGCATCATTCAAAGTCCTGCCCTCTCTCAACGGAATCGCGTTCCCTCTCTTCGTCAACCCAATCTTGTTATGCCAAACAACCTTCATACCCGCGTTCGTTGCGCCCTCAACATCTCCAGCACTTCCCGCCACGAACAGGACATCCCTCGCTTCAACCCCCAGCCGAGGCAGGATACTATGATAGGCTTCCTTGAGAGGCTTGTAGAAGCCGCTCTCTTCGGCAGTAATAGCCACATCAAACGTGAACGGCTGATCATAACCAGCACTCGCTTTCTTCTCCACACCAGTGATGGCGATATTTCCATTTTCTTTGGAACAGTTGGTTATGACGCCGAGCTTGTAACCCTGGGATCTAAGTGCTTGGAGAACGGAGGGCACTTCGTCCCAGGGTTGAATGGTTGACCAGTTCTTGAGGAGTGCTTCCGGGGCCGACTCGGGAAGACCAACTTCCTCTGCAGCTTGTCTGACTAGGTCTTCGTAGGGTACGTACGTTCCAGTGCCGTATGTGATTTCAAGATAGCGTTGGCGCCAGCGGCCGCCTTCTTCGTGGGTCTTAGAAGGGGTTGATGCATCCCATATGTCCCATGAGTTGAGAAGACCGGTGAGGAGGTCGAATATGATGGCTTTGGGTTTCCAGTTTTCTTCTGCCATGACGTGTTTTATGAGAGAAGATTGTAAATATTCTAGCAAAAAATCTGAGTGCTTTTAGAGAAGAGAGTAGGTTGGGACAGAAGTATCACCGGATTCAGGATTTATGACCCCGCGGGCAAGGGCGCGGTTGACGATGCCAGGATGACGATCCTGAGAATCCACCTGTAAGACCGATGCCAAGGCTCGTGAGAATATGTCTGAGAATATGTCTATGTTCAATCATTATCATACTATCTATTAAATTTTAATTCTCTTCGTGACAATGCTATACGCCGCTGGCGTCGCCACGCCCAATAAACTGATGGAGTAGAACACGGGTATGATGATCAACTTGCCATAAGAAACCACAGGTAAACCACAATGCTCCGCTATCAGAGAAAGAGCACAAATTCTCAAAAGGCTTTTCGTTGAAAGAAGAACGTGTTCTCGAACCCACATAAATTCTGGATATCGGAGTGAGGAAGATTGGAGATGCAAGTCGAGAATGAGTCGACCAGAGATTACCAAAGATAGGAAGGCCCATGATGGGAGGGTCAGGCGCGGGCTTGAAGAGACTTGGGAGAGACCCCAGTGCGTGAAGCATACGGCGTGGATGAAGACGCCGCCACTGAGGATGAACTCTGGACTTCTGCCCAGCTTCCATTTGGCCAGTAGAATCGACTGAATGTATGAGTCAGTACTTGAACTTCGATTCACGGATAGGAAATGGGACCTACCTCGAATGGAATAGAGACTAGCGGAATAATAGTCACCCATCCCGAAGGCATAACCATACTCAGAACACCAGGAACAGAACAAATAACCATAGAGACATGTATCGCACGACCCCACCCGAAAGACAAGCGACTCATCTTATCGCTATACTGCTGGATCGATCCAAAGTGGGCATTCGTAGTCGTATTCGACGGTTGTCGATGCAGCCGCGATAAAGTATCGTTGAACAGCCAATATGTAGAACAGGACAATAACAAGGCGAAGGCATAACCCAAAGCCGACTTTCCCCAATTCGAGGGTATGTACAGACAAAATGAAATGATAGATGCCAAGGCCATCATGCGCAGGCTGATAAAGTAGTGCCAGTTCTTCATCAGGGTGTGGTTGAATGTTGCTACTACCCAGAATGCATCGGTACCGGCCATGAGACTTAAGGCGAGCCAAACGTCACCGCATAACATGGCTGCGGAGCTGACATTGTCGTGTATGTCTGTCGACGATATGTTTGAAGGAAAGGTGGAAGTGGTGTTGACTTGAGCAACCAGAGCTGGCGTTGGCGTCGTGTTAATTGCAGGTCGACGAGACGATATCAACCGGGTTTTCAGCTTCGGTAAATAGAGTAGAGTAGCCGTATGAAACGAAAACGATAAAATAACAAATAATTGTATGAGAAGGAACTTTTGTGTTTTGGTATCCTTTATGTCAAAAGACTTTGGCGACACGCCAGGTCTTGGTGTTTTGACATCCATAGTACCTAGGATTAGGAACAAAAAGATCTGCGACACCACTTCAAAATGATAAGACGAACACTCCGATATAAGTTACGACGAGTAGCCTCTCAAGAAAAGCAAGTCGTAAAATTATACGAACCCCTTGGACTTTCTTATTCTGGTGGGGGAGCGATAATGCGACTGGTTGGCTGGGCAGTCCGAGCGAGCAGGGCTGTAGAGGCTGCATCTACGGAGCAGTCCACATCGTTTCAGGTGCAGATAAAGAAATATCATTGCAAAATGGGCCAACTTGTATGGGAATGTAGTGGGATCTTCAGCTGGGGCGCAATTGGTGTGTGAGGTTTACATCAGAGGCGCACAGCCTTGGCCGCAGCGAAGGTTTCTTAGCTTGACCAGAATATTGGGAACATTGAATGTATTAGCCAAGAAGGGCGTTCCATTCCATTGGGATTTCTGCATTTATATTGGATGTGCAACCGCTAGGCTAATAGAACTAGCCGCTGATGCAGGCGGCTGTGTATGCAGACCGTTTAAGCGTCACAGTTATGTAGGAGGCACGAATAAAGCCGTTGGAAATGTCTGAACTGATGTCGACTGGAATGTGCAGTAAAAGACGATGAGGTATTATTGCATTCCATAAAATATGACAAGTCGCCGCTTGTGCCTGATCTTCTGTGATGTAATTTGCTTTTTGTCGTTCGTTGCTTTCTTTTTTCACATTGCTTCTTTGAAGAAAAAGAATCGGCGGACAAATTATTTGCATGATCTAGATTGGCAGTCTGGATTTTTTTAATTTTCACATGCTTCGCGCTTGCAGCCAAGCCGTCTCCTGTGGTTGCAGTAGAGCAGATTTCAAGAGTCGAGGCCCATTCAGCAGCGATAGCTTTTGGACAAGGCAGGGAAAGATTCAGTTTCAAGTTCCGGGCTACCGGTGCAGGGCAAAACTCTTCATAACAAAATATGCGTGTTTGTCAACTTCAGCATGTTTAGAAAGAGCGTGGCAGTACTGAGGGTGTGGGAGACTTATTAAAAAGCTAGATGTCAGCATGTCAGCTTTCTCTCTGTGTCTGCCTAGACGTTGAATAAGGCTATATATAAGGTATATGAAAAGCGGGAAATCGATCTCTTGAAGTGCCCGTTTTCCAATTCAGATTTCAATAGTGTCTAGTTAGATTACAGTAGTTTCAACAGAAGAAGATCAAAGTGGAAACGTCCAGTAAGACTCCAATGCCGCATTATCCGTATCGAAACTTTATCTTGAAATATCGGTCAACAATAGCATATCCTATCTCTAGATTCTCCGATCTAGGTAAAAGATGAACCGCCTTGAGAAGCTAAGGTTAGGGCTGAGAACTAACAGTTGGCCAAGCAAGAAACTAACGAAAGAGGGTTGGAACTTCGGTTGCTAGAGGTTGCAACACTTCCTTAACGAATCGAAGTTTGGTAGACCTAGATCTAGATTCCCATCTTTATGTGAGCGATGGGGCTATGGGAAAGATAAATGCGCAAGTGTCGGTCAACGTGAGGCTTTGACTCGATGCCCACAGACCTGGGAGAAATTTGGTGTCGCAGAGCTCCGTTCCGCGACGGAGTGGCAGAAGTAAGCCGCCCGGCTAAAAGACGCGATAAAGAGATCTAGATTTGAGATGAGCCTTGGGTTTCCCATTTGTTACTGAAGAGGCTGTTGATCTGTGTCAAGCCTGCTCTTAGATACTTTGGTAGCCCTTTAATGCTTTCAACAGACCGACTAGAAGTATCCCACAAAGAGTATACTATCAGCACTATTATTTTGTTATCTTAAGTACATCTTCAAGTTTAGAGAAATAAAAACAATACTTTAAACCTTATACTTGATAGTATGGTATCGATAACTACAGGATACGTCTGATCTATGATTTGCTCATGTATATTGTTTCATAGGCTGGTAAGCTTGATTCCAAACAACAAAACTTTAGCCAGCTGTGTGATTGGTGAAAGGGTGAAACGCGATGGCGCATGGCAGTGATTCCAAAGTCAATGCTGACTTTGCATTGTTGACTCATCAAGACCATGTAAGCACCAAGGCGGAGAAGCTGAGCGAACCGGGCCATTTAAGCATAATCATGCCGATCACCGATTGGACCAGGATGTGCCTAGCCCGACGGGTATTTGGGTTTGTCCATGTCTGTAGCATTTGTCAGATCTGTCTCTGGGTTGAGCCGTCTTGGCGTGACCTGCATAGTGCTCGAGTGTGATACTTTTCGCTTCACTAGGAAATATTGATGATGGCCAAGATCAGCAGGAATTAGAGAGAATTGAAGAGAAGTTCCGAATAACGTTATAATAACGTTATACTTGGCATTATGCTTGGCGTTGGATTTGCAGCGTCAGCATGCAAGTCTTACGCTGGTGATGGCATCAATCGCAGTATAAATGGCTGAGAGACCTCGTCGTAGGGCACTCGTTATTCTTCATCGAAAGCAACAAATCTCGTCTTGAATACATATATACTCATCAATAAACCTTACAGCCATGTCTCATCTTACATATTCTGTTTACGAAGGCGAGGGCGAGTACCTCAGCAACTTCCTTCGCTACAGCCAAGCTGTCCGTGTTGGCGATCGCATTGAGATCAGCGGCCAGGGTAAGTCCAAACACAATTAAATCAGCAATACTTCAAGCGTCAGAGCGCTAACTAAAAATCAGGCGGCTGGTCCCTTAAAGACGGAGAACTCTCATTCCCGGAATCTGACCTCGAGCAAATTGACCAGGCCTTCCACAACGTCGAAAAGGCTCTCAAGGCGAGCGGTGGAAAGGGCTGGGAGCAGGTCTATCGCGTCAATTCATACCACACTGAAATCACTCCAGAAGTCGGCCAAAGAATGAGTGAGAATTTTAAGAAGTGGATGCCTAACCACAAGGTCATTTGGACAGAGATTGGTGTTGCGCAATTGGGAGTGCCTGAAATGAAGGTTGAGATTGAGGTGGTGGCAATTGATTCAGAGGGTGCAAGCAAAGCTTAGAGCTATGATTCAGAGCTATATTTTGAGTTGGCAATAAACATCAGGCAGCGCACAAGACTTGCTATATATGTTATTCAAAGATTAAATTACTGCGACTCAGCAACTATAAATACACAATCATTCCTCCTCATCACTTATTCTTTTCTTCATCATTGCATTCTCCAAGGCTCACCAAAAATCAGTGACGCACCACGCTGACTAACCACAGTACGTAGATCTAGTGCATCCAAATGCGGTTTAGCGTCAAGGAAATGGATCGCAAAAGGTTCTTTTTTTCTACGCGACATCATCGCTTCCTACACCACACAAAAGCCGCATTAACAGCGACAAACAACCGACAAAATGCGCAACAAGCAAAACAGGCCGCGAGGTAACTCGCGCCCCAGAAACGATAATAAAGATCGTTATCGAGACTCGGACTCGTATCGACCTGGAGACAGGCATGATCTCCCACCGAGACCGCCGCCGGGGCGCGATGACTTTCGATTTGGTGGTGGAGGAGGAGACTCGTATCGTCCGCGTCCACCACAGGGTGATTTCACGTTTCGGATGGATAAGCCTCCTGGGATGCCTGAATATCCTGGCGATTATCGTGGCCCGCCGTCTGATAGAAGAGGACCTAGACGCGATGGTGGTAGAGGACGAGGTCGAGGCAGAGGTGGCAGGAGATGGCAACCCCCGCCTCACCCCTCCGAGCGCGCACTTGTATCCGGCGCGACACAGAATCTGCCCGAGGAGCGATTAGGTGAGGATGGTATCGCCAAGTTCCGCGATCTAGACCAGATATCCGATGATGACGAGCTTGATATGGACATCTCTGATTCATCCGAGACCGAGGGTCCGTCAAAGAAGCGTGCCAGAACCGTGAGGGATGATGCATCTGGCGATACTGCGCCCAAGTGGTCTAACCCAGACCCCTACACAGCCCTGCCTTGCCCGGATGACACTACGCGAAAGAAGATGGATATGGTTCAGTTCATCCGAAAGGCGCGTGTTGAAGAGGAGAAGAAGAACAAGCCCGCCGCTACTACCGAAGCTGAAGACTTCATCTCTTTCGACCTTACCGAAGATGAAGAGAGCGAGGAAGAACAGGAAGCGCCACCACCCCCTCCCCGCGATCCCCCGCCTACTATCGCACAGCCGCCGCCGCCTCCCCCGAACGCGCCCTCTGGTCCCAGAGCCGATCTCGAAAAGCCACGGTCGGCCGTCAATGAAGCGCAAGAGGCTCGACGAGCCGCCAATGACGCTCTTGGCTCGCGCAAACGAACTGCAGACGACGTCATCAAGCCCCCGGATTATGGACAATTGAAGAAGGCCACCACAAAGCCATCCAAGGGTTCGTTATTACCCAGCTGGGCACCGAAGGTCAAGGAGGATCCTTGTCCTTGGGATATGTATGATCATTCGGCTACTACTAACATGGCATTTCGGTAAGTCACAACACCTCCCAATATCCCGCCTCGTCACTGAACCAATGCTAACTTCTACAGTCTACACAAGGAGATCATGGACTTTTACGAATACGTCCGACCCCGCGACTTCGAACAGCGCATCCGCGACAACCTCGTCGAAAACCTTCGTAAGGCGATGCGACGCGACGGCCGAAACTTTGCCAGCGCACAAGTCCATCCCTTCGGTTCCTTCATGTCCGGCCTTTATCTTCCCACCGCAGACATGGACCTCGTCGTCTGCTCAGCTAGCTTCATGCGCGGCGGTCCCCCGACGTACCTCTCCGCCAAGAGCTGGTTGTATAAGTTCCAGAAGTTCCTGGTGTCGCAACAAGTAGCCGAACAGCACTCTATCGAGGTTATCGCCCACGCTAGAATCCCGTTGGTCAAGTTTGTTGACAAGCAGACCGGTCTCAAGGTCGATGTCTCATTTGAGAACTTGGGTGGTGTTGGAGCCATTGATACCTTTTTGCAGTGGAAGGAGCAGTATCCTGCTATGCCTATCCTTGTGACTGTGATTAAGCACTTCCTTCTCATGCGTGGATTGAATGAACCTGTGAATGGTGGTATCGGTGGCTTCTCGGTTATTTGCTTGGTCGTCAGCATGTTACAGCTTATGCCACAGGTCCAGAGTCGAAGTCTTATTCCTGAACATCATCTTGGCGAGATGCTTCTTGAGTTCTTTGAACTTTACGGTTACGATTTCCACCATGAGAAGAACGCTATCTCTCTAACCAGACCAGTCGGATACATTCGCAAAGTATGTTTGCCCCGTTCATCCTCGCCTATCATGTCTCATGCTAACCTTTCACAGTCGCACGTCAACAGCTTGACATACAAGAACTACGATCGTCTCTCCATCATCGACCCCAACAACCCTGCCAACGATATCTCAGGTGGTTCGGCCAACACACCAGCCATCTTGTCCCGCTTCAGGGAAGCCTTCGAACTGCTACGTGACAGGATGAGTGACATCTCACGTAACCCCAACAAGGGTAATATCCTCGAGGTGATTCTCCAGGGCGACTACTCGTCGTTTAGAATGCAGCGGGATTTCATTCGTCATGTGCACGAGCAGCACATCGGTCCCTGCTAAATACCCAATCTTGTGTGCATATCCCGAGTTTTACGAAATATCCTGGAGTTTTTGGTAGCATGGATGGGAGGTGGTAGATATGGGGTATTTATGGAAGAATAGGTCCCTTGCTGGGCACCTTGTCTTTCTACAGTAGTTGTCTTTCTCTGCATATGTATAGTAACGCCCCGTCATGACATGGAAGGAAAGTTGGGCGGATATCATTTGCTTTTTTTTTCTGGCGCACATCACATTTCATGGGGGGCTGGCTGGCTCAGTGGCCTAGAATTGGAACCCGATTTATCATTTCGACTTTTATCTACTAACCGTCTATTCGCAGTGACGACCCGGTGACGATTGTTACGAGTCGCAGTGACGACTTGATGAGCACGCACTGCATTGTGCATTTTACTAACTGAGATTTCCAGATTCCCATTTCTTCGGTTCATGGCTGTTGAAAACCGTTGTCTTTTGACGACACCTTTTCTCACTACATTCTTTGCTTGATGCAGGGTTGTGGAGAGGAAGCGAGACAAATCTACCAGCAACGGTTTGGCATGAAGGGCGATTGGGAGATGTTTGCATTGTTTGACTTCGGCGTAGTAGATCTTATTTCTTCTCAAATCGGGCACTACATTCGGATCAATAGTAGACAACCAGACAGTTTTAGGTATTATCTCACAAATTTACTCTTATCTCAGGGTCTCAATCCCTACAACCAATCACCCGCGCACCCTGATGGTTTCCTCCACAGCCGGCAAACGGTCCAATAGAACTCGCGGGATTAACAACATGAGGTATCTATGATCAAAGTCTAACGCACACATTTTCTAAACCTTGCAAAGAATTGAACCTGAGGAAAAAGTCTTTCGAGTTACAGAAAGAGTATGTTTTGGCCATGTTTGCAACGGGAGTCTTGCTGATTCTTGGTAGTGAGTGATTATCTTTGGGGCGATACGAGTAAAGAGGAGAGGAAGTTGATACGGAAACTTGGTATGTCACTGATCTGGCTTTGAGTTTGTGGTGCTAATTGTCTGTAGATTTCTTTATTCTTGTGAGTTTGGACTGGGTTTGATGAGGATGTTACTAATTGGCAGACGTTTTGTTGCTTCAGCTTCTTTTTCAATCACCTTGGTATGTCTCCCAATGGTATCTTGAGGTGGCGTTCTGACTTAGAGATACAGATAGACAAGCCTTCGCGAATGCATACGTAAGTCACCGAATGAGCTTGGGGACAACCTCGCTGAACATAATTAGGTAGCCGGTCTGAAAGAAGCTCTCGACCTGAGCGGCAACCAGTACAATGTTTTGCTGTCGATGGCCTCAGCAGGGTACGTATCAACAAACTCTGTCAAGAACCAAGCAACTAACAGATTATAGAATGCTGGTAGGACAAATACCAAGCGCCATAATTATTCATAAAGTCAGACCGAGAATATGGCTCTCCTCTTTGGTGGTCGTATGGGCTGGCTTGACTATGGCGAGTGCAGCTTGCAAGACTTATTCTCAACTCTGTGCTGTGAGATTCCTTATGGGTTTGGCTGAAGCTAGTACTTATGCTGGATCGATATACATCATGGGATCATGGTAGTAAGTCACACTCCTCCAAACTTCATATCCTGTGCTTATGAGATTGCAGCAAATCCAACGAAATTGCCAAGCGAACAGCCATGTTCACAGTAGCAGGCCAAATAGGCAAGATGTTCGCCGGAGCAATGATGGCAGCCATCCACGAATCCATGGAAGGTCACGCAGGACTTGCAGGTTGGCAATGGGTATTCCTGATCGACGGAATCATCACACTTCCCGTCGCTGTGTTTGGCTTCTTTTTCTTTCCTGATGTACCGGAGTATACTGATGCGCCGTACTTGAATGAGAAGGAGAGACAATTAGCGCTTGATCGGCTGCCTCCGAAGAAGGAGGATGGGCATAGTATTCAGGCTTGGAGCTTGGTTAAGAGGGTTATGGGAAATCCATTGCTGTGAGTTCAACCTTGGCGAGTTACATGCTGAAGCTGACGATTGATAGATACATCTGTTGTGTCTTTGCTGTTCTCGGATCCGCGCTGCAGTCTTACGTCGTCCAGGGTCTTATGCTCCTCTACCTCAAGTTCCGCAAAGACATCGACGGCTTCACACAATCCGAAGTCAACACGCTCCCCATCCCAACTCACGCCGTGGGCATCGTCGCCGAACTATCAGTATCCTTCTTCATGGATCGCTACAACCGACGCTTATCCCTCGGCTTCATCCTCTGCGCGATCCAGATCATCTGCAGCATCGTCCTTCTAATTCCAAACATGACAGTCGCAGGCAACCTCACAGCCTTGTACCTCTCAGCCTCAGCATACGGCATCAACCCGCTCTTGTACGGTTGGGCAAGCAATATTCTTGCTAGAACGGCCGATGATGCTGCAAGGAGTGTGACGCTTGCTTCGATGACGGCTAGTGATGGGTTGCTTTGGACGTTTTGGGGTATTGTGTTGTTTCCGGCTGATCATGCGCCTTATTGGCGGAATGGATACATTGGTATGCTGTGTGTGAGCGTAGTACTTGGTGGGTGGTTGTTTGTGGTTCGATGGGTAAGTCTTGTCACTGAACAGAAGTGGATGTTGGCTAATGGGACGTAGCTTGATCGGTATACGGCCGAGAAGTATCCTGCTGGTGAGCAGATAAGTGTTTCGTCTTTGGTTACGGCGGAAGTGAATTATTCTACGATGAATCCACGTGAGACGGAAAGCAAAACCGCGTAGAGTACTGGACAGTAGGAGGAGGATTCCTTAAGGACTAGATAGTCTAACTGTCCATCCTGACTGGTATAAAATGACCAAGCAATTTTGTTTCTGGTTCGGTAGGTGACAGAAGAATCGTCTTCTAAGGCTAAAGCTACGATAATAAAGTTGCCTAAGTGCTGGTCTAAGCTATCATAAGGTGAACAAATTATTTCGTCTCTTAGAGTCCCAGGGTTAATTCTTCAGATACCCTAGGGCCTGTCACCTGTCAGGTCCATCTGCGCCAGGAATATCATCTCTCCTTTCTGTACAATAATAGTCTCAAGGTATATCCCATCTCAAAGAACAGTTCGAATTGCCGCAAGTCTCTGCTCCAGCTCCCACTCGAGCTCCAGCTCTTGTTCCGGACCGCGCGGGTTCAAGAGACCAACCGCGCCAATGTTGATGACAGGCATGTTGGCAGGCATCGACTGCTCAGCCACTTTGTCGATCTGAGCGATGGACTTGAGACCCTGGAAATCACCAGCGATGATGGTTGACTCTTCATACATTGAAAAGAAGGGATACCCCGCGTCGGCATAGGTCTTGGCGGAAACGGGTGATCGAGGGGGCTTCTTGCCAGTGACATGTTTGAAGCTAGCACTGTTGAGGACCTGGACGTTAAAGGTGACAGGAACCGTCTTCTTGTAGTCGCCTCGTGGGAGTCTGACAATGCTCTGAGTGATTAAACCTCCCGCAGCGATGCTCATCTCTGGATCTGGTGGGAGATAGCCGCCTCGTAGACGTAGAACTAGATGGAGATTAGATCCCTGTTGTGTCACATCGCGATTAGAATCTGAGATTGAAGATGTAAGGGAATAAGGGACATAACGTACATCAGTGATGTTGCATTCCTTCAGTGTTTTGCCATCTACGTCTAGTCAGTATATGGAATGGATACTGCAGATGAGTTGCGTAAAATTGCCGATTACCTTCAAGCTGACGACCGTCGAATATCAGACGTTGCTGATCCGTAGGCATACCCTCCCGGAGCTGGATGAGGAATTTCATTCCCAAAATAGTGGTGTCATGTGAGGCTGTGATCGGGATATGTTTGCCCGTCAACGTTTTCACTGTAACAGACGTCCTGTTGCTATCATTTACCTCAGGAATTTCTAACTCAGAGAGGTTTATTCCAGAGGGACCCGACTCATCAGGCTTCATGTCAAGTCGGCTGATTTCGAATTGAATTCCTGCAGTCGTCTCCTGGCCCGTCATTTGAGCCTCAACCGAGTGGCCTGTCCCAACAGGCATGGCGACAAACTGACGGACCTTCCCGGGCTCTACTGCGATACCATCTAGCCACTTCTGGCCTTCGCTTCCGACCACAACGTAATCCTGAACAGACTTCCTTTGTTTGATGAGGTTGCGACGACGAAGCGAAGTGGCGGCGTTCGGGACGGCTGGCTCGCCGGAGATGGCGTTGATACCACCGACAAAGATCTTTATCGCATAGCGTCGTCGAGACTCGAATCCGATCCACATAGCTTCTTTCTCTAAACAAAAAGGTTAGCATCGGTATCTGAGATGAGATTTTATGACCCTGGACTTGACTTGCGGTACATGGGGAGGAATACACCACCCTTCTGTGTCATACTGATGGGGAGTCTCTCGGCATGTTTGTCGACTTGGTAGAGTGGAAATTTGCCCATATCTGGGGGCAGGTCACTACTCTCATGATTATCGGGGACGCGGATAGTCCGCCTGAAAGTGATGCGCAAGTCGTCAATCTTGATCTTGTCGCCTTCGCCGAGGACCTCTGCGTCCGGATACCAGGGTGTGAGATGCTCCAACATACTGAAATGCGGCAGTTTTTACGGGCTTCTTCTTCTAGATTTGATTCAGTAAGGAGGGGTCAATGGTCTTTGGCACGGGGGAAGTTGGGAAACAGGTTCAAAGAGGGGAAGATGGGTTGAAATAGTGAATCTGGGAGGCCTACCACAGTTGCCTGGTGACAGTGGGGTAGATATGCCTGTTGGGCTGCACATTAGACAAAAGCGCATGTGTACCGACCAATTTATGTTCATTTGTTTGCCAGATGATTCCTGGTGATTGCTGCAGCAGGCCGTTGGGCCGGACAACGCTTTGCTTGTTTGCGTCATGCTATCCATGGAACATTCGATACAGTGCAGCCCCAAGAAGTTGTGCTTCGATCAATACTCACAACAGAATGGCCACCGGCATCCTCCGGGATACTGGATTAAAATCGGCAACGTTCATTAGTATTAGGTTCATAGTGGTGTTATCTTTCGTTGTGTTGATTTGACTTGTCCGCGTTGAGAGGTGACCTTCAAAAAAAAAAAAAAAA